CTTGTTAGCGGTCAAATTAGCCTACAGGGTTGTGGTCTGGTTTGTTTTTTTGGGTGGGCAGTGTTTGTTCATGTGTTAATGAGAGCCGCCCCCCCCCCCCCCCCCCCTTTTGGTCGCCCCCCTCATCACAGTCGTTGCCCCTGCAAGAGGTTCCGCATTACAATAAGCTGTAGTTGATTACCTAACGTACTAACAGGTGTTCTTGCAAAACCCTCAGGCTGCTATGTCGCTCCCGAGCCCTGGCGCTGCTAGGCGGACTGCAGTTCTAGTCAGACACCTTAATAGAGTAGGAAACTAGTTCTTAACGGGGTCCTTGATGTTCTCCCCTGTAGATCTTTCCCAGTATCATCTTTAAGGCTGGCCTTTGCTTGAGCAGCGACCAATAAGGGGCTGCGCATTACACGACCCTTGCCCATCTGGCTCCTGGAGAAGAATCCACTGCTGCCCGCATTCCATCGCTCCATGTACGCATGTAGTGTGGAGCTTGGTTTTCACTCCCGGATTATAGGTTTGCTTTTTTTCACTCTCCAAAAGTTGCCCCGTGTTGTTGGCACACAACGCAAAGTTTCCAAGTGAACTTTCACACTTGGACTCCGAAAACCCTATGGCGCCGAAAGAGGCATTTTGTCTCGGCAAGAATACAGTCGGGAACGTTCTCAGCTTCTCTCACATGGCGACCCAACCAGCTGTTCCCTCAACTTGGAAATCAACACTTGCCAATTGTTGATATATACGGCGCCCGCAACCACTGTGATCGAGAAGCCTAACCACGTCCAAACAGCAAGAAGCATGCCAACGCGGTGTATAAGCATGCCAGTGCAGTGCTGGAGCGGCTACACGTCCAGAAGTAGATCTAAATTAATACAGGGTCTCTTCAGGCGCTACTGCATCTTTTCATATCATCACAGGTCGTAGGGATACTTCTTAAAGTGTCGAGGAGCCAAAATGGGGCCTCGGTAGAATTGATAGACTCACGGAGTGCCGCAGCTCAGTCTTGGGATGGATACGACGTAATCATGGGATTCTAGAAGGATGGTTGTAATGCCGGCCAAGTTTAAATTGATAGATGTTATCAGATCAGATCTATGTGGGTGGCAAGCATGGGTCTATGGAACAGAGTTTGAACTTGCACGACTCGGGATTGGCGGCCGCAGGAGGAAAGTCGGAGACGTGGACCAGTTTCTGGCATGGTTGGTTAGCTCGCTGCAGGAACCTCGTGACGTGTTACAGAGGCTGGCGCTGGAGGGATGGTGACGTCTGTCAGGCGAGGAGGGAGGAACGAAGCCGGCATACGGTTCGGCATGCCTGACCAAGCGCGGCACTGACATGTCGGGTAAACAATGCAAACAATGGAGACTAAACGATGGGAACTAGCGGCAATTGAAGATTGACTCTGGTAGGTAGCGAGCTTGATGGTTTGGGGGGGGGGGGGGGGCGAATTCTACACTTTGCCTCACCGTCGGATGGGGTGGGTCATTTGGCTCGTAGACCGCGATCGGCGCTCCGGGGTTTTCTAGGCCCCTGTCGCGTTTCTCCACTTTGCTTAAAAAAAGCCGATCGCGCAGGCTGCTCTGGGTGCCTTGTCCTGGTGCTAGGCGACTCCCACTCTGATTCTCGGGAAGAAAAGAAGAGGCTCTTCAAATGGCTCCAACGCGCGCTTTCCCCACCCCACGTCTTCCAAATTTGGACATTCAGGTGGCATCGGTCGCGCTGAAGTCGGCATTGGGGACAAGGGGAACAAGGGAAGAAGGGGAAGAAGGGGGACGTCTTACCTCTTTGGTCTTTGCATCCCACGCTGTCAGCCCGGGTCAGCCGCTGCCCTGGAAAATCCCGCAAATAGCTTGCCATTGTCCTGGCCCGGTTCTGGCCTTGCCGGGGGGAGTCAAAAACTCTGCAAATAGTTCCATGCTTGGACTGGCTCGACTCTTGGCTGGCCTTAAACTCTTGGCTGAGCTGCAGGGTGTGGGGTGCAAAACCACCTACGCACTGCACTACGCGTGTAGCTACTGCATAACAGTGGCCTGACCTGGAGCTGGACACCGGTTGTCGGAGCCCGGGCCTGATCAGATGTTGATTGATTAGATTAGATAAATTGGTGCCGTGTTGGGGTACCAGACGGGGGCCTGAACACGCGATCCAATGAGACGGAGCTGGGTTTACCTAATGGTCCCCACATCGGGAAGCTCAGTGGCCCCCCACTGTAGATTAGATCATTGATTGGATCAGATAAACGATTAGATCCATCGCAACCACGAGATTGGCCAAACACGTCAGGGGTACCCGCTCACAATCGCTAGAAAAACCAGGGCCCAACCCCCCCGCGGAGATTTCTCCTCTCGTGTTTTCCTTTTTCTCGTGCTTTAGCGATCTTGGCAGGTAACCCGGTTAGACAGAATGCAGGCCGATACAGGAACTTATAGGCACTATCGACGGGTCACTGCTACCATGCAGAGCTGCCCTGGTCTGGCCTCTTTGGTTATTTTCGAACATCGGGATCCATCTCCCAACAGCCGAGGTCGAGGCAGTGTCGCAGGTGTGAGCAACTGATGTCAATGTAAAGCCAGAATTGAGAAGGCCTCGTTCTCCATTCATTGGAGAAACATCTCAGAAGGCATGCGGGTCCCGCTCTAGAACGGAGCACTATCGAGGGGCCGACTGAGCTAGGCGGCTGTTGACGGAGAGACACGGCGGGTGAAAACGTGGCCGGGACCAGAGCTAGGCGTTTTTTGTCTACTAAGCTTACCTAGCTCCGCACCAGCTCCGTGGTTGGGTTACGTAAAGTGGCTTTTTCTGCACCCCGGAACCTGGATGGGAACTGATGGGGATCCTGTTGGCTGGACCCCGACAGGGACAATTCAACGCGCCCGGGTCGCTAATGATATCCCGTTCGGGAACCCGGCTCTCGGTTGAGGTAATGTTCATCTCGAATATATATAGGGAGCCATCCTCCCCATCCATAAATTTCTAGACAGCATCCTCTCACCAGCATTCGCAACTTGCCTCTCAATCCAAACTACCAGAACATCAACCCACCACAACCAACCCACTTCTTTTTCAAGATGAAGGTCTCCATGTTCCTCCCGCTCGCCAGCCTGGCTCTCGGCTCCGTCATTGAGCAGCGCGCCTGCGCCGGCAACAACTGCAACCGTGCCGTCACCGGCACCCGTGAGGGCCTCCTCCCCCTCGCTTCCCGGTCGGCCGACTGCTCCAGCTTCCAGGCCACCACCGTTACCGCGATTGCTCGGTAGGTTTTCTTTCCAGCGAAGGAGGCTCGCCACCCATAATATGACAGCACGACAGCCAATTAACATGATCCGCACACAGCACCGTCACCGTCACCTCCTTCGTTGCCCCCGAGCCCACTGATGATGGCTGCGCAACTCCCGCCAAGCGCGCCGTCCAGCCCCGCCAGGTGACCGTCATCCCCAGCGCCATCCCCACCTACGCCTCGGCCTGCAACGACGCCGCCGCGTACGCCTCGGCCTGCAACTGCTTCGGCATCCCCCCGACCACCACCACCGTCCGCGCTCCCCGTGTCAGCGTCACCGTCACCGCCGTCGCCACCAACTGCCCCCAGATCGCCATCGATGCCGTCCCGTCGTGCGCCTACGAGTGCTTCGCCGACCTCATCCCCAGCTACGGCTGCGGAGGTCTCGATGACCTGCCCTGCCAGTGCGCCAACTTCGAGGCCATCGGAATTGAGGTCACCCCTTGCGTTGTCGAGGCCTGCTCCCACGCCGATGTCGAGGCTATCTTCCCCGCTGCTGCCATGGGTAAGTCATCATCCCCCCCTCCCACCTCCTGTGTCTGCTGCGATATAGGGGTGTGTGTGTGTGTGTGTGTGTGTGTGTGTTTTCATGGTCTAATACCGGTGTGACAGGATGCGACTGCTACACCGCCTCCCTCCCGACCCCTACCGCTTAAATATGCGGACAGGATGGTGCAGTTCTCTGAGGACTGCGATAATGACAACGCGCTCAAGAGCACGCGTTTTGGATTGGGGCGAGTAGATTTCTTTTCGACGCTCCGGCTGCTAGAGCTGGAGCGGTTTGGGGCTTAGCACGAGGCGGGGCTTGGTGCGGGTTTGAGAGTAGTACATGTTTCTAGAATTGGCGCCTCGTACGTACGTACATGATATGACATTAATGTGCCTCATTCACGGTTTGAGTATGATTGTGACATCCGGCCGCGATCTTTGTGTCGATGGATGGGACTCTCGGGATAACCTCTTCCGGGGGGGCGGGCGGGGGGGGGGGGGGGGGGGGGGGGGGGGGGGGGGGGGGGTGGGCGACTGACGGGTTTGGTTTTGTTTGGGCCCCCGGGGGGGGTTGTTGTGGGGCGGGGTGGGGGCGGCGGGGCGCCGCCGCCCCGCCCCCCCCCCCCCCCCCCCCCGGGGGAAAAAAAAAACATTCCCGTATAATTCCCAACATGGCAGCTCGCTTGGATTTGGTCCGTCTCGATCGTCATCGGATACTGCAACGGCGTCCAAGGGTCCGGCCCGATCCGCTGCCAGCGAAGACTACACGTAGCCAAGTAAGGGGTAACTAATCATCAATTGCCACTCCGGACACCATCTCACCCTCTTCGCCTGGTACTAGCACGGTTCCGTCGTCGTCAGCCAAACAACACCCCCACGACCACCTCGTCACTGAGTGTTTGTGTGTAGTAATTATGTGTGTACCCCCAAAGGTGAACCCAGCAGAAGCTCTCCAATCTAGAGAGCATCCCCCTCATTCAGCCCTACCCGAAATACAAAGACTCGTCAGACCGGTGCTAGTGGTGGGCCTAGACCGTGCTAGTGCTGGCGCCTGTGGAGGAGACGTACAACGAGATGTTGGGGTACGTGACGTACAGGTGTGTGTAGTCTGCGTGAGATGCCCGCACGAGCATGTCCGCACAGCATTGCCGCCAGGGCTTGTTGGTTAGCTGGCACACGGGACAGATATTGCTGAAGCGCTTGACTAAGACATCGTTGACATTAACCCGAGGATGGGAGGAACGAGGTTATCGATCGCACCGTTTTGGAAGCTGTGAAGACGCCGAGAGGTGTGAGTGGACGAGAGGTCACGGCGCTCGTTGGCGGTCTGTTGCTATTGAGATCTCTTTGATGAAGGCGAGGAAAGTTGAGGGGGCATAACTAATTATCTTGGCCGCAGGTACAGTAGGCAGTCTCTTACAAGGAGGCAGGAGATCCTACTAGCATATGTTCATATGTTCAGAGGATGAGTTAAAAGTAGTGAGCCTGGGCCATTTACCCAGTTACAAGCTTCTTTAGCTACGTCGATAAGGAAAGTAGCCTCCAATACGACAGATAGTCTAAACCCCTTTCCCACTAGACGGAATCGCGGGGATATGTGAACGGCGTCGCATCTTGACTTTGATGTTGTCGATGAAAGTAAACCACCACCAACGCGGTGACTATCCTTTGGAGGCGGGATCTAATTGAATCTGGCAAAAGCATCAGTAATCTGGCGAGGCCGAGGGCGTAACTATGACAGGCAAGGGAGAACTCACGTCATAGCGGCTAAACAGTGTCGATGTGACCTTGTGAAGCTCGACAGTCGCCATGTTCCGGCCCACGCATATCCGATTGCCGGAGCCGAAAGTGAAGTCGGCGTCCTTCATCCTCTTCAACCTAATCTCGTAGGCGTCTTCCGTCTCGCCGTCGGAGCGGAGCCAGCGCTCTGGCCGGTACGCGTCGGCGTCGTCTCCATAGATGGCCTTGTTCCTCGACGACACCCACGGATTAATGCCCACTTTGGTCCCCGGCGCGATGACGCGGCCGTCGGGGAGGGTCAGGCCACCGGCTGGGACGACTCGCTCGAGAATGCCGCCGATGACCGGGTGCATGCGCATTCCCTGTTTTGCTCATGGGTAGCGTCAGTCATCCATCACAATGTGCTTCGTCGGGCGTTTGCATTGGCGGGCTCACCTCCTTAATCACGGCATTGAGATAGGGCAAGTCCTTGGTCTGCTCGTATATCGGCGGGAAGGCCAGATTTGCCGCATCAAGCTCGGCTCGAAGCTCCGCAAGGACAGATGGGTGGCGGAGGATGTTGTAGGCGATGGCCTTCTGGACAATGGCGGTGGTGTCTGCACCGGCGAGCACATTCATCATAAGATAGCTGACGACTTCGTTATAGCCGACAATGTCTGGATGCTGCTCCTTAGCCTCGAGGAAGTTATCCAAGAAGTCTTTGCGCGTCTTGGTGTCCTGGCTCGCGGCCCGTTCCATCACGCGCTGGAAGCTGTACGCGGCTGCGTGTTCGAAAGTGGAAAATTTGATAGGGCAATACGGGTTCTTGCCCAAGAGTCTGTCCAGCCACGGCATTTGGCCAATCTTCACCCGGTCAGTTAGCTATGCAGTTCAGGTCCGGTCAAACCCAGGAAGGGGCGGAGGGGGGAAAATGTAAGACGCTTACGCAGCCGAGATATCGCATAATCATCTCGCCAGTGCGGATAGTGTTCTTGACGTCTGTCCCGGACTTGAGGAATCCCATGTCCTGGCTGAAGGTCAGCTCCCAGTCGAGGTCCCAGGCACAGTATTCGATCCAGTCGGCCAGGTCGGCTGTCTTGCCAGCATTCTGGCCGTCTACGAAACGGTTCTCGAGTTGTTGGCACAAGGATATGACCATCTTGTCTGCCAGATGCTCCTTTTCGAGTATGGTATTCCATCGAGAGGTACTTCTGGTACGGCTTCATGTATCTGTTGTGGAAGGTGTTGCTGCGCGTGCTGAAGACATTTTCGATCCTCTGGCCGTTGGCGATGGCGTCTGCAATCTCATAGAAGTTGCTCTGCGATTGTAATTGCGGGTCAGCATGGGCGGGAGGGAGGCCAGGACCTCAGCTGGTCACAGAGGAACGCGGAAGCCAAACCTTGGCAAAGTCGCCCCGGGTGGAATATACAGTCTTCAGGAGGGCCGGGTCGCTGAGGCTGATCATATTCGGCCCAATACGAACAGCAGGCCCCAGTTTGTTGTGCAGTTCCCGGTGCGACTGGATCTGGGTACAGTTCCAGTAGTCTAGCATCCGCCATAAATCTGTGAATTTGGCCCAGAAGGGCTCGGGGAACGACTTTAAGGGGGATGTCAGGTATGAGACGAGGATGCGGAGCAGGAGCAGGCCGAAGCCCGAGGCAACGGCCGTGGTGGCCCAGTTCTCGAGAGCCATTATTTCAGTTGACGAACGGAGCATGAAGACGAGGAAGAAAGTCCGGGGGAGGAGCTGGGGAAAGAAGAAGCAGACACAAGGAAGGGCACCTACATGTGTACATGTGTAGCCAAGAGGTTCTGACCTCGACCAGTCATACTCTGTGCAGCTGAACTTAAGCAGACATGCATGGAACCCACCTCCCCGGACTCTGCAGGTAGGATTCCGAGGTCTCGGCATTCCAGGAGAGGACCTTCGCCCCACCTGTCATGCCACAATCAAGGGTCCCGACCCCAGTGTATGGCCTTGGATAGTGGGGCCGCCCAAAGCATTATGTGATATATCGAAAGCCACCGCCTCCTCTCCTTGCACCACCACATATACCGTATACGTTGCGATACCCCCTTTCTTGATTCGTTATTGAATCCAGAATCTCAGCTTCGTAAGACGAGATCCGGGACGGCAAGATCCTGGTTGTCTAGAAACAGCCCTAGTCGATTAGAAATAACCGATTAACTCGAAGTAGGCAGGGCAGGGGAGAACACCACAATTTGCGTTGGATGTGACTGAAACCAACAAGACATGGCACATACCGGGGGCATCTGTTTTGGGGGTCAAACCCTGTCTGTCGCCTTGATGATGTTCATTTGGACCTGATAATCTTGTTTAAGTCGCTTGTTGACTGTTGTCTCTTCCTTCAATGCAAGTCTGCTTCTTCTGTCTTGCTTCTCTTTGCACTGAGCACTGGCTAAGTTTGAGCTCCCTTCTAGCGGCCTCTCAATTCTTGTGACGCTCAACATCGCCATCATGACTTCGTACGGTGGCAGAGGGCCAACTGTCAATGCCGTCCTCTGGACCGAGACCGTCATCGCCTTCGTTTTTGTGTTTTTGCGAGTCTACACCAGGAAGGTCATCTTGCGCAGCGCCGGGTTGGATGACCTCTTTCTCCTCTTCACATTTGTACGCACAAAGCCCCCTTCCAAATTAGCCCAACCTCTCCACGGCTATCCATCCATCCGTCAAAAGGGAAAGTGTAGGTTGACATTGCCAACCAGATTCTCCTTGCCGTCTACTCGGCCATGATTTCCACAGCCACATCGTTCGGTCTAGGCCGACACCGCGCAGACATACCCCCTGCAGACTACATCCAGGCGATGAAGTACGAAATCATCGGACAAGGCGTCTGCATCTTCAACATCGCCGTCAGCAAAGCCGCCGTCGCCTTCTTCATACTGCGAATCGTACGCCAGACGTGGCACCGGGTTTTTATCTGGGTCTGTGTTATTTCCAACACCCTGCTGGCCACCTGGTGCACCATAGCCGTCTTCATCCAATGCCTCCCAGTCGAGAAGGTATGGGACTTTACAGTGCCCGGCAACTGCTGGCTGGATTTTGCCAAGGTGGGCCTCACAACTTCAGGTGCGTAATGAATGCTGTCCGGGAGAGAGGCAGGTGGTCGGGGGGGATTATGACACGCTGTGCTGGTTACTCTGACGTTGTATGGGCTCTCCATAGCATATGCGGTCGTCATCGATTTCACGCTCGCCATAGCTCCTTGCTTCATCATCTGGGACCTGAACATGAAGCGTAAGGACAAACTTCTTGCCATCATAGGTCTGAGTCTGGGCATTTTGGGAGTCTCCCACTGGCCCATGGGGTACCGTCTGATGTTCCTCTCCCATCTATCGACGGGAATTGACTAGCTCTTAGTGCTGGGATTTGCGGCATATTGCGTACAGCAGCCTTGACGAGTCTGAGGTCGTTCAACGAGTATATCTGTAAGCGTCACGTCTACTTTTACCCTGCCAATCAGCTGCAACCCTGCGTGCCGTATTAACCAGCTTTATCTCTTTTATCGCAGTTGAAACGGTCGACATGCTCATCTACTCGGCCACCGAAAACTTTGTTTCTGCCATGTGCGCATCGATCCCCGTTCTGCGGCCCCTGTGGGTGAAGGTGCGCGGCTACAGCTCGACCGATAACTCGTACGCCAAGCACAGCTATCATATGGACCGATTTGGGAGCCACGACCCCGAGAACACCCTCGGAGGCGGCGGCACCAAACGGGAAGGCATGGCGACAATGATCTTCGCTGGCGGTCGCGACAAGGGCAGTAAGGACAATGCGAGTGAGGAAACCATCCTGAGGGACGCTAGGGGACTGAGCGACGCGGGGGGTGCGCAAGCAGTCTTATGTCGGACCGACGTCTTTGTCGGCTTTTCGGACCGCGACAGAGGGAATGACTTGAAGTGATGAGCTGTGCCTCTAGGTTAGGAACCTTTTGACGAGGCGATTGGGGCCATTTAATGTCGTTGCCCAGGATCGGGGACGGGGTCCCCTAGATATATTTAGATGGTGAAGAAATATCCAGAAATTGGTGATAGACGTGAGCGAGGCCCAAATCCAGCTCTTCGGTTCCTAAGACAGATAAACGTCAGCATTCCCTTAATTCCTCCTCTTTTGCCTTGGTCTTAACAGGCAGCTCAACATCCCTGCCCCAGTGGAGCGGGGATCGCCGTAGATCGCCAAGCCCCGATTGTTTGCCGTTTTAGGCATGGCGCCAAGGCTGCGACGAGGGCTTCGTCATTAGCTCTCACGCGAATCCCAAAGCGGGCAATAATCGAAGTCCATGAACTCGAAGGATGGGGTCATCTGTCCTTTATGGTGGCCAAAGTAGAAGCATCGGAGATGGGCGCGACGGGGTATATAAGAAGCCCAGCTCGCTCTCTGGCGGCCACAATCCACCTTACACCACACTCTTGTTCCAGACTTGACCTGAAGTCCCATCGGTAGTTACCACGAACGTGAACATGGCACACACCAAGTCCATCGATATGCGGCCCCTGAAGGACGGCCCGGCCCGCATCTTCCTCAAGTCCCAGTTCTGCGCAAAGCCTCAGTGGCCGCCCAAGTCTACCGACCTGTCCGGAAATGTAGCTGTCATCACCGGAGGGAGCTCTGGGCTGGGCTTCCACGCCTGCAAGCACATCCTCTCCTACAAGCTGTCACACCTCATACTTGCCGTCCGGTCCGTCAAAAAAGGAGAGGAAGCCGCAGCAACGCTCCGTCACGAGTACCCCGGGGCCAAAATCGACGTCTGGGAGCTTGAAATGGGATCGTACGACTCCATCCAAGCGTTCGTCCACAGGGTGGAAGCCAACTTGCCCAGGTTGGACATCGTCATTCTCAACTCGGGTATTGTCAAGGTCGACTTTGGCCTGAATCCTAGTACAGGCCATGAAGATGTGGTCCAGGTCAACTATATCTCAACCATGCTTCTGGCAATCCTTCTCCTCCCAGCGCTAAAAACCAAGTCGTCGCCTGGGATGCCTGGTCGTCTAAGCATAGTCGGTTCTGGCACCGCATACCAAGCCAAGTTTCCCAACCGGACGATGGTCCCGCTGCTCCAGTCCTTCGATGAGCCCAAGATCACCCCTTGGGATGCAGGCGACAGATACGCCACCTCGAAGCTCCTCGGCCACTTGTTTATCACCAAACTGGCTGGCTACGTCAATCCCAACGACATCGTCGTGAACATCGTCGATCCTGGTCTCTGCAAGGGCTCGGACCTGCACCGGGATGTCCACGGATTGGTTTCGGCGGTGCTGTCTCTCGCCAAGAGCACCGCGGGACGGACATTGGAGGACGGGTCATCCACATACATCGACGCCGCTGTTGTAAAGGGAAAGGAGTCGCACGGGTGCTTCGTGATGGATTGGGAAATCCGGCCGTGAGTTACATCCATTGCCCTCTCTCTTGTCTGCCTTTGTGGCTGATTAACGGCGGACTTTCTGCAGATTTGCAAACATGATCTACGATCTCGAGACCGGTTCTGTCATTGAACGTCTCTGGGATGAGACCATGGCGGAGTTCGAATTTGTCGGGGCGCGCAGGGTGTTGGAGGAGCTACGGAAATAACGGCATAGGGGAATTTTGGGGAGTAATCATCGACACCGAGTGGTTAATTAACTGGCAGTGATTATACATGCGGGCTCCGGATGGAGTACCAATGCCGGGTTGGGGAAGATGCAGAACTTGCCTTGGTTTTATAGATTATTCGCAAACTAATATATACCGTGTCTACTATCGGCGGTTTAGCAATACCTGATTGGCTTGAAACCCACCTTCTTGTCAATGAGCTTGGCTGAGAAGCAAATGAAGGATGGGTTGAGATTGTCTTGGTCGATGCTATGATCAAAGGTGACGCCAATTGCATCAAAAAATCCATCCCCGGATCGTCCAGCGAAAGAATCGAGGAATTCGGGGGCCCATTGAGTCGAACCTAAAAGTGCGATCCTTCTTTCCCGGGCGATGTTGAGGACTATTTAATTATAGCCTCAGTTTCCCAGATGAGATGGCTTCCCTTATGTAGGAGGAGCCCCATGGCCGTGGGAACCGAAGTGGACGACGACATCAAGTGGGACAAGGCCCAAACGAAGGCTCAATGAGATCTGTCGATACCAGTCAGCGTGTGACTGCTTTGGAGGTATAAGACATCAAGCCCGTTCTCTTACCCTTGCCTCCAGTCCCCTGCCAAAGGACCATGATGTTTCTCTACTTGCACCTTGCTAGAAACAACAGGAAATCTCTTTTCCTGATGGTTCGACATGAAGACGAAGAGGACGACTTTGACTCACCATCATCTAATCGACCAGAGATTCCTTCGTCTTTAAATCCCATGCCAGCTTCTTCCTGGCCTCTGGACAAACAAGCTTGCGGTCTTGCTTTGGGACCATTAGATGCATTTTTTGGCCCTATAACGGGCCTTTCTAAAGTGAGCCGCGGCCGTTGACCCACCTTGACTCGGGATTTTGCCCGGATGATGTGCGGTTAAGTTTGGTTGTTGTAGGCCGAAATTGGTGGAGATTGATAAGATTGATAAGATCGATCGGTTAGATAAGATTGATCAGATAAGTATTCCTTATTGACCGCGTGCTAGGCATTGTTTCCCGAAGGTTCAACATCTAATATACTCTTCTAGCCGGCTGATCGGAGGGTGACACTGATATACGGGATGCGATGTGGTCATGTTTCAGGTACAAACCCTCCACCTTCTTGGCTTGCCTATGTGAATCCTCCGCGTCGTGCCAGATCAATTGCCGTTTTGTGCCTTGCCCATCCTTTTAGGCGCCTGGGAAAATAAATAGGACTAGAACTTGATTCATAGATGGAAGTGGAAAATGCCGGGCAACGGGACGGCCATGGCATGCTTGGCGGCGAGCTCGCTACGAAGGAATTAGATATCCTAGCCAATGACAAGTTCCGGTCTAGCCATATACGTAGGCCACGACTATATTCGGACCTCCGATGGCCCACCGGGTGCTATCAATCGTGGAGCAGGTATATAAGTGAAGGTGCAGCAGAGGACTGCATCGACCGGCATTCTGGAATCCCCTCAAACTCCCTCAGCACCCAACAGGTTAAGCGATATCCAACTTCCTTCTCAAACATGCTCACACAAGTCCTTCTCGCCCTCGTGGCGTCCGCAAGTGCCGCCACCATCAAGATCAACGTGGGCGAGGCCGGCCTCACCTTTACCCCCGATACGACCACCGCGGAAGTGGGTGACGTTCTCGAGTTCCATTTCGTCGGCGGCGTGCACGACACCGTCAGGGGCGACTTCGATAAGCCGTGCCAGCCAGCTCCCGCGGAAGGCGGGTGGGCCTCTGGCAGCATAACTGGCTCTGCTACAAACGTCAGTGGCCCACATTTTCTATCATATTCCCCGTGTTCCTTCGTTCGTATGCGGAAAGCATGTCAAATTGTAACCATGGTTCATGTCGACTGACGCGTGAGTTTTCCGAAATATAGAAAGACGTGTTCCGGGTGACAGTCAACACCACCGAGCCCCTCTTCTACTACTGCTCCGTCGGCGCCCACTGCCCCAATGGCATGGTGGCCGCGGTGAACCCGACCGCTGACCTCACTGTTGCCGCGTATAAGGCGGCGGCAAAGGGGAAGACTGCCACCAGACCAACCGGCGTCTTTGGCGGAGAGTTTGGTGATGCATCGGCAGAATAAATATTCGGCTCCCGATCCCTGTCCTTGGATGGCATGGGTTGCATCATGAGGAACGTTGTGAGAATGGTGGTGCCAGCCGAAGCACTAAGGACATCTCTTGATGTTTCTTCCCGACCAATGTGTATTTGGGCTGCGGAGGCTATCGTGCGTTGTGTATATACATTTCGGTCCTTACAAATATAACTCCAAAACGGCGTGGAATTGCAGCAACAAATGTCCTGTTCATTATTTATAGAGTTCTAGTGTCAACAATGGACATGGACCATATCGTCTCATGAATAAGAAACTACCCACACAAGGGCTACCACTTGGGTAAATTGCGACATGCTCAACGAGGCAGTCCCAAGCAGTTAACTACCCATGTAGCGCTTGCGGCCAAGAGCTCCCAGTAGAATCGGAGAAGAGGTTGCTGCAGTGTCACCACCCCCTCTGCATCCCATCAAGTCACCGGCTTATGCTTATCACCCTTCTTAAGCCCGTAGCCTTGTTATATATAAAACTGGACACCCATCCCATGATCAGTTCAGTGAGGTTGTCTACGGAGCTGGCTGCAACCCCGTTATCGCCAACTTTGCTTTCCGACACCAGCAACAAGAGACCATCGGACAAGCGCTCTGGCAAGAAGGCTCGCATCCCGGGAAGAGACGCGTTGCAAGCTAATCATGAGGCCCTCGGTGGGACGAATGATTGTGTCACTGGGTCCACGTTGGAGTTTATACCCGGCCGGGGACTGGGAAGGGGGGAGGAGTGTTACAAGTACCGATTACGAGTCGTCTGCAGCTGTGGAATATGGGCGGAAATCGATCGATGCCCACAGGTCCAAAATGAAAACCAAGAAACATGCAGTCTACAAAATACGGAGACTCGAGATCAGTCACAGCCATGGGAGGCACTATTGCAGAGTAACAGCATAATCGCCTTGATTATAGCCCACGGCCAACCAATACCAGATGAGAATGGCTTTAGGGTAACTAGACAGCCCTTCCTTGCAAAAAAACCATCGACCCAACAAGAAAACTGCACCCATCAACCACCCGCCAAGTCCTCGGCAATCATCCGCGCCCCCTTCTCGGCAATGGCATACACAGTCGCCTGCAGGTGCGCGCTGATCTGCAGGGGAATAACGCTCGCGTCGACGACCCGCAAGCCCCTGACGCCGCGGACCCGGAGCCGCTCGTCGACCACGTCGCCCATGGCGCAGGTTCCGACCGGGTGCCAGTCCGTCACCGTGGTGTCGACGGCCCAGGCGCGAAGCGACGCGTCGTCGTCTGTGTTGGTGGTGGTCGGCGGAGCGGGGAAGACGCGGGCGCGGATGATGGAGGAGAGCGGGCTCGCGCGGCAGATGTGGTCGGCGAAGCGCGCGCAGTGCGTCATGATCTCGAGGTCGAGCGAGCCGTGCGGGCCGGCGTAGTAGCCTGGGTCGATGAGGGGGTGGTTTTCGGGGGACGTGGCATCGGGGTTTGACGGGTGGCCTGGGGGGGAGGAGGAGGAGGAGGGAGTTGAGGAGTTGGTGGAGTTGTTGGCCGGGCAGATGTGGATTGACCCCCTCGAGAACGGGTGCTGTAGGATCAGCAGCATCGTGCCGTATTTCTTGCCGTCGGCGGGGTTCGGCTGGAAGTATGGGCTCCAGTTCCCCAGATCGAAGATGAACTCGACCTGTCCGAGCTTCTTCGCGTCGCTGTCGAAGCGACGTTGCATGATGTGTCTTTGTTCGGCGGGAATGGAGGTCAAGCCTCCCACTTTCGAGGCGATGGTTGCGAGAGCATCACCGGGCATGAAGTGGGAGAGGGGCAGGTAGACCATGGAAGAGGGCAGGATGGTCAGCGGGCCGGAGCGGTGCTGCAAATACTGCTCGCGGGCCGAAGCAGCGGCAACGTCGTCGCACTTGAGGTCGTCGGGGTTTGCGATCGACGGGTCGATCTCGAAGATCATGGCCAGCACTACGGTGGGAAGACAGAGAGTGAGCAGACGTTTGATAAGCAAAGGAGTTGTTGATGGTAGCTATTGGGTGTACCTACTGATGTGGTCCTGGAGGTTGTCGCCGACGTTGGGGCTCTTCACCTTGACGGGGACCCCGGCCGCTGACAGCACGTCAGGCCTGCCCACGCCAGAGAGCTCCAGGATCTGGGGCGACTGAACACTCCCAGCGGACAGGATGACCTCGCGGGAGACCGAGGCAACAAACTCGCGGCCGCGGTGGATGAACCGCACGCCGGTCGCAGCCCATTCTTCATCTTTCTTGGTGAGGACAATCTCTTGGACGGATGCCCCCGTCAGGATGTGGAGGTTTGTAGGCGACGAGCCATCCAGGCGACGGCAATAGTCGACGGCGTAAGAGCGGACGGCCGTGTCGGGATTGATGGAGCAGACATTTGTCCAGACGCCGACGTTGGAGCCGGCGAAGTGGGCCTCGTTGGTCTCGACGCCGAGTGAGTTCAGCGTCGCGTGCCAGAGTCCATGCGAGGTCGTGAACTCTCGGCAATGGGAGATGTGGATGGGGCCCGAGTCGCCAAACGCGGAAGGGTCATAGGCAACAGGGTATCGGTCTCGAATCTCGGGAGGAGGGGGGTGGAATGTTTCCGATTGTTTAAAGCAGGGCCTGTCAGGGGAAGAGGATTGTGTGCAATTTGGTAAGTGGTGCGTGCCACCAAAAGCCACAGTGGGAAGAAGACATTGAAAGTGACAACTGACAGGAGCGAGTCCCACCCCCAGCCGGGATTTCCCAGCGCCTCCCAGGCGTCATAGTCCTCCCGGCTGGCGCGATTCCACGTCATGAAATTCAGGACGCTGGTCCCGCCGAGGACCTTCCCGCGCGGCCACGGGAGCTGCCGCCCGCCCAAGCCGGGCTGGCTCACCGTCTCGAACTGCCAGTCGTGGCTTCCGCCCAGGGTCTGCCCGAAACAACCTGGAATACGGATGTTGCCCTCGTCATCTTTGCCATCCTCCCCGACAGCAGCACCGGCCTCCAGCACGCCGACGGTAAGGGCGCTGTTCTCGGCCAGGCGGGCTGCCACGACGAGGCCCGCCGTGCCGCCCCCGACGACAATGAAGTCGAAGCGGCGGGCGGTGAACTCGTCTGCCCTAGTGGTCTCGGTGTCGGTGGTGCTCGTGGGAGGTACCATTGTTTAATCGTTGATCATCCAAGGTTTCCGAATCATTCTGACCCATATCCTTGGCTGAGATCGGCCTGGACTTAATAAAACATGACCACACAAGCTTTGGAGAAATCCCTGTTCGCTATGCAGATACGGGCGGGATAAACTGGTGTCAAGCAATTGGCAAGCAGCCAGTGGGGGAAATGGGAAATGGAACCTCCCCCACGCCGTCACGGGAAGTAGCTGAGCAGCTGCATGAAAAGGGGCCACTAAGCATGGGCCGGAAGCAGGGGTGTCGGCTCCCCGCAGCCGAATGGACAGATGGTCTGCTGCGAAATGTGCGGCCTGACCCGGGACAATACTGCGGTCGATCTGGGGAGCTGAAGCGGGCTGCTGCCCCGGTCCGAGCACCATTGTGGGCTGTTCCCAGGCGGCCCACTTTCCCAGCCACACCTGCCCAGTCCAGGGGTGGTGAGCGAGACAGGGACGATTAACGGGAGGAGGAGGATGGCGAGAATCGCAGAGAAGTCAACCCGATGGCAGGCCCCCTTAACGTACAATCTCCGAACGAAAGCCACAACCAGCATCGACTCACTCTCTTTATTTTTATTTACATTGATAACCTACGCATTTGTACTCGTCGCATTGGAAGATTTTTTGCTTGTTTTGCTTGTTTCTCTTCTCCCCTCAACCAGTCTTGTTTACGGTCCATGCCGCGTCACCCCTCGCCGCCATGGACGACTTCGTCGGCTCCATGGCCATTGAGTCGTGGACTCTGTACGCCATCGGCCTGGTGCTGATAATATGTCGAATGCAAGTCAAGACTCCCAAGTGCAATACTTTGTCGATGCCCCGTGAAGCCCGATTGCGATCCGTTGATCTGCGTGAAGTGCAGGGGACGGGGACCGGGACAGAGCACGGGTGGCGCTGAATTGCTAACGAGCTACCACATGCACAGAATATCACGGCGGATGAAGTTGGGCAGCATGAAGAATCTCCAGATCGAGGACTGGCTGATGGTCGTCGCGGGGGTATGTCTATCCCCAAGCGTAACAAATTAGCCCACGCAAAGAAATGAAAAACGGGAAATAATCGACGCGTGACTGACGAGAAAACACAACGCCCCCTCTTCCCTCCGATCTAGACAACTTTCACCGGATTCATCGTGTCCGTCAACGAAGTCGCAAAGAATGGCAGCAATTACATGTCCCCCGAGGAGGCGGCCGCCCTCACGCCCGACGAGGTGGCCAAGGCCATCTATGGTAGCAAGATGACCCTCGCGCTGGAGATGTTCACCTTGGCAACGGTCTGGCTTGTCAAGGCGTGCTTGCTGTTCCTCTACTACCGATTAACGTGAGCATTGAGTCCACGCCATGGTGGAACCGAAGAGGATGAGCTGACATGCGCGCCCCATGCAGGAGGGAGGCTTTCCACAAACAGCAGCTCGCTGTCAAGTTCATAGCCGCGTACTGCGCCGGCACCTACCTCATCATCGTCATCCTCTGCCTGACGTACTGGTGCCACCCCGTCTCCGAGTACTGGAGAGTCCCGGTGAGAAACTGTAAGCAGCTCCCAAGAACCAACCCGTCACTGCGTCCTCCTACGTCAAGCGCGCGCTGACTCGGTATATCACCAGCACAATGCGCCACTTACTACCACCACATGATCTTCGCCACATCCTTCAACATCTCGTCCGACCTGATGCTCCTACTGATCCCGCTTCCGATTATTGTGCGGACCCGCCTTCCGCTGAGGAGGCAAGCAATAACCCCGCGCTGATTCGCAAGGAAGACGACTAACCAAAATGCAGGAAACTGGTTCTCTGCTGTGTTCTTGGTCTTGGTATCTTCAATGTGGGTAATTCCCACGTTTCTGTCCGTCTATAACCCCTTTCTCTGACCAGACAACTAACAATGGGTGTGTGTGTGCGTGCTTGTCCAGATCATCGCCGCCGTCCTGAACCGATACTACAACTTCAACAACCCCAACGATCTGGGCTACATGTACTGGTACGTGGGCGAGGTGGCCATCGCCGTGTGCGTGGGCAACATCCCGCTCTGCTGGCCACTCATCCGCCAGGTCTTCCAGGCGGGCTCCTGGTTCGACTCCAAGGAGTCGGGCGAGACCCCGCCGCACCACATCCCCAGGAGCGGCCCGTTCCGCCGCCGCCCGAAGCCGCCGAACTCCTCCATATGGCTGAGTACGTGGGGACAGACTACGTGGGACAAGGTGGACGACGTGGCTGAGGATCAGGGACGGGGTAGGAGACGGAGCCAATTCGACGGGAAGGGGGGACTGGGAGGAGAGACGGTCTGCGAGTCACACGGCAGCGAGATCGAGCTCACTCCCGGGTGGCACGGGAGGGCAAATTCAACGGCCGTGACTACCAAAGGCGTGGGCGGCGCCGCCGGGGCCGAGAGTGGGAGCGACGATCCCGAGATCGGGGTTGTCGTGGTGAAGACGGTCCGGATCTCGCGGGGTTGAACTTGGTAGCGAACTTTTTACACAAGGGACATACTTTGGTCACTTTGTGACAGTGGCGTGCTTGGCAATGGCGTCTATAGCCGGAGGACTGGGATAATTTTGGCATGGTCATGGGCATGTACGCAGTATTTTAGCGAATGACACAGGCTGCGTGGGCGTTGGCTTTTGGGGCGGTCGGTCAACATCTTGTCTGGGAATGATTACAGATGTACCTTGTACGGATACGAGTATAGATCACTAGCAAGACAGGGAACATGCACGAGACATTCGATTACGATATGGATGACAATATTTCCAATCAGCTGCCCCTTATCATTCACTATTGGACGAACCCTGCAGTTCTTCCGAGCCATTGGAAGGCATTGCCAGCCATTGGGGCGCCACCAAAGCCCAACCATGCCGACAACCAGGTTCACGGTTCTGGTTCTGTGTGACAGAACTGTTCCTTCCGAGCTCTAGCCTTCTTCTTCCCCAGGTCGGAACCATTTTCGGGTTCGTCGAGTGGCTGAACCCTGGACGCACACAATTCAGAAAAAGGGGCGCCAGCGCTCCGGTGAGCTCTCGAGTGTTTGCCTCTCAGGGAAACCCGAACCGCAGCCTGCAAGGATGCAAGGATGCAAGCAAATAAAGCATGGGGTGTCAGCACTATTGCCACCTCAAATCCCAAAACAAGCAATCAAAACTGCCGACTACCTGCATCTAACAACCCTTCCGACCCATGGCTGCATCATCCCCCCCATGCACGCCCCGCCCCTCCTCCGACGGCCAGCATCCGTTCATCTATCAAGGTTGCATTCTGCGGTCGGATTTCTGCAGCCTTTAGCGAGCGAATGTGCTTCCTTGATTGGAATGCCTGCCTTGCGTCTCTCCCCTGCGACATATCTCTCAATGTTGATTGAATGTGAGGGGGTTCGGGGTTCTGACCTCTCTGATCTTTTCCTTTTTTTCTTTTGCTTCTTCTAGTCGGCCCTTTCTCTAATAACGTCCCATCTTTTTTTCTCCCTCCTCTCACTTCCCAGCAAGCCCCCTCTCCGCGCCGGCGCAGGAAACAGACAGATATCCAATCAGATCCGCGCTGTGTTTGAAACAATGGCTGCCATCACCCCCCCAGACATGGAGAAATCCGCGGGAGCGACGAACATCACCAGCACCTCGTCGGAAGATCTGAGGATCAGCGACACCACCCCGCCCCCCGCGGGGCCGTTGCCGGGGTCCGGGTCGGAGTCGGACCCGGACTCGAAATCCATCCTCTCGCGGCTCCGACGACTCAACGCCCGCATCGAGGGCCTGGCCGGCTTCGAGGCCCGCGGCATCACGCGCGTGCTGCCGTCGGAGCGCCAGGAGCCCTCGCGCGCGGCTGACCTGCAGGTCGCCCTGCTGTGGTTCAGCGCCAACGTGTCGGTCAACAACCTCGCCGTCGGCCTCTTCGGGCCCCTCGTCTTCGACCTCGGCTTCCTCGATTCCGCCATGTGCGCCGTCTTCGGTGCCCTGCTCGGGAGCTGCTCCACGGCGTATATGAGCATATGGGGTCCGCAGAGTGGGAACCGGACCATGGTGAGCTTTGATGCCCCCTCGAGAATTGAAACGAGTGTTGTGTACTTTGATGGTTCGCTAATGGCACTTTGAATCCCTTGCGCTGGATAAGGTCGTGTGCCGGTTTTTCATGGGCTACTGGCCCTCCAAGATCCCTTGCTTCCTGAACATCGTGCTCATGGTCGGCTACTGCACCATCGACTGCATCATCGGCGGCCAGATGCTCTCCGCCGTGAGCGGGGGCAGCCTGTCCATCGTCGTCGGCATTGTCGTTGTTGCTCTGGTGAGCTGGGTGGTTGCCGTGTTTGGCATGGGACTGTTCCACCACTACGAGAGGTAAATGACATCCTGTTTACGCAGCCATAAGCTCCCCCTCTGCCTGTCCTCTGGGACCCCAATTTCAACATTCCCACTAACACTTGACCAGATACGCCTGGCTACCGCAGATCCTCGTCCTCTTCGTGCTCATCGGCTCCGCGGGCCCCTTCTTCGACGCAACAACTCAGTCGGGCGGAAACAGCGCCACGGTGGCTGCGAATCGGCTCTCGTTCCTGAGCCTATGCCTCTACGTGCCCAACTCATGGGCAGCAGCGGCATCAGACTTCTACGTCTACTACCCAGAACGCACATCCCGGATCAAGATCTTCCTCCTCACCCTCGTCGGCCTCTGGCTCTCCTTCTCGCTAGTCTACCTCCTCGGCATCGGCCTCGCCACCGGCATCCCCACCCACGCGGCCTGGTCGTCCGCCAACGACATCTCCACGGGCGCCCTCGTCGTCGCGGGCTTCGGCCCGCTGCGCGGCTTCGGCCGCTTCTGCTCCGTCATCGTGGCGCTCGGCGTCATTGCAAACAGCATCCCGGGGACGTACTCGGCCGCCCTCGGTTGCCAGGTTATGGGAAGGTACCCAAAGGTCGTGCCGAGGTGGGTGTGGTCGTGCGTGCTGATCGCCATCGAGCTCGTGCTCGCGCTTGCCGGGAGAGAGCACCTGTTTGTCATCTTCCAGAACTTCCTCGCGCTTATGGGCTACTGGATCGAGTTCATGATCTGTATCGTTGTGCAGGAACATCTCATCTTCCGCCGCGCGGGGGGGCCCAGGGGAGTCATCGATTGGACTAGGTGGGAGGACAAGTCGTACCTCCCCATTGGCTGGGCTGCGCTGGCGGCGTTCCTGCTCGGCTGGCTTGGTGCTGTGCTTGGTATGTACCAGATTTGGTACGTCGGCCCGCTGGCCGAGCTGGCTGGCTTGTCTGATGTTGGCGTCTGGGTGGGCTGCGGGTTTGCCTTGGTTTCGTTCCCGCCGCTGAGGTATATTGAGTTGAGGATGATCGGCCGGTAGCTGATTAAAATGTCATCTATCTCACGGGGATATGAATGAACAAGCTGTGGAAGACATGCGCAAGCGTCTTGTCGAACTTCAGGATACAACAGCGTTATATGGACAAATCCAAATAGCATCTCTAATTGATCCTATCATCGGAAAGAGAAGCCTGCTCAAAGTGGAACGCACTGATGTTTATGGCGATTGATTCCGCGCGCGGCGACTCGGACTGTACCGGTGGCACGTCTTTCCGAGCCAAGATCTCCGTTATTTCTCTAAAGAGGAAAACCATCGCACCGAGTAGGGCCGGAGCCAAGCCGGGGTGCCGGAATGGTTTCGGACCTGCTTTGCAACTTTAGGGAATGGTGCGTACCCGACGAGGGCCATTACGTCGAGACACTGGATCCCCTGTCGAAACCTGCCCTCCTCCACAGCAGTTCAATCCAATGGTGGTTAACCAGAAAGTGTACTGTTTCCATTCAAGGATTTAAAACCCCATTTCCTTTTTCTAACGGTCAGTCGAAACACTGAATTATGGCGTTGTGTGAACACTCGTCTCGCGCTGTTCATCACTGCTTCTTCGCAGTGAGGCCACGGCTCTGGGTCTCAGACCGGCAGACCCCCTAGAGGCTGTGCTAAAAACAGAGGTTGAGGAAGGCATGTCATGCAGAACAATGTGTCCTGATGCCGAACCAGCATGAGTAGATGACACGATGTCTAGGTCTGGAGATCGACTATGTCGAGCCTGGTCCTGGTCCGCAAACCATTTCTCCCGGATCCAGGGAAGAAGGTTATAGTACCCGCCGCAAGCGAACACCCCCAGCCACAATACGAGCTCTGGCCCGTATATGACCATACCAAGGATGTCCAGTCTCGGCTGGAAGAAGACCGACAGCAGAGAGAATAGGTCACCGGCGGCGTCGATACCCACAAAGATAAAGGAGATTCCCCGCACGGTTCGATGCATCGAGATATCCCAGTAATGTCGGAGCACGCCGGCCGCCAACAGGACCGCTGAGAGCACCGCCATGAGAGTCATTGGCCACTCACGATGGTGAGATTTTACAATGCGAAGACCAACGATCAGTGCCGCCTGAAATACTCGCCATAGCGACAGCAATTGGTACAACAACGAGCAGAGACCGCACGACAGTCCATTTCTGGTTGGTATATCAGTCGGAAATGCTTATCCAAATAAGAACACAAGATGCGGGAGAGATGACGTACTCTCTGGCAGTAATAGCATTGTATCCAGGTCACTAAGCTGAGGAATGTGAGGATCTGAGGCTGTATGCGCAGCGCAACATTGAACTCCTCGACGATGTTGTACACGCCGAGGGGTACGCCAGCCCAGGCCCAGAGCATCATCATCGACGGCTGGAGGCCAGTGGTATAATGTCGACGGTAGTTCACCACGATTTGGGGGATAAGCTGCACCGACCAACAGACCTGTGGGATGGGGGATGTGAGCTTCTCGCGACGCCATGTGGAAGGAGGGAGGGGGGCCGCATACTGCTCCAAGGGTTCCCAGGGCGTTGGCCGCCGCGGGAAAGTCCATCTTAGCAGATGGACGCCGACATAAAGGACGCCCCCGAAGCAGCAAAGCTTAAATGGAGCGAGTCTCCCAGGTGGACCTGTGGTGGAAGCTTGAGGCTACGGACGCGTGATATTCACGTGATTTTAGACGCACCGATGAACATGGAGGCGAAGTTTCGGGATAAAGGAAGCTCCCACTAATTACGATTGACGAGTTTATAGATGGCATGTTTCAAGTGCTTACCAGAGCTACCAAGGAGAAGTATGGCGGCAAGGTTGTGCTGCACACTGGCGAAGTTCAGGGTTGGTGATTGAGCTCTCAGGCAGATAGCCAAGTAAACAAAGGTTCTCCCAATGACGTCATCGAATCATGCCGAATCATCAAAAGTCGACGGTGGAGAGGTGGGTAATTAGGTGGGGTTTCGGCGAGTGTGAATTTGTCAGCTCAATCACCTAGGTAGAAAACCATCTAGTGTAGCAACTTCAACTGCAACCCTAATCCCCTCACCAGTGTGTGCAATAGAACCTCGAATATGAAAACCATCGGCATCTTCCCGGCCTCGGGCGCGCTCGGCGGCAGCACCTACCGGCATCTCTTGAAGAATGTCCCCGGAGACAAGGTCATCCTGATCAGCCGGTTCCCCGAGAAGGTCCCGGACACGTACGTGCAGGGCGGCGTGCGCCTCCGCCAAGCATCATACGAGTCCAGCCCGGAGGAGCTGCAGGCCGCGTTTGCCGACATTGATGTCCTCTTCCTGGTTTCGTATCCGAGCTTCGTCCACGAATACCGCGTCAAGGTAATTAATCTACAACCCTCTCTCAATCTCTAATAAATTGTTAGCGCACTGGAACTGAACGGAATGGAGCATAGGTGCAAATCCCCGCCATTGACGCCGCCCGCCGCGCCGGCGTGAAGCACATCTTCTACAGCTCACTCGGCTTCGGGGGCAACCTCACGGACCAGTCCCTGGCAGTGGTGATGCAGGCGCACCTCGACTGTGAGCGCCACCTCGCCAAGCTGGCGGCCTCGGACCCGGCCGGGTTCACGTACACGTCCGTCCGCGAGGGCCTGTACTCGGAATCGTTCCCCATCTACACGGCCTTCTTCGACGCGGCGCGCCCGACGCCCGAGATCCGCATCCCCCACGACGGCTCCGGGCCGGGCGTCGCGTGGGTCAAGCGCGACGAGCTGGGCGAGGCGACGGCGAGGCTGATCGAGCGGTACGCGAAGGGGCCGGCTGAGGAGTTCGCGTACGTCAACGCCAAGGTCCTGTTGACGGGGAACAGGCCCTGGACGCTTGCCGAGACGGCCGAGTGCCTCGGTCGGGCTATCGGAAAAGACGTCGGGATCCGGAAGGTGGGTCTGGACGAGTATGCCAGCCAGCCCCAGGTCCTCGGCAAGTTCGGCACGCCGGAAATGGGCAAGTCGTGGGCGTCGGCATGGGATGCCATTCGCGCGGGGGAGACGGCGGTTGTGACGCCGACGTTGGGAGAGATTCTGGGCAGGAGGCCGGAGGACTTTGATGTTACTATCAAGGCCCTGGTAGGATCTAATTAGATTTGCCAGGGGCAGTGGCAGGAACAGAGGCTGAAATAGAACACATCATGCGAGGAAGGCTTGATGAGCCCCTGACAGACTGCTTTGAAAATGGCAGATAGACAGACCTCACCAAGGCCAACTATTGGAACACGAAGAAGCATTGTTTGAGTGTGGTTTCTATCTCTTGCCCTCCCCGCCTCTATCTAGTGTACAGCGATGCCGAGGGGAACGGCTTTCATTCTCCAGCAAACCACTCGTCCTGCAGCAGTTCCTTGGCGGTCGGCCGGTCACGCCAGTCCATCTTCATGATCTTTAGGATAAATTCCTTGTCTTCCTTACTGACTTCCAGTTCTGTAACGAAGCGGAATGGCATCATGGCTTCTGGTGGGATCAGGTTCATGATATACGAGATTGACATGAGAGTCTCCTTGTTGGCAATCTCTCTGTACTTTGGTGGGAAAGGGCCAAAGTAGCGGTACTGAGACATAACCACTTCGACGTTGTAGTTCTTGTTGCCATGGTGAGCATTCTTGGGGCGGAAGATGTTGAAATCGCCCCCATAGATCAAACTTATAAGCTGTTCAGAGTTAGGTATTATTTTTCTTTAACATTGTTAAACTTACCACTGTCCCGAATGACCATATGTCTGTTGCTGTATTCCATGGTGTCTCTATGAGGACCTCTGGGCTGTTCCAGAGTGGCCTGCCAATTACTGTGCCTGTTTTGGCCCATTCACTGTCTTGAGGAGAGGTACTGCCAAAGTCTCCCAATTGGACATCAGAAAAGCGCACCTCATCCTCGCCATCTCTGTAGTTGACAAAGACATTATTCAGTTTGACATCTTCGCCAGCAAGGTTAGATATAATTATAGATAACTTGATAATTTCAGAGGGATTTGTTGGTTACCTGAATGGACATAAACCATCTTTATGCAGGACACTTAGGGCCTGAAGCACCCGTTTCGAAATATACTTGATTTCCTTTCGGTTCAGTGTCTTTTAAATTGACGCCTCCAAAAGGTGGTTGTCAAGGTGCTTGAGCACAATTGATGTCGGTTCAGCCGGGTCTTCGATCTCGTCAATCATCGGCCGTATATTATGGGAAGCCCGATCCTGAAAGCGTCTCAGGATATCTCTCTCGTTCTCGACCCGCGGGTGGCCACGAACGCTCTTCACAACAAAGGTCATGTTGGCATGGTTCCTACAATTGGTGAGTCACATTCCCATGCGGCAGCAGCCGGGGCACAAACCTTGCAAACCACACAGATCCTGGATCTGCCTGGAGATGGTGTATGTCTCCAGGCGACCACGAAGCACTTGTCCGAAACGAAGAGTCGATGGCATTGTCTAGGAGTTGAGCGCCCGTTGATTCGGGACGGAACGCGCTTCGTTAGCCATTAGGGTGGAGTTGGTTGAGGAGGGACCTGAAGGAGGCCCCGGAAGTTTGATTTTTCGACGGACGGACCACGTAGATATCATGGAATTCCTCCTATTGGCTCGCAAGCCCAAGGGAGACAACACGACGTCTAAGGTACATGTACCTCCATACCCGTATATTTCCTCCGCTTTGTTTTTCCTATTGTTTATTTTTACTCCTTTCCCCTCTCAGAGAATCTGTGGCCGGGATAACATCGGCGATGCCTAAGAAAATCGGTTGTAAGAGGTACCCGACTTCCTTACTCGAAATTGAAGCCCTGTGATACAATTATGGACGTCGAAGGTGAATTGCGAAGTCCCCGGAGAGTTCTGGGGGGATTTCTCAGCAACCCTTGCGTATTGTCGTCGTATCTATCGAGACCTTGTTATGTCGCAGAGCTCCGTTGATTCCCATTGGCAGTCGCCTCACATCCGTCGATGGCGTGATCGCTCGCCGCATTTGTCATCACCACAACGATATATATAAGCGTCTGTACTCGTCATCTGCCTGACTGGCATATGTACCGAAAGTACACATCAGCTCACAGTACCATAACTTCAAGTCTTGGACTCTTGCAGACGGCATGCCGGAGCCAAAATCGTTGCATCTCACCGCCTTCATGCGGCCGGTTAGTCTGCACACCGGCGCATGGCGGTACCCAGGCTCGTATGCGGACGCCAACTTCAACCTCGGGCACCTCAAGTCCTTCATCCAGAAGCTCGAGGCGGCCAAGTTCGACGCCTTCTTCATGGCAGACCACCTGGCTGTGCTGAACATGCCCGTGGAGGCGCTGAAGCGCAGCCAGACGGTGACGTCCTTCGAGCCCTTCACGCTGCTGTCGGCGCTGTCGGCGGTGACGGAGCGTATTGGGCTCGCGGCGACGGCGTCGACCACATACGACGAGCCGTTCCACGTCGCCCGGCGCTTCGCCTCGCTGGACCACCTCAGCGGCGGGCGCGCCGCCTGGAACATCGTCACCACCGGCAACCCGGAGTCGGCCAAGAACTTCAGCCGCGACGAGCACATGGAGCACGGCGACCGGTACAAGCGCGCCCGGGAGTTCTACGACGTCGTCACGGGCCTGTGGGACAGCTTCGCCGACGACGCGTTCGTGCGCGACCAGCAGACAGGCATATTCTTCGACCCGGACAAGATGCATGTCCTCAACCACGAGGGCGAGAACCTGAAGGTGAGAGGCCCGCTGAACATTGCCCGGCCTGTTCAGGGTTGGCCCGTCATCGTGCAGGCCGGCCAGTCCGAGCCGGGCAGGCAGCTGGCCGCGGAGACGGCCGAGGCGGTCTTCTGCGCCCCGCGGGATATTGAGTCGGCCAAGGCGCTGTACAGCGATATCAAGGGGCGCGCGGTGGCCGCGGGCCGCAACCGCGACCACCTCAAGATCCTGCCGGCAGCCCTCATCGTCATCGGTGACACGGTGGAAGAGGCGAGGGCCAAGCGCCTCGAGCTTGACAGCCTCGTGCACTATGACAGCGCCGTTGCGTCGCTGTCGATCGCGCTCGGCGCCGATGCGTCCGCCTTCGACCCGGACGGCCCGCTGCCGGCGGACCTTCCGGAGACGAACGCGAGCAAGTCCAGCCGTGCTGGAGTGCTGAAGCTTGCCGAGGAGGAAGGGCTGACGGTCCGGCAGCTCGCGCAGCGGTACGGTGGCTATTCCGGGCTCGCGTTTGTGGGCACCCCCGAGACGATCGCCGCCGAGCTGGGTACGTGGCTGGCTGAGGAGGCGGCCGATGGCTTCACTGTCGTCTTCCCGTTCCTGCCGCAGGGCCTCGACGATGTTACTCAGCGGCTGGTGCCTGAGTTGCAGCGCCGGGGTATCTTCCGTCGAGACTACGAGGGGACTACGTTGAGGGAACACCTTGGCCTTCCGCGGCCGAAGAACCAGTTTTTCTAAGAAGTAAAATATGGCTTGATGGTCGAGAGACCAGTGTTTGTATTAATTATCGTCGGGAGGAAGATGGGTACAAAACATAAAGTTCACCACGCAATAATGCAAATCACTACTATTGCTCCATGATCTTCACCCTGTCTCTGACCTCCCAGTCTCAACCTAGCAAGCCGAATTCGTCTGCGTGAGAAGGCCGAGTTGCCACGGCAAAGAATCGTAGCTACCGCTTGCTGTCGGGCTCAGGCCCTGGTAGAGATAGCGCAGATCGCACGGGCTGATGGTCAGGGTCTGGTCAACTTGGTCGCGCACCACTTCGCCGTGGCTGATGCTCTTAGTCCATGGCTGTCCGTCGAAAACGACGTTGTTAGACCGGGCGAACGGGTTGTCCTCGGTGTCGGCGAGGCCGGTCCACGGGCCGGCGATGCTGCTCGCTGTCCAGCTACGGAAGTACCGGTTACCGTCGCTGCCGATGGCTTCGACGAGGAGGAGATAGCTGCTGCTGGTGCTGTTGCCGTCGCTGGCAAGATGGTATACGTTCGAGGCCTCGAATAACTTGAACTTGTCCGCGTCGGACAGTGCGATCACGGTATTGCCCATGCCACTGGGGAAGTCGGCGAGCGACGTCTGCGAACGGTAGAGGCGCCCGTTGTCGTCGGACGAGAAGAGGTGGCAGTCGGAGGCGTCGCAGATGACCCACATGTCAACCCAGTAGCCGCCGTCAAGGTTCTGGGAAATGATGTCCGGCGTGTCGCTATAGAAGTTCTCGGGAGCGCTCCACCCCGCTGGGTTGCTGATGTCCTTGTTGGTGGAGTAGGCGGCGTTTCCGTTCTGGAAGATGAGGTACCAGAGCCCCTGTGGCTCGAAGTAGAACACCTGGGGAGCCGCGCGGTAGCCCGAGCCAATCGGGGTCTCGTCGAGGTAGTGGAAGGTGGCTGAATCCGCTTGGGAGAAGTCGGTGAAGCTCAAGTAGACCAGGTTGTAGCCCGACGCCTGAGACGTGCTGGCAAAGACGTGATACGTCCCGTTGATTTGTACGATGGAAGGGTCTTTGATTCCAGCAATATTCCGACTATCGTTCTTGGGACTGATGAGTGCTCCGCTGGAGCTCCATTCAAAGCTGCTTGGGAGACCGGCCGTCTGCCTTGTCGTCACCATGGGCGTGTCGGCTGACCCGCCGAGAGGCACATGACGGCCTGCCAACTTGCTGGCAGCCGCAGTGCAGACCGTTGCTGCAAGCACGATGAATGACAGCATTTTTTCCGGACACAACCTCGAAGAAATGGCACTGTTGAGGGTCTTCAAGACTCATCATGCTACGGCTCTCCGCCCTTCTTTTATTTATACTTCTACTCCAAAATCCTTGGATAAACTTGAGGGAAGCGAAGTCCGGTTCGGACCGGAAGAACCGATGCTACATGCTCCCAAAAGGGGGAGGGGGGGCGCGGCAAGCAGAGGGCAACGAGTGAAGGTGCTATCTATGGCTAGGCTTACGAGCCGCAGCTGCAATCTTTTGAGGCTCGGGAAGTAAGTAGACGGACGTTCTATTTGCCATATTAATTCCAGCATGGTTATCGTTCCTCTCAGAGAGCGGAAAGTTCCCAATCCAGGACCATGCGGACTGCTACCACAACACAGGCATGCCTGCACCGGGTATGTGGGGAAATGATGGAACATCCGGTAACAGAGATAATTGGGGCGCTTCTCTCATTTAAATCAGAATTGCGGCCAGCCCTCGGAAGCCACCGTTCCGCGGCGCATTTGGTAAGACGCACCCTTGATTCACGGACAGGCGTGAATGAGTGCAAAGAATACCTGGATATTAATAGAGTCTCGTATACACCGCCGCCTCAAAGCTTGGTTGGTTTCATAATAATACATGCTTCACAGTCGCTTACTTGCCTCGTAATTGCCCCTAAGCTTACCCATGGGCCCCTATTCAATACCACCTGGAAAGCCGAGTCAGTTCACAACTTATCGCTTGTCTCTTGCAGAATTGCGTTTAGTCATCTGCACTCGAGGTCTTCCATAGAGCCTTATAGCTTGTATATTTGACTTTGCTAATTACCTTTTCAATATACATTTTGCCCCCCTAGCCAGCAAGCTTATTACTCTAAGGTTTGGAGACGAACCTAAACTGCAAACTTAAGTTTCAAGGAATAAGTCATATAATCACTTGTAAACCGTCGTCCTTCTCCCGAAGTTTGAATCCAACGCAACCGTTTCACCATCCAATAACTTATCAGAACCCTGCCCAACCTCTCTTCCACACTGAGGACACAAACTATATCTCCGAAGGCCATGGAGACATCGGAACATCCCTCTCGGGAGCCAAACCCTTTAACCTCGAGTGATAGGGCCGTCTTTGAGTCTGCCCTGTAGTCCGAGACAATCCGCTGCAGGCAGCTTATAAGCGATCCGGCCAACACAACTCCCTGCTCGCGCCAAATCGCCAGGAATCTGAGGAGGCACTGTCGCCCCGCGTTAAAACACATTCGGGATGGTGGCGGAGAGGAGAGCTCAAGGACATCCAAAAATTGATAACGAACGTGAGGATGGAACTCCACTTTGATCGTTGGCAAGACAGTGAATGGCGACAGGAGGTTGACGACTTGCAAAATGTCCATCTCAGAGTGCTTTGTATTCGATATCGGGAAAGTTGCGCGCCGTTGCCTGGACACGCATCATGCGAGAGAGGCTCTTTGGCTACAATTCCACCCGGATGAAGCGACGTTGGGCTCGCAGTCCTTCGAGGTCATTGCACAGACAATCCTCGACGACCGCACTTATCTGGACCAACTCGTTCCTGCTGACTCTTGGAACCTTATTCCGACCCTATTCGCGGCCATCTGCCCCTGCTCAGGCTTACTGGGTCGACCGAATCTATTTGAACAACGTTACAGTCGTGGGATGGAGACTCGCCAAAGATATCCATGCTGAGGACAAGGAGCCGTCGCAAATGGAAAAGGCGCATAATAGAGTGCGTCTAGTTTATTCGCTGCCAGCCCAAGCAATGGGACGGACTGTCTCGCCAGAATTTGCAGATTAATTAGAATTCATGAAGTATTCTCCGAACCTTCCTTGCAGAAAGTCAGGTACCCAAGGCAGCCTGATAATTATATGAACCCGGACCAAGAATAAATAGTGGCCAACCACTCCATGATCAACAGTTGCGGTGAATCACCCAATTCATTAATTACCCCATCAATTATTGATTATTGGTCAAAGTCTCCAGCGTAGAGGATATCCCGAGGGTCACCATTCACCCTCTTCCAGAGTGCTCGTGCCTCATGTTCCAAGTCCCTCTTCCCTAGCGCAGTGTTGTTGGCCGCTTGCAACTCCTTGACCGAATTTTCTCGCTCGAGCTTGACTGTTCAAATCATCAGTACATGCCAACCAGGCCAGTGCACAGAAACATGATGTCTTCTTTGCAACGACCAACCAGAAAACAACTCACCATGCAGATACACCGCCGTCCGCTTCCCGCTGAACAGCGCATGCGGCACGTTAGTGACGTTATCCGAGTTGGCATCGCCAATGGCATATATGCCATCGATGTTAGTCGCAAGCCCATTAGCCGGATCCGCCGCCAGCCGGCCACCATACAACGCCACGCCGGCGTCGGGCCCGATCCGCGACGCCTGCTCGGCATCGAAGCTCGTCAGGAACGCCGCCCGCTCCACGGGCGCGCCCTCGGAGAACTCGACGCGGAACTGGTCGTACTCGGCCACCGACGGCAGGCTCGCGTCCGTGTCGTTGGCCGTCCCGTTGCGCAGGCGCGTGATGGCCGTGATGGTGCGGTTCTCCACCGTCACGTTATGGATCTGCAGGTACTTCTGCCACTGCGGGAACTTGTCCTCGGTCCGGGCGCGCGCCTCGGGCGTGTCGGTCCCGTTGACGAAGGCGATGATGTCCTTGTTCAGCGTCAGCACCTCGCGCACCGTGCCCGGGGCCGTCTCGAGAGAGCCGATCAGTCCCAGGGGCTGGTCGGCGTGCTCGTGCCCGTCGCACCACGGGCACCAGTAGATGCCTTTGCCCCAGTTCTCGCTCAGGCCTGGTGTCGAGGGGAGGAGGTCGCGTAGGCCCGTCGCGAGGACGACCTTGCGCGCCGTGTGGGTCTCCGTCTGGTTGGATGGGGAGGTGGTGGAGATGGTGAAGTAACTGCTGTCGGACGAGGGTGTGATCTTGGTGACTGTCCCGTTGGTCATGTTCACCGTCGAGTAGTGCGAGAGCTGCTGGCGAGCGGCCCAGCGAAAATATGCCGGGGTGACGCCTGATTAAATCACCGCCATGTCAGGCTCCAGAATCGGCGGTGAGGACGGAGGAATTCTCGGATACGATAATAAACTCACCATCAAAGCCGAGGACGTCGTGCATGTGCCTCGTCGGGCCGTTGCGATACACCCCGGAGTCGATCAGGAGGACATTTCGGCGCACTCGGGCGAGGCCGCTCAGGGCGCTCAGGCCGGCGGGGCCGCCTCCGATAACGATTGCATCCCACTGCGGTGGCGCTGCTGCGTCTCGGGGAACAACTGCTGCGAAGGCGGCCGAGATCAGTGCCGGTAGCGTAAGAGTGTGGAGCAGCCGCATTGTGAAGGTGGATATGTGTGTGTGTCTGACACAACTATGCGGGCACTAGGTGAATGGACTGTGATAGTGGGAATGGCTCAATGGCTGACGGTCTATTGAGTGGTGAGGTTAATATATATAATTACTCGCCAGATGAGCTCCATTGTTGACATACGGATACAGTACCAGGAAACTAAGGGGATCGCCAAGGCTTGAGAAATGAACGAAAAGGTCGATCTTCGCGGGCGACTGGCGACGTGGCGGGTGAGTTGTGGGGTTATGATCGCCAGTGGCTGCTGTTCAGCTACTCGGTTATGCTCGATTTGAACAGGCCGAGTCGCTGATCGTCCTCGCAAAGGTATAAGTAGCGTTCCAAAAATCGGGCCGACCCGTCACTCTATCGAGACAAACTCAGTTCTCACGCAGGTGGCACAAGTGACACGGGAAACCCGCTGCAGTAGCGTGAGCACGAAGAAAACTGCCTGCATTTTAACTCACGAACAGTTCTCGGGTAATGGAGTTTCAACGGGATCTGAACCTTGCCTATCATGCATTGCCACCGACCGACGCACACAACTGGTTAGACAAAGGCGCTGTGCGACTGTTCATTAGCGGCAGGATATTAACCAGGACATTGGGAGCGGTGAACCTGGTTTTCCGGAGTAATTACGAAGCCGCAGTAGTCACACCGTGCCCAAATAGTGCTATGGTTTGCGCCGAGTGTTTTGGAATGAAGCGAAGCTGAAAAATATCTTATTGCGGCATCGCTCTCTGTACCACCGCTATACCAACTGGGTAAATCCTGCCTTGTCAAGCACACCATTTTCCGATACTTGTACTGTGTAAAGGGCCTGGTAGAAGAATGGAAGCGTGGGACAGCATATTTCAGCAGATAACGGCCCTTCCCTTCTCCGCAATCCCCCTCTCATGCGTCGGACTCACATCCATAAGTGTATCCCGCAGGCCCATGTGTCGCGGATATGGCCGAACGAGTATGACACTAGACTCCACGTTTGTCATACGCACCCAATATTCTTAGCTTTCCACGGGTTGGCTAACTAGATGCGTGATGCCCACCGTTCCTTCGCCCAGATACAACTCTACGAACCGTTTATTCCACCATCATTTGGCAGCCACGGGTCAATTCCATGTTCATCGATACTTGGGAGAGTCAAATACGATGTTGAAAATCGGGCCGAAGTATTCGTGGAAGTTCCTCCCGACACTAGTAAATAAACAAGATGTCCTTCGAATCACTCACAGGCAAGGAAATCAAGTCCCTAGCCGTATAGAAGTGAGATTTTGCGGAATAAGCCAGCCACGGGCATGAACATACAACTTTCAAGGTAGAAAAATATTGGAAACTAGCACCGAGGCACAGTTGCTCCGAACTACCAAGTGTTGTGGGCTGCTGCGAGACATCAACAACGTTGTCTCAGGACTCGGAAAATCAGTTGTCCCAAGAGGGCCGCCGTGAGTGGTGAGGTAAAACATACATGCTTGTTACCTGCCTAGCTAACCAAACGCTCGGGTAGAGCCGTTCGGCAGGGGTGCAGATACGTAACCCACCTTTGAGACATTGGTCCATGTCCGGGATAGGCAAAGCTCAAGCTCCACCACCAAGTCAATGCAGCAAAGTGCCTGGATCTAATCAAACGCTGGGATTGATACTAATCTGACAAATGGTGCACAGCTGGCTAGGTAGTGTTAACTTGATGGGAAGGGCGAAACCCAGCCTCAGAACGTGAAACTACAGTGGGTGCCTAAATACTTCCCCTCCTTTTCCCGAGTTTTGACATACGAGTGAGTCAGTGAACGAACGCCATGCCACTTCGATGGCCAATCATGAACCATTCATCCCACCAAGAGCGCCACAACCAAAGCCAAGATGTCAAAGAATCGGTCCAATATTCTGCCTGCTTACGAAATTGCCAGCATATATAGCTTTACCATAATGTCCTTCGACTAGAATTTCTCATGAAGAAGAGGAAACCCAATTGTCCGGACTCAACTCAGTCTTGTTTCACATCTCGAGCATTCAAGAAAATCAACCCTCTATTCCGGTACTCCGCTAACTGTCACCATGTCTCTCAACAAGATCACGACTTGCCTCTGGTTCGACGGCCGCGCCGAGGAGGCGGCAAACCACTACATCGCCATCTTCAAGAACTCGGAGATCACGCAGATCCAGCGCGACACCGATGCCGGCAAGGAAGCCCCTGGCGGAGATACGGGGACGGCAAAGGTCGTGGCCTTCAAGCTAGACGGCCGCCCATTTATTGGGCTCAATGGCGGGCCGTACTTCAAGTTCAACGAGGCCATCTCGTTCCAGGTCGAGTGTACGGACCAGGCCGAGATCGACTCATACTGGGAGAGGCTTGGCGAGGGGGGCGACGAGAGCAAGCAGCGGTGCGGATGGCTGGTGGACAAGTTTGGCGTGTCGTGGCAGGTGATTCCGAAGCAGCTCAAGGAATTTCTGGGCGGTCCGGACAAGGAGGGGGCGGCTAGGGCAACTTCGGAGATGATGCGGATGAAGAAGCTGGATATTGCGGCCCTGAAAAAGGCGTACGACGGGGAGACTTAAGATCAACAACGATATGACCACAATCCTGAAATGAAAATAATTTGCTTGAAATTTCCTGACAATCCCATAACGCTCAGCTTTTCAAGTCAAGACCACGAATAGACACCTCCAGAGCATATAGCTTGGGATTAACAAGACTCCGGATCCCGCAATAATGTGCTCCAAAGCGTGCTGTTGCAGCCCCGGATGTCACCGTCTCCGCCCCCGTCCTCTCCTTCCCCTCACCCAACTTGGGCGGCGTCGGTGCCCCGATGTACCACACCCGAGTCTGGTGATCGCGGACTGCCTGGGTTATTGCGCCGAAGCTGATGCCGGGATACGGCTTCGACAGCTTCCACTGGTGCAGGGCCTGGATCAGTGTGCCGAGGAGAAACGCGTCGCACCCCACGGGGCAGGAAGCTCGACCGTCGCGCAAGTCATCGACCAAGCTCTGGAGACTTGAAAGGACCTTGCCTATCAGTTCCTGCCGCTGTTTGTCTATGCCCTCTGTGTCAAGAATAGTAAGTAACAAGGTTCCAACTCTGCTGTGCCAAGCAGCTTCTTACTGATGACATTGTTCTGTATCGGAAGGCCAAACAGATCGATCGGACCCGTGCTCTGAGAGATTGCCGTGCGCGTAGCAGCCCTGAATAATTCGGGCTGTCGGAAGACGTGGGCAACAAAGACCCAAAGAGCCAGTTCCCTATCCGATTTAACTGAGATGGGCTTTGACTTTTCAAGCTGGCTAATCCATCTGTCGGCATACGCTTCAACGGCCTCGTAGCATTGAAACGCGTCGACAAACGAGGCGACCTTCGCCAGCGTCTCCAAGTCCAGCGATTTGGGCACCCGGAGGCCTCTGCCGTGGATGACATCCAACACAATCTTGACGGCGGTGGAGTCGAAGCCGTCCAGCTTGACGTGGACGCGACCGTCGGGCTGGATGGCGTCGGAGTTGTCGTGCCCGCCCCAACCGTACTGGCTTCTAAAGACTCGAGACGCCAGGCTCATGTGCTTTGACGAGACTTTGATTCGTAAATCGGGCGATCCATGGTTGGAAGTGCCGTTCGCTAACCGCCACGCCTTGGCTGGGCTCACGGAAAGCTTTGGCGGTTCGTCCTGGCTGTCATCACCACTGGACCTTGACAGGATGATCAAGGCGTCGGCGTCCCGGTCAACCTCGTATATGGACATATTCGCAGCAACAACTAGATACTGGACAGGAAATATTGATAGGGGCAGATTTTCGGAGCTTTGGGTATTTCATTCTCCAATTGACAGTAACCCCTTTTGAAATTGCGTGATAAGCCACCCTCGTCGCGCCATGTTTGGGGGGGATTGGTTACCCCGCCGGCAGCATTGGACACGACGAAGAAGAACTCCAACACACCCTGAATACATGTTAGGTCATGAATTTAGGTACGTTTGCAGCCAGGGGATTCAGCTACATCTTACAGGCTGGCAAAGCCTTGCTAGGTCTAGATACATTTTAGCAGGCCTGCCAAAGCTAGTTACCATTATTCTTTCTCTTATATAAGACGAATCTAGACAACCGCACCCTAGTCTGGCCTACATTGTGCGTCGTCACTTTTGCTTAGGCTTGATCAGGCGCTGCTTACTTTTGCTTACCCTGTTTACCCTTTTAGGTAAAGGGCGTTGCTGCTGCACACTAGGAATTGCTTTAACTCTAGCCAAAAGGGGTGGGGGGGGGGGGGGGGGGTTGCAAAACAATGCACTACTGATATTTTTGATAGCGAACTCGGAACGTTCAGTCGACTCGCTGTGTCTGTTCGTCTCGATTACATAAAGCGCGTGGTTACGAATTATCTTGAAGAAGAACGGCTTCTTCGGGCTCTCCTTGCTCAGTTCAGAGGCATTGCTAGCCTCCCGACCCGCGGGTGCTCAAGCTGGCGCATAATTTGAACAAACAGGGACGCCATGACGAAGCGGAGGAGATGGCGCTGGAAGTCCTTTCGCTGCTTCAAGGAAATGAGATATATGCTTGGAGAATTGTCGAGAGGATAGAATCTCGAAAATCGTTTCTCGCAGTTAGTTTAACCAAGGGAAGACTATGGCAGCAGAGCAGACTATGCGAGACGCGATATAGATGATTGTGGATCGGTGGGGAACACAACCTTCCTAGGTCCCTAAATTCATGAATGTTCTGGAAGGTTGGCTTCGAGTTTAGGGCCGGAAGGAAGACGCCAACACACTACAGGGAGAAATAGAAGAGTTAATCGGGAAGGATGAGATTGGCGAGTAGCTTGATGAGGTGCAAGGCTTGCTTTGTTGACTACATAGCTTCTGTCTTCATCTTCTTTCTCAGAGGATCAATCACCGATCCACTTTCCACAAGCACCAGCTCATCAACTCTGTCCATGGCATATTCGACCCGCTTCCAAGTCTTCAAGCTCCCAGTACTCGTATCGAGTTCCCAAATCCGCGTTCGTCGGTGAAATCGCATTCCGCCATACGAACAATATCCCCCGAACCCGCTGCCACCTCCATAGCATAGCCAAAGGCCAGGCTGAGGGGGTTTGTGGCCATCCTGCTGCGTTTGTTGTGGCAGTAGAGCGCAAAAGTCATTCACGTGATTGTGCCTGCAACCTAATGCTGATGTGCCTCCTTTGACCAAAGTGTCGTAGAAATGGGAATTGAAGCTAGGACATTTAGACGGTTCCCTCCGGTGGCTGTTGCGTATACTAAGATGGCGATCACCGAATTCGGGAAGAGGGATGTGTAGGAAAGCCAGAGAGAGATGAAAGCGGATGTCGTTATCGCCCTTCTCACGCGCGCTTCGTTGCGCTTGGAAAGTGTTTGTGAACCAGTCAATTTGGCTTTGCTTGATAGGGTCATAGTTGGGATTGTGTATCTTGCTTGGTATTTGACCGTGCGAATCCAGGAAATATAAAGTTGATAACGGGAGCTGTGATGGCGTAGGAGCTAGGACCTGAAGGTAGAAGTTGCCTATGCCGTCAACATGCTCTAGGCCTGACTTGCAGAGGCTAAAAGGCAGATTATGAAGTATTGACATCTGTGCCGTGCCTGTAATCTAGTTAGCAAGAATGAACAGCTATCATTCCTAAGACCTAGCGTATTGGGGAATGTATAACTATCTTGAGGAGCAAAGCATTCTACACCGTTTGCGAATGTGCGAGTGTGTTGCCGATAGCTAGCTCTTTGTACTGGCTACCTTATGAAGGAAATTACTCACGTGATAATGCGTGGATACCCTCACTATCGTGATTGCCAAAGACGGCTGCGAATGGGATTGAACGCTCGATGATAGGAGCAACCACCTTGAAGAGGGCAGATTGGCTGTCGGGGATGTCGTGGTGCAACTGATCTCCAGTGAGAACCACAAGGTCTGGTTTCTCGACATCCAAGATCCTTCCAATGAAGCCAACCGTAAGTGGGTCAGCCTCGCTCTCTGGCAGATTGTTCCCATGGGCATCAATAGCATCTTTGCACACCCCGACACCAGTGACCATGTGCGTGTCAGAGATCTGGACAATCTTGAATTTGCCATCCTCCCTGACTCTTAAAGCCGCCCGAGCATCTGGTCTCGGCTTGGCCCTGCCGTGGAGTACGCTCAGTCTTGCAACCGGGACCTTTGGCTGACCGTTAAGTTGGAGCTATGATCGCATGAGAGCTCATTGTGGTCGTGGATCAACGGCATCCATACCAAAGAGAACTTCCACCTCTGTCACAGCCTGGTCAATCATGCCAGAGAACTTGCCTCTTAGTAACCAGATTCCGCCGGGTCGACTCTCCCATGAATGACCTGAGCTAGGGTTGGGAGGCGGATCGCTGACTCTGATATCCATAACCAGCAGGTCCTCAGCTGCAAGCTCTTCCTCATTCGCTAGCGCCACATACAGCCATGCACTCTGCTGAGATGTATATAAGTAGAGCTCCTTCTCTATGCGGTGCCATATTCGCGGGTCCAGTTCGCAGGTGGAGGGAGAAACTGTCGGAGAGAAGATGCATACGGTCAGATCCGTGGCGACTGGATGAGGAACAACGGCCGTAATATGGGAAGTAGACGATGTCGCCGTTTGGAGACACCTTTCCTGAGAGGGACAGGACTCCAGCAGACAAGAGGAGACGGATGCTGGCATCGGCATTGAGGCAGAGAGCGTTGAGGCGCGAAACGAGACTAGACGAGGTAGTGAAACGGCGAAACAGTGAAGTAATAAAAGGGTAAACTCTTCGCCAAAGCGGGAATTGTAAAGACGGGGTAAGGGCGAACGTTGGAATGAGATGGAGGTTGTGAGGGGTTGAGAAATCTAAACGCCGCTGCTGAGGAAGCTAAGCTACCTACCTACCTCATTAAACTGGTACTTGGGGAAACAAAAATCCCGGGAGAAACCTGCAGCTCCCAGCCACTCAAAAGGCCGCCCACTTTGCGTCTGCCATGTCACTTCGACCGCTGCACGAGGCCGTATCATTTTTCTGCACATCAAGCATCTCCTTATACGTGGCATTGCGACGAATCCCTCCCTCTGCATGCACTGGTTGAACCGGGGCGTCCAGCCCACTGAATGGTAGCAGCCGCCCCGGATCGACGACCGGGCGGAGACGGGCAGGACAACGGTGAAGGCTTCGATCTCGCCCCAGTGGATCTCTATCTCGGCCGTAGGCTTGAAGCCCTTTGCGTCGCGCTTGGCGAAATCCTTGACCTCGAGGACCACCTGGTTGGCAAGGCTGTTCTCGGCGAGATACGTGGCAATGTCGCCGAGGAACTGGGGAGGATCCCGGTGTCACATAGCCTACATAGAGCTATATCTGATTCGTTCAGGGTTTGTACGCCGTACAAGACTTGCACCAAGTTGGTTAGCGTGCCGTCATAAGGAGATATGTAATTCATATCAAAAGTCGACCTCTTGCTGGGGTCTGGATTTGTCTTAGATAACCTGCTGTTAGTCACGGTTGGTGTTGCATTGTAGGAAAACACAAAGGAGACAAGACATACCTGTAGGTCGAAGAACCACGACAACAAACTACAAGATTTTGTACTGTATTTATTTATATTCCACTAGCAAGTAGCAGTTATCGTGGCGGCACCAGCCAAGCCTAGAGCGGTAGAAAACAAGGTGCCATCAGGTTGATTCCCAACTCTGCTTTCACCCATGGTACCCAGCAACAATGCCATCATGTCCATCCTTGGCCTGCACTCAGCTAAGGGCCGGGAGGAAAACCAGCCTGCTTCCCATCAAGGAGTCACCCTGCGCAGCATGATCTCCTTCCTGGCATCGGGAATAATACTACTGGCAACGACAATGTTGTCGAAACGCTTGGTCTCGCCCTCAGGCATCTTAAAGTCAAAGTCCAGCAGCAGGCGCGCTAGGATGAGCTTGATCTCATTGGCAGCGAAGAACCGGCCCGGACACGCGTGGCGTCCGTAGCCGAAGCCCATGTTCTCCTTTGTGACGGTGACAAACTGGTACTGCTCCGTGCTCTTATAGCCTATCGGATCGGCCGTCTCCCCGCTGCGGAGCCGATAGAAGCGGTATGGATCGAAAGTCTGGTCGTCTGTCAGCAGCCGGGCATCACCCGAGAGTGCGGCGGGAATCACAAGTATTTAGGGGACATGACTGTACCTCGGGGTTGGGATAAAGCTCCGGGTCATGACTGATGGCCACGTGGGGCGCCTCAACTACTACGCCGGCTGGGATATTTGTCCCGTCGTGGAGAGTGATGGGTTTCTCGATGTATCTCGCGAAGCGTGCTGGGGTTTGAATCAGCTTCGTGCTATTGCCTTGGAGGTAATTGATACTAATTATTACTCACCCATATTCAGAGGATTGACTCGTTGGGATTCCCTCATGACACTGTCGAGGAGTTTCATCCGGAACAATGCCTGAGTGGTCATAACCCCGTCTGTCTCCTCCAAAACTGACTTGATCTCCTCACGCAAGTCAGGGATGACTTCTGGGTGGGCGACAATATCGTACAAGCTTTCCAATCGTGAGTAATTACTCCACACCTCTGGTGTTATGAGTGAAATTTCGGAGGTTCTTACATGTGCGTCGCAGTCATGGACGTCGTATGGATGGCCGCCATGCTGAGTGTCAACTGCATAAACGCCATCTCCGCATCGTCCTTCACGTTGTGGCTATCCGACTTGTCAAGCATCCACTGCAACATGTCGTCCGGCATCTCCGCCCCCTGCTTCATCATGGCCTTGCGCTGCTGGATTATGGGCACCAGAAACTCCTTCGCCTTAACCCTGTGATCCTTGACGCGGTCCAGCTGCGGCGTGAAGAACCGGGCCGCGATCGGCCGGAGGATCTTAGGCCACCTCTTCAGCGCCCGGACGGCGGCGAAGACGTCGACGGTGAAGTCGATGCTGGCATGCAGGTATTCCTCCCGGCGGTACAGCTCCGGGCCCAGGAAGATGTGGCCCGATACAATGGCGACGATGCGGAGGAGACGCTGGTTGATCGCGACCGGAGTCCAGTCGTCGCACAGCGGCAGTTCAGTCTTGACGGACCTGTCAACCTCTTCGGAGAGGCGGGGGTTGACTCGGGCTGTTTTCATATTGCGGAGTTTAATAACGTCCCAGGCCGCTGTGCGTGGAGGTACGTGGGTACACTTACGGAGATTCCGCGTGAGGTCGGCGCGCACCATGTGGTTAAGAAAATCGCCCTCTGCTGTCAAGCCAGTATACTTGCCCTCTATGGTCTGCCAACGCGGTGAGTAAAAATCACCACCATGCCATCCTCGGATTTCGAAAGGACGAACCATGAAGATAGCTTTTGTGTTGTTGACCTCGTCGTCGGGTCGAGTTCGAAGCTCGTCGAGATATGTATTCGGGAGGATGATCCGCTCTCCTATATCACCATATCAACGGAACTACGCTCCAGTCATGCTTTGCACCTGATTGTAAAGTGGTTGACGCACCATCCGCCGTTGTCATGCGGTAGGCCGCACTCCTGAATTTGGCGTATCCCTCTCGGTACAGGGTCTCGGCATGATACACATATGCCATCAGCCTCTTAGGATAGCTGCCATATTGACTACCGATCAGGGGGAACCTGTTGAGCGATCGGTACCCAAGATAACGAGCACCAACGAGCGTGATTGAGAGAACCGCGATGCCGACAAGTACCGCTGGCACCTGGTCGGCGAAAGCTCCAACGTGGCGGTCCATCTTGGGCTGTTGAAACATCAGCAGAGCAGAGATGTTGAAGACGGGCACCCGGCGATGTGGGAGGACGTGAATATAAGAATACTGAAACACCTCCGCACCGAGATCGTCAGTGATCGGCTGCCACGTGCACGAGTTCACCGGGTTGGAAAATGGGAAGATGACGGTGCATGACTGGCCAATATGACTCGCAGCACTGTGAGGTCCACGTTGGGTGACATTACAGTAGGATGGGGTAACTGATCCGACAGCAAGATCGGCGGATCTTGAATGTATATTCCACACATTACACAGTATAGAGTAGCCCTGACCACTATCTGGTTAAATTGCCGGGTGATATTCCCTCCAGGCAATGGGCCAATCTGAGGGACAGAATTCCAAAAACTGGGCGCCCATTCGCCAAGGAATTGGTCGCAATCATACATATCGCCGTTACATTCTTTACATTCTTTCCCCTCATGCTTACCCTCCCGTATTAGGGTGTCGGCAACAACGCTGCTGATCACCTGCCCACATGTGCAACCCCTGGGCGAGGCATGGTTGTCCGGAAACAGGAGTCAAACGGGCGCCCTATATAGAGCAAGCACTTGGGAGATCTCGGCAGAATACAAGAAACACCATGGCCGAGCAGCCAATTAATAGAATGTTGCGGCAAGGACTAACACCGAGTCTTCTAGCTCTGCACATCTACCTACCTAACCTATCTACCCAAGTATTGAGCAGAACAGCATAATTACCAGTCCGAATCTGTGCCCATACCCGCTGCTCCGTATGTAACGTACAGTACAAGCATATGTATGCCGGTCCCTGTCTAAACCTAATTCCCAATATACAGATGGGAACCACTCGCCAGCGTGCCGTGCGATTTGGATACGGACTGCAACGACGGCACCTCGCTACTAGAGCTTTCGGAGCTTCTAGAACGACGACGACTCTCCGCCTCCTCCTCATCGTAGGTCAGGGGTGGCCACCCCGCCCCTAAAGCCATTTGCTTCTCGAGAGAGTCCTGCTCGTTCGCCAATTTGAGGAGCTTCTTTATCGCGCTAGGGATCCCCAACCCGACCACGCGCCTCCCCCAGGCCGCTGCCGCAAAGTGGCGGCTCTTCAGGTACCGCAGTCTCGCGGAGAGGCTGTCGAGGTTCGACGGCCCTGCCTGCTGCCCCTGCCCCGGGGCTGTTTGCTGTTCCAAGTGGCGGAGCCTCTTCCCAATGGCGAGCAGCTCTATATCGACGCCGAGGTCCCCCTCGAGCTCGGGTATGGCCGCCTCAACCTCACGCACGGCGTTAAGGCGGTCGTCCGTCTCGCTCATGGCCCGCCGTAGATGCTCCCATCCGGGCACTACCATGTCCCTCACAAACCCTGCGTGCAGGTCAATGCGCCGCTTCAGCTCCTCCGAATAGATATCCATGTTGCAAAGGCCCGCTGGTGCCGGGGTCCCTTCTGAGGGAATCATGAACTGGAAGTTGATGTTGAGATAATCATCCTGGTCAAACGGCAGCGGCGGCGGCTTCAGGGGCGGGGCTACGGCTGCTCCAGCGCCACCCTCGCAACAGGCATTGGGATCCAGATCTAAAGTCGGACTGGTGATGCGCGGCATCAGCGCAGCGATCAGCATGCGCCACTCTCGGAGATGGAGTGTTGCTGGCATCTTGTCCCTGTGGCCCAGGTGAAAGGCCGACGCGATCATGTACACGCCGCTGTCGTGGGCGTGCTCCAGCTTTGGCCCCAGCTTGGTGTAATATGCCCATACCTCCGGCTTGTTCCACCCCTCCGGCAGGTACCGCGACACGAACCCCCCCATGACCTTCGCCGCCACGGCCCTGCGGTCCGCCGCCATGGCCCTGTGCTGGTCCAGGGGTTGCGGGTCCAAGGGCTCCGAGTCAACGAGAATCGCCGTCCTTGACCTGGCCACGAGAATGCCCAGGACCCAGTGCCCAGGTGGTGCTTTGATAGGAAGGAAGATGACAATGCCGGGGTCGTGAAACTGCTGCACCTGGGCAGCCGGTAAGGCCTCGCCCAGGGTCGGCAGGAGGAGTGTGCAGTCGATCGTCCGCCATTCACTCCTCTGAGCAGCCAGCATCGCCATGACCGCATTGACGATTCTCTCGTTCAACCGCCCTCGAGGATCCATCACGAGCTCGATGTCGGCCTGTTGGATGCAGCGGGGCCAGGATTCGACGGCTTCGTCATCATCGACATCGACATCGACATCGACACCGACATCGACACCGACATCGTCCACGACAGTGTCTCCACCTGTACCAGACTTGTGCCGCTTGGGGGCCGGCTGAGGAACATCGTCCGCCAGGGATGGTGAGCGACGACTCTTTTGTGGAGGCTCAATGTTTCCCTGTCCTCCCTGGTGTGTAGCTCTTGGTCCAAAAGTATCGATGCTGAGAGTTGGGTTCAAAATCGAAGATCTGAGAGGGTGGAGGGCGCTCGAGGTACGCGGGGCGGCCCTAGGCCTCCGGCCGGGAGGAGAATTTCGGAAGTTGTGGGTGAGGGTGAGACCAGAGAGGCGAGCGGGGATAAGTTGTGAACGTTTTGGAGATTTCGGGGCTGGGTTGTTGGCTTCTGGGGCGTCGTGTCCCTCTCCAGCGTCGTGTCTTCCACCCTCGGGCTGTTGGTCTTGTACTCCTGCACTGCCGGCAGCGAGTTGGCAACTCGAGCCATTCTTGTCCTGGCTAATGGAGCCACCGGCTTGAGCTTCTGCTTTTGCGACGCGCGAGGGGCCCGGCGTGGCCGGTCGGTTGGGGTGCTGCATCCTAGCGGTGATATTGGTATTGGGAAACTTACTGCCAAAAAAGATATGAAGAAGGGGCCAAAAGTCGAAATACTGCAAGTGATTGCGAGAGCAGTGGGTTGAAGAAGATGGCTAGACTAGAGTTGCATGGGGACAGTTGGAAGCTAAGGTACCTACCGATTGCAGACGGGACCTAGGTACCTACCTTGGAGGCTCTTTTGTGGGGGAAGTCACGGTCAGAGATGGCCACATCGTGGTCTTGGCCCCTCCTGCCGGAAATGGAAGTGACGCCTTCGCTTTGATCCAAGAATCACTGGCCAGCTGCCGGGCCGTCATTGTGGTCTTGCATCCATATGAGACCTGATCTGCCGGCCGCGTCATTTCCTCGTTGGCCAGCTCTAAGAATACAGGTACAGGAAGAGAGACACTTGCAATATCCGAGAGCATCCCCGCAGACATTAGAGCCTTCGAATCCTTTCCTCCAGGGGGGCGATTTGGTCCGAGTCTCCATGCTCGTCCATGGCGGTAGGCCCAGGAGGTGGCATCGCAGGACCGTTGGATAGAGTGCAGCCTGTTCGAGATTCCTCTCTCGCCATCATCGCCGCCACTTCCCTTCTGGCCGTCACAAGCCTCATTTTATTTTCACCTCCAAGGTAACGAGACTCAATTGGAAGTCATTGTAGTCCTGGAGGTCGCGCAGGTCCTCCCGAGGAATTCCGACGCGGGCCGACTCGCTGATTGCCGACTGAGCAGCGGCAAGTAACTCGTCGCGAGACCATCTAGCCTCTGTGTGGTCCTGAACGGGAGTTTGTCGGATACATTGGGGGTGCCGGGGGTGTTCCCAATCTTTTTGGATTCCTGCAAGATCGTCACCTTGCTCCTTTTTGTATTCTTCTCCCCATCCTCTGCAACCTCCTTTGGCGCCTCCTCGTCTTCTCGTCTGTACTTTGGCCCGCTCTTATCTAGGGCTTCGATATCGCCATCGTCGCCGTCCTCGGGGTCTCTGTTGTGCTGATCGCCAGAATCAGTCTCCAGATAGGTCTTCAGGCTTGCAGCACATACTTCTATATGATGCAATTTTGGTCCGGTCCGGCGGAAATACCCGGGCGCCAGTGGCCGTGGCGGGGCGGGCGCCAAGTGCCAAGCCTCCCTAATGATCCCAACCAGGCAAGAGTCACCGTTGAAGTCAAAGGCCATTGGCTGATGTATGCCGCTACCCATGATTGTTCCTGGATCCTGAATCAGATACGAGCTGCCCAGCTGCCCTAGCACTCCTCTGAATCTTCAAAAGGTGCCCCTCGGTAGAATTTCCAGGCGCTCTTTCCGCGCAACAGGATCTCGCTTTCGCCCAATTGGCCGGTCAGTCATCATGGCTGTAACTTCTCCAGCTGAGCCAGCAGAGCGGCAGAGGGGTTTCTGGCGGGAAAAGAAGGGCCGCCGAGTGTTGATAATAGGATCAATTCTGGCTGTCATTCTCATTTTGGTGGTGGTCCTCGGCACCGTTTTCGGAATTCGAAATTCGCATCGCAAAGCACCTGATTCCATTGTTGGCGCAGAAGAGGACAGGGAACCAGGGTAAGTTGGAAACCAAATGAAAAGGACAATCCGGAAACCCATGATACTAACCACAGGGTCAATCTACCACAGCGCATTCCCTCCTTCTGTGCTCACTTCCACGGCGCCCACTTCCCTGACACCCACCTCCACCGCGTCCCATCGCCCTCCAACCCCGACTTCAGTAAAGCCAAATTTCGGGGTTGGGTATGGCACCTCCAGTGGCCCAGGGTCGCTCGTGCTCTGGCAGGTAGGAGAAATGGGCCAGCTGTCGTGGAAAGAGCCGGAGGCCGAATGGCAAACAGCAGACGCAGGGCGGCCATTCAAGATTGCTCCCGTCGTCGTTGCCACCGCCGAGGATGAACGCGCAGCCATTGCCGTCGATCAGCAGGGCTACGTGGTGTGCTTGTGGTACCAAGACGGCTCCTGGGGTTCCGAGGACGGGTTGTGGGTTGAGCTTGGCCGGGCGGGCGATGTGACTCGGCTCGGCTTCACGACTCGACCTGCCGCCATCTCGCGAGCTGAAGGGCTCATCGACGTGTTTGCCGTCGATGGCCGGAAACAACTTGTGCAAATTCACTTCGACGGGACAGAGTGGGGTGAGTGGGAACTCGTCAGCCCCTCTGTTGCTGGCAAAGTCACCGTTACCTCCTCGAGCGAGGACCGCATCGACGTCTTTTCCTCGACAGATAAAAGCGTCGACCACAAGTTCTGGACTCCGGAGGGGTGGTCGACAGGTTGGGAAAATCTTGGATATCCGGACGACAGATACGGCGGAGGAGGTTTCCCGATCGCGGCATCCTTCGAAGGCATCAACGATGAAGGCGAACCAGTTCTGCGGATGGACGTGGTTGTGGCGGTAGAGAGCATCGGTACTTTGCACAAGCCATATCTTCCAAACGGCGAATGGGATGAGGATTGGCACATGCTCTATGCGAGCCATGAAGGCTACGAATTCGCAAACGCCCAGGTTGTCGTTGCAGGTGGTCCGGACGCGCCGGTCAACCTCTTCTCTCGCGGCACGGACGATTGCATACACTACAACTTGTTCAATGGAACTGGCTGGGCTTATTGGAAGTACCTGTGGTGCTATCCGGAGCTGCGAGGGAGTTCCGGCCTGCCCGACTACCCGACGCACGACCTCGCCATCGCTGCCGTCAGCCTGGGAAATGGCATCGTTGACGTGGTCCAAGAGACCGTGACGGGTGAACTCCTCCACCTGGCATTGCAGGTTCCCGTGGAGGGACAGTCATATCCGAATGATTGGACGTGGGATAGCCTTGGAAAGCCAGGGTCATAGAGAAGCACGGGAATACGATGGCATGATTTGCAAAGACGAATGGCACCTGATCAATTAACCACTTTGATGCCCTTGCAAGATCCCCTGATCACCGATCCAGCCATAATGTGAGCAAGTGCGTGGAATGCTGACCATGTCTACTCCCCCGGACCTGCGCATTCTGATGCGGTCCTCATCCGTCAAGCGCTCCGCCTTTCCAGCCCCCGCAAACTCGCAATACCTCCCCGAGTCCCGATAGCGCAGGTCGAATCCGTGCTGCCCCGCCAACATTTCCTTCATGACCAACCCGACGGCGCCCTCCTCGTCCTGCTCGAATTTCCGCTGGCCCCACTCGACGTCGGACTCGTGGGGTCCGCGAAACTGGCACAGACCGAAGTCGATCATGCAGACGCGGTAGCCCCGGGGATGTTGGTGGTGGTGCTCGGGCAGTGGTAGAACCATGAAGTTGCCGGGATGCACGTCTCTGTTCAGTATGCCGTGGTCTCCGAGGATGTCGACTGCTTCAAGTGCCTGGTTCACAATTTCCTGCCACGACGACCGCGGGGCGGCGGCTGGCATGTCCCTGAGCGTGAAGCCGGGGATGTATTCGATCAGGATGCCCCCGACGGAAAAGAGCTCTTCTTGCCTCTGCCGGGGTGTGCCGCCTTGTACCGCCATGGCGACGTCGACAGAGCCGTACAGGCACGGGATTTGCTTCCCCTGACTGGCGCTCAGCGTCTTGTAGACTCTCGTCTCGGTCGCGTGCATTCGGCGCATCTCGTCGGCCAGAAATGCTTCGTTCTTTGCGTCGTCCCAACCTTGATCTGTGTTCATCACGGCTTTCGGGTTATTGTGGAGTTGATGCAGGAATTTGACCATGTCGCTTTTCGGAGCAGAGATGTATTCTTTCTCCAGATCCTTGCTCCATGGCTTCATGTAGTTGTCTCGACGGAATGATTCGGCAAAGCGGCGGTCGAAGAGCTTCAGAAACGCGGTTGTCGGCACGCTGTCCTCCTTGCTCCAGCCATCTAGGATGTCGACGACCATGCTGCATGACAGTGTGTGCGGTGTTTGAAGTCGGGAGATCCTAACCGAGAGGGTGTCCGATGACTCGGCAACGTTGAGAGTGATAACCTGGCCGGGGAGATACCGGTCGAAGGGCGATGTGTGGCGAGTCTCTAGCGGTGCCATGGCGATCTTGAATGCGAACTTGCTGGAGTCGTGCATAGTAGATATGGTTGGGGTGTGAAAGATGTGAAAGGTGGAAAATATTTCGAGGCCTGGTACGTTGGGTGAAACCTGGAAGATAACTGAGGAAGGAATGAAGTGGCAAGTTGCCTCGAGAACAGAGGATGTCACTTGTGCAGCCTTCACGAGGTTTGACACCCATAAGGTGTATAAGTCCACGATAGGGGGCGATTGACTATCCGGACGTGGTGTGTTCCAGCAGGGAGTTGCTCGCCTGGGTTCTGGTGAATGGAACCCCCATTCACCAGTGCATACAAAGACATTGTTTGGTGCTTGAAGAAAGGTGGTGGGTTGGTGAGGATAATCTGGTGGCAAGCTCATGTCTGGCTGGGACGTGGCGAGGGACTCGATGATGATATCTTTACTCTATGATATTTAGGTAGTCTACGATATTTCTACGCCTCATTATGTCACTGGGCTTCAACGGCCTGTTAAAGATAGAAGTACACATTCCCCTCAAACAGCCTCCTCGCCGTCCTCGAAACAACGCACCTGTCCACCTCAACCCGCGCCTCCGCCCCATCCAAGAAACTCCGCGTCACGACCTCGACCTCAATCAGGCCAGAGACGTGCTCGATCTTCACCGTCTGTGCAATATCACACGCCCGGGCCCGCCCCTGCTCCTGCCCCTCGGCCCCCTCAACGCCAACCACCACACTCCCCGCCTCAGCCTTCCCCCTGCCAACCTCGCTCGGGCTCGGCGTCCTCGCCGGCGTCGGCAACCCCCCATACAACCCCCCCTCGGCCAGACGCTGCGGCACCGTACCAGGCAGACACAGCCCCGCGCCGAGGCACACGGCGCCCGTGAGCTGCAGCGACGGGTGCGCCTTGCCCATGCTGAAGGACCGGACCTTCACGTCGGCGTCCGGCCCCGAGGCAGGCCAGAGGAGCGCGATCTTGGGTGTGCCGCGCACGCGCGCCGCCGCCGCGTCGCTGTCCGCAAGGCCCATGCGCACGGCGCCGCGGCGGCGGATGGACTCGACGAGGGAGAGGTAAGCCGGGTCGTCGGCGCGGGCGGCGGGGTCCCGGAGCGGGGGCGGGAGCGTCGAGGCGTCGACTAGGACGAAGGGGTTTGCCGCGTCGAGGAGGGTCGCTCGGATGTGCAGTGGTTCGTCCCCGGGCGACGTCGTGTCGATGGTGAGGTAGTCGATGGGGTTGCCGGTGGGGAAGAGTCGGCCGGTCATACTGCCCGCGGGGCTCACAAAGGCGACCTTGATCTCGCTCCCTGTTATGCCCTGTAGGCCCGGCATGGCATAGTTCCCGTCTTCTTGGAAGTCCCCGTTATTGTCGATCTCGATGGTCTCGACTATGGTCCGCTCCGTGTTCGTGTTAAATATGCAGACGTCAACCTGCGGGTTTGTCAGCGGGTTGATGGGGGAGCAGAGGCTAGCGCCGGGATACCACATTATGGGTCGATTACCTTCGACTCTCCGTTCTTTGGCCGCGGCACCAGTCCCTCCTGAACCGCAAAGGGGCCAACCCCGGAGGCCATGTTCCCGCAGTTACCACTCAAGTCCACCTTTCCACCGCCGACCGACACCTGGGCAAAAGTGTAGTCAACATCAACCCCCTCCCTCGCCGACCTGCTCACGACAGCGACTTTGGACGTCGTGGAAGTGGCGCCGCCGACGCCGTTCAGCTGGCGAGAGTCGCCGCCCATGGCAGCGAGAAGAGGCCCGACCCATTGGGTCTGATCGGCGGGCAGATGTTCCCCGTGGATGAACAGCCCCTTCGAGGTCCCCGCCCGCATCCATACGGCAGGGAGGGTGTGTCTGGTCATGGTGTGGCGGGCCATTGCGGCGAGGTATGCGAAGGGGTGTGCAAGGCACTCGGTCGCATGTGCTATCTCAGTGGCGTATGTTGCGAGGCGGCGCACGGAGGAAAATCTCATGCCCTTGCGGGAGGATAGGGTGTGGTCAGGTACACACGTAGCTCTCTAGAGAGCAATGCAGTCAATTGGTAAAACAGCTGGTAGATGGTTGATAGCATACACATACACCAATCAGGGGCCCGATGGTCGAAGTATGCTGAGAGGGTATATGCGACCCAAGGGAAGAAAAAGGTTTATAAATTGGGCCATCTTGGAAACCAACTCGTCTCTGGACTCCCGTGGGGGACGGCAAGGAGAAGTCCAACGCATGGCTGACGGCATTGGAGTGGTGGAGCGAAGTCCTTCTGGATTGTGAGCTTTGCTGGGGACGATCGCGTCGAGATGGTGGAGACGGACCGCGGGAAGGGTGTGGCCCCTGAATGGAATGGTGTGCGGGATCGTTCCCGCGGGAGTGGTGGTCATAACATCCCGCGGGTCATCAAATTGATTCCGACAATTCTGAGAGCCAGGACTCTCCACTAAAAAAAAGTCAAAAGTGGAACTCGGCTTTTGCCCGTTACAGGCAGGCGGCTATATCGGCTCCCAGTTGAGGTTAGGAAAGCTGTCCAGCGCCGATCCGTTGAAACCAAAGAGCAGATCATCCACGGAACCAGTTCCAAGCACGATGTCGGGCCCCGGGTGTTGTTGCCAGGCCGCCACATGCCCGTAGAAGTCCTGGCCGGTACTGTGGTCCCTGGGCCGCGAATGTGTCGCTCCATGGCCGTACTGCAATGATTGCGGGACCGGGAGAGTGACGCCGCCTCCGTGTCCCTGCGCCGACGAGCCGACTTGTTGTAGCATGGGAAACACCGGTTGGACCGTCCCGCTGTGCAGTTGGTTGCCTTGTTCGCCCGCTTCGCCAGCTTCACGGACGAAACTCTGTATGATCTCGTCGATATTGAGCCAATTGTTGCTGGGAGATCCAGTCGGCCGGCCATCGCCGTTTGGACCACCCAGCGGACCGGCCCCGTGTGTCGGATGGGGTGGTTGAGCCGTTGGCAGGGCGGGCTCCGTGTCCTTGTCAACGTGTATCTGCAGATCTTGCTCGCTTTCGTCGATGGAAACTCCAAGGCGCTTCATAACATTCCGGACCACGAGGTTCGCCCTCCTGACCGCCCAGTTCGTCTCTTGGTTTTCGCGGAAGACGGCAAGGCAGGTCTCGAGGCTGCTATGTGCTTCGGATGCGCGCCCGCGCTTGGCGGCGATGCGGACGAGGATTGTCGACGCAACGTACGTGGCGTACGATATCAGATATGGAGCCCGACGCACCGAAAATGCCCGATCGTATGCTCGGAGGAGGGTGACAATGTTGGTGGCTGCCGAGGCACACTCGATGAACGAGTTGACCGACACAGAGCGGGACATGTTGTGGAGATGACCGTCTGCGACAAAGGGCCGGTGAAGGAGGATGATCAACACGTAGTACATTGCGCTGGGAGAGGCCTCAATATTAGCTGGGAAACACATTCACTCGTTTCACTGGATTTTTGTTTGGATAGGGTCAACCTACTGCAGGCTGAGCACGTGAGGCGGCGGGCATGGAACCTGGTCGCCGCCGGTCTCGACGGCCAGATGTGGAGGCAATGCTTCTTTCCAGGTGGTGAGTTTCGAGTGGAGGCTCTGGATCAACTTGGACAGGTCCATGGGACTTCCATTAAAGCTGCGCTCTGTGTATATGTTGCTCAGAATGTCGCTCATGGTCACCGACAGCTTGCACAGGTGGGTAAAGGTCGAGACGCTATGGGCAGCTGAGCCGGGGTAGGGGCTGGGCTGCGGGGTGTAGGCGAACGGCGTCCAGTACTCAAACTCTTCGAAGGTATCGAGGAACTTGATCGGGACCAGGGCATCTGATTCCCTCAGGCTTGCTGGACGACCCTGATAAAGACTCTGGATTTTATCGACAACTGAAGGATAATCGTTAGCCAGAATCAAGCAGGCGAGTCAGTCAAGGGCAGTGCTGGAGGGCTGGAACATACCAAAAGCTCCCCAGAAAACTCGCCGCCTGATTTCGACATCTTCGTCGGAGAACTTCCTCGCGCCCGCCCCATCGGCGACATCAACGTGCAGTCCCAAGTCTATTATCATCCGGAAGGCCAGGCCAGCGTAAAGCCAAGCGGCACTCCGTTCATCGCCCAAGGCGAAGAGAGAGTTCGTCATGACCAGCAACGCCTGTATGGTAGTGATGTCACTGCGATCCAATGAGCCACCGAGAAGCTCGCGCACCCTCTCCCGAAACTTCCACCCGGCGGTCCGGGGGTCGTCGGGGTCCTTCCGGACCTCGAGGCGGGGGCTGAACTTGGCGGACCCGAAGTAGATGGCGTTGAGAAGAAGCTTGCTGAAATACGGGCCGCCGCAGGCCATGTCCCGCATGAAGGCCGGTCGGTATGTGATGAGAAACGAGTGGTGCTGCCTGTTCCAATGCAGCGACAAGAGGTGCATCCCCAGGTCGGGATCGACCGTGTCGAAGTCCAGCTTGCCCGAGCGGAAATTCAACTCTTCGAGCTGGCCTGCCAAAACTGTCAACACCACTACCCAGCGGATTTACACATCATCAATTCAACCCAAGTCGGGTAGGTATCCCAACTTACGTTGTTTCGCCGCTTCCGCCACGAGGCCTTTCTCAACCCACTCATCGGGCACGCGAGGGCGGAACTCGCCGTGCAGCCGGTCCTGCGGGTTCTCATCGAACAGGGCGCTGGTCTGGCCGTGGTAGCTCGAGATGCCGTTGGCGGATACGACTAGGCGGGAGACGCCAGGGGAGGGCAAGCCCTCGCGGCTGCGGCCGAGCCGAGGCGCGTGCCGGTCCTGGTCCGAGGCGGCCAACGGCGTCCGCTCCTGGGCTCCGTTCGGGGTCGAGCTCGGGTTCTGGCTCGTGCTCGCGGAAGCGGGGTCCGGTCCATCACTCCCGGCGACGTGGGACGCGTCAGGCTCGGCCTCGGGCAGGTCATTGGCCGCGACGCGGGACGACAAGGGCCTCCTCCGGCTGGTCTTGTTGTGGCGGCGGGAAGCCTGTGGGCGTGCCTGCGCGCGGGCCGTTGACGGCGAGTGTGACGAGTCGCGGCCGAGGGGTTCGTATACGCAATCCTTGCCGTATGTCCTGCAGTTCGCACACACGGGCCGTTCGTTGTTGCACTTGATCTGGATTTCCAGGCTGGGTCAGCAAACCCTCGTCCAAAGAATAGCAGTGGGCTCTTTGCCGCGGCCAACCCACCTTGCGCTGACGGCAGAAAGTGCAGGCTTCCACGGCCCGTTTCCTAGGGTTACCCGACGCCGTCTGTGGGATTGACATATTCATAGTATTTCCATTCGTATGGCACGCTGTAGCCCGTGGCAAGTGAAGGTTCGTTGGGCGAAGAGTGAGTGAGATGTGACGGGTAGAAGATGCCGCAAAGTACCTAGTGGGTCTCCTATGACGATCAGTCTCCAACTACCCCGCACCCGCCGAGTGCCCTTTCCGCGGCAAGAATTTCCTCGGCAAGTGCACCGACCCCGAGCCAGCTGTATCGGGCCGTCGGGGAATTTCGGGCGCACTCAAGTACTCCTGAGTTTACCCCTGAATTGGACTTGTTACCGTTGGACAGAGGTAGATATCTGCTTGTGAAGGTGTCATTGGCTTGAGATATTAGCAGAGAACAAACAAACTCCTTCCGTCGCTGACTATTTTTTCTTATTTTTCTCTGGGAGGCTCTCTTCTCTTCCTTCAAACCCCTTCCGCTACTACAATGTCAAGCCTGATCGTCGCTTCGCCTAGCCGCGAGCCTCCTGTGCGCGCCGTGGATGCCCAGCCGGCTGCGAAGAAAGCAAAAATATCCCCCGCCATATCCCTAGTAGCAGGCGGAGTTGCGGGGGCGGTTGAGGCCACTGCAACTGTAGGTCTGTCCCTGAATGCATGGGATTGCCTTTTTCCTATGCCTTTTTTAATGCATATAATTACGAGTGAGCTGACATTCCAGCCTTAGTATCCATTCGAGTACGCCAAGACCAGACTTCAGCTCGATCGACATGCTGCTGGCTCGTCATCCAATCCTCTCAAAGTCCTTACACTGGCTGTGAGAAGCGATGGGATCAGCTCGGTGTACTCGGGCTGTTCAGCGTTGATCCTGGTATGTGAAACCCCTGACCTCATCCAAACTGCCTGTGCGAGCATACCTCTCACCTCACCTCCCCACCCCAGGGCACGACGTTCAAGGCTGGGGTACGTTTCTTGTCGTTCGATTCTATCAGGAATGCACTGGTCGACGAGACAGGCCGCTTGACTCCCGGTCGGGGAATTCTCGCCGGCATGGTAGCCGGATGTGTCGAAAGTGTCGTGGCAGTGACTCCAACAGAGCGTATCAAGACGGCATTGTACGCATCCCCCATCGTGTTAACTTCGGCAGCGCAGTGACTAACACATAAATAAGAATCGACGACGCAAACTCCGCTGCCCGGCGGTATCGCGGAGGCGTACACGCCACGGGCATGATTATCCGGGAATCTGGCATCTCCGAATTGTACCGGGGTCTAGTGTCAACGACGTTGAAGCAGTCGGCAACGTCTGCAGTCCGCATGGGCTCGTATAACGTCCTGAAAGATCTCTGCGCAAGGAATAATCTCCCCAACAGCAGCGCCGTGACCTTTGCTACCGGTGCTATTGCGGGCGTGATAACTGTCTACGCTACACAACCATTTGACACGGTCAAGACGAAGTCGCAGAGCGCGAGGGGAGCGGGTACTATGGAGGCTTTTAGGATGGTATTCGGAGAAAGTGGCGTCCGGGGGTTCTGGAGGGGGAGCAGCATGAGATTGGGGAGGCTGGTATTTAGTGGCGGCATCGTCTTTACCGTATATGAGAAGGTTGCTGCGCTGCTGTCAAGGTAATCACCGTTGAGATCATATATACAGGTACATACACAGGCATGAAAACAAGCGCGATGGGGTTGAGAGACGATAAATCCACTCGGAAAGTGAGCGCGGCCGAGGGCCTCCTGCGGAACGAATGACGAGAATTACAAGCCGGAGTCCGGGAAACATTGCGTATACAGTCTGAAACTATGGACTGGTAATTATTTCAGAGAATTTTGGGTGCGATATGAGAGCACCATCATCATATCATGTCCTTCCGTCAAAATACCCCAGCTGCACCAACTCATTTCCCCGATAATCTCTTCCGCCTTATCTCTTACGAGAAGGGCCAATAGGATAGACACGAAGCTGCAATAAGTGAGGTGAATGGGATGGACTATCCCCGAGAACGATAGCCCTCTAGTATTCACCCAGTTCACAGACGAGAGATATCACAGCCAAGCACCCAGCGGTTTTCTTGATACAGGGGCTTGAAGCAACTTGCACTTTCCAGGCCGGGGTTATCAAACTGCCTATTTACATGTCATTTGAACTACCCGCATCAAGCTCACTAGGTCGTAGGGCGAGCCGATGTCTCGACTTCCGTTGTCCCAGCCTTCTCTTCATCTCCCGCACCATCCTTGCCATCGTAGTACAAGTGATCAACAGGCGGCATGCCAAACAGCTCATCCATGTCCTCCAAGCTGATATTTCTGGTCTCGGGAACGAAGAAAAACACCCATGGGATGGCGAGGGTCATGCACGCGGCGAACAGGAAGTAGGTGCCGTACCCAATGTCGGAGATCATGTAGGGGGCGCTCCGTGCGATGACGAAGTTCATAACCCAGTGGATGGCCACGCAGATGGAGATGCAGGGCGACCGGATGCGGAGCGGGAAGATCTCGGCGGCGTAGATCCACGGGATGCCGGCCCAGGAGAAGCACCAGCCGACGGCGTAGACGTAAATCATCACCACTGCGGCATAGCCACTGGCGGTGATGTCTTCCGTTCCGGTGGATGGAGGCGCAACGATCTTGATGTAGGCTCCGATGAACCACATTGCAAATGCCTTGAGACACGGGGGTGGGTTAGAGTTCGCAGGACTCGTATCTTGTAATCAATTTGGGGGAAACTCACCATGACCGCGCTTCCCGCCATGAGCGCCCTCGTGCGACCAAAACGGTCGACGACGAAAATCATGGAGAACAGAATCGCTACAAACCGGACAGCGCCGTAGATTCCCGTGGCAAACAAACCCGTGTTTGATCCTGTCAGACCGATACTTCGGAAGATGGCGGGCGAGTAGTAGTTGATGGCGTTCGACCCTGCCATCTGCATGAAAACGAACATCAACGAGCCGATCCCGAGCCGTTTTCTGTTCCCCGACTTTGCAATCTCCTTCAGGATGGGCTTAAACCCGGTTCCCTCGGCTATTGCCTCTTCATGCTCGAGCTGCTGGAAGATGCTGTGGATTTCTTCCAGCAGGTACGGGTGGTCGGCCGGGATGTTTCGCAGCCGCTGCAATACTTCGACACAGGCTGCCCGTCCCTTCTTTCTGGCGAGCCATCTGTAGTTCGGATGGTTAGCTGGTAATATCCAACACAATACCGTTCGCACAGAGGGTGTGAATTGCCAATTCCTCACCTGGGCGACTCCGGAATGAAGAAGATGCCAATCATCAGCAACCCCCCCGGGATCAACTGGACGGCGAAACTAATCGTCCACTGCGTCGAGTTCGACGGCAAGTTGTTCGCAAGCCCATAGTTAATCCAGAACCCAATCAAAGTGCCCATCGACACTCCGATCTCGTAGATACCAATAAGTCGCCCCCGAATATGCGGCGGGGACGCCTCGGCCACATAAAGGGGTACGATCATGCTCGCGGCGCCGACGCCGATGCCGCCAATCCCGCGCCCCACCAGCATCAGGGCCTCGGATCCGCGCGCCCCGGTCTGGATGGCCGACCCCACGTTGAAGAAGACGGCTGTGGCGAACAGGGTGATGAGTCTCCCCCACCGGTCGCTGAACGGGCCGGCCGCGAGGGAGCCGATGATGCACCCGGCCTGCAGGAGGGAGACGACGTTGGCGGAGAAGGCAGACTTTGCGGACTCGGACGCGTGGGCGAGGCCGAAGTCCCTGTGGGTTGGTGTGGTTAGCTTGCGTTGCGACTTTCATGGAGGGGGGCGAGTTAGTCGGATTGGGAGGAGGGCCTTGCGTACTCCTTGAAAGATGCCAGCTCGAGCGCGGTCCCGATGAAACCGAGATCGTACCCGAACATGACCGCGCCCATGCTGCTGATCAAGGCAAGGGCATAGACGCGGTAGTTGTAGACCTCTGGCGGGGCCGGCACGCCCAGGTCTATGTTCTGGCGTGAGGCTCGCATTGTGTTTAGTTTGGCAGAGATTTGTGTCGAAGGTGTTGACTGTGCCTGTGCCTATGCCTGTGCCTCTCGATGGCTTCCACCGAGATGTTGCCAACGTCCGGAGCGCCAGAATAGACCAAGGACGAAGCCGCCCCGTGTTATATCTCCATCCTCAAGAATTTGGGGGATGCGGGGAAACTGCCGTCGACACTTGTGGAGTTGCGGGGAGATGGAGATGGCTAGGAAGACGGAGGTCTCCTTAGCGTCACGCTTAGCAGTGTTCGGCGTTCTTGCCGACTAAACTGCTCCCGCGGATGTACTTCACTGCCGCGGGAAACCTCGAATGCCGATCGTGTTGTCGATCTTGCGGGTGGTCAGGTAGCCACTCGATCCCGTCTAAGACGGGTGTTTGAGTGCGGGGGAACATATAGTTACGTGAAGAACCTGTCAGCAAGAGGCAAGAGGACCTCAAGATCGGGATGTGTTGCTTAAGGGGGAGAGATTCGGACGGACAATTTATTTCATGAACTAGGAGACTAAGAGTAGAGTGTGCGTGTGCTGGGATAGTAATTATTATACGGAGTAATTGGTAATTATTCCTATAACGTATTGACTTTGTCGGCTAGGTAAAAGTAACTCATTGTTGAACGTAATTAAGCTCCCACACAAATCGCATACCCACATGTCAAATTAACAGAAGTATCCTGGAGGTGACTTGTCGGTCCTCCAATGCTGCCGGGTCATAGCAATGGGTTTAGGGCTACGAAGATGAAAGTGGTCCTACTTGTGGGACGCTCCAGCCGGGTACGACATTTACAAGGTCACTGACTCGAACAGGCAGAGGCATAGCACGGCGCAATTGAGGGAACCTTGGTCACGGGGCATTGGCCTGGCTCCCGCACATCCAGGGCTCCAACGGGACCTTGCCTAGGAGTAGGAGCCATCGTAGACGAGGGAGATGCAGAGAAATAGAATGTGGGAGAGGTTGAAGATGTCACAGCTATGATTAACCATGGCACTAGCGCCGACAAAACAAACAAGAATATCATCAGTCTCGCCAATGCTTTTGGCCTGACTCCTCTGATCGCGAAACTGAGGCTATCGAGGTGGATATAAAAAAGGATCAAACTACCAGTCTGAAACTGAAACTGCACAATATCGCGATACATATGACGCAAATTTGAGACGACGAGAACGAGTAGATGTATCGCGAAGCCCTAAAAATGCGCCCACCCAACAATTAATTACCCAACACCCCTAACCTGTACGCCGTTCCAACAACTCCCCTTTTTACACCTCGTGATGCTCAGATGCACCGCTCGTAGCGCCACCGTCGACACTGCTACGCGTCGGCAGCTCTATCCCCGCGGCCTTTCTCAGTTTGGTCATCTCCTCTCTCGGTGGAGGCACCCACTTGGAGCTCTTGCGGGGACTGATGTGCAGGAGATACATGGTGTCGATGGCCTCGAGCGTCCTGCCCTGGCCCTCGATGACGAAGAAGTAGACGACCACCGCGCCGAGCAGGTTGCAGGCGGCGAAGACGTAGCCGTAGCGGAAGTCGATGGCCCCTATGATAAAGGGCGTGAAGAAGGCGATCAGGAAGTTGAAGGTCCAGTTGCTGGCCGTCGAGAGAGCCATGCCCTTCGCCCGGTACCGGGACGGGAACACCTCGGCCATGATGGTCCACACCATGGGGCCCCACGTCGTCGCGAAGCCGAGAATGAACAGCGACGCGAACACAATCAGCACGATGCCGGGCCCTGGCGTGTTCTGCGGGTTTTTCTGGTCGAGCTTGAAGTGGCCAACCGAGGCGAAGATCATGAAGCACATGAACATCCAGAGGGCGCCGACGATGAGGCACTTGCGTCTGCCGTAATGCTCCACGAGGTAGAGGCCGATGAAGGTGGTCAGGAAGTTGATGGTGTTGAGGATGATCTGGGTGACAAACGAGTCGATCGACACGGACTCGAAGATGGTCGTCCCGTAGTAGAAGAAATAGTTGGCACCCGTGAGCTGCTGCAAGGCCTGGAGCACCACGCCGAGGATGATGCGATACCGCATGCGCGGGGCCCTGAACATGCCCGTGAATTCGGTGTACGGGTTGGACGATAGTTGGCCCTCGGCCTCGAGCTTCTCCTCGATCTCCCGGACCTGACCGCGGATGCTGAAGTGGTTCGGTTGGGCGCCCCAGACTTTGCACAACGTCTCCCTCGCCCTCTCACCCCGTCCGCGCCGGTAGTCGTATCGAGGTGTCTCGGGGAAGAACAGGATGCCAACTCCGAGAATCAGCGTCCACACCCAGCCGAGCCCGAGGACGATTCTCCAGGAGCCCGAGTTCCCGCCCTGGTGGGTGACGGTGGCGTAGTTGAAGCAGGCAGCGAGAAAGATGCCGAAGGTGATGAACAGCTGGTAGGCGCAGACCATGGCGCCGCGGATCCACGGCGGCGCAGTCTCGGCCTGGTACATGGGGACCAGCAGGCTGAGCGCGCCGACGCCAAGGCCCGTGACGAAACGGCCGATGACGATCTGATACCATGCCGTCGACGCCGCGATCTGGATGACGAAACCCACGGACGCAACGATGCACCAGAACGAGAGCGAGAACTTGCGGCCGATGCGGTCGGCAATCGGAGCAGCGATGAGGGCGCCGACGAGGGTGCCAATGGACAGCAGGGCGACGATGAGGCCAGACCTCACTTTACTGAAGTGGTGGGTTTTCCCCGGCCCATCTCCTCCTGGCTGGCCGAACCTCGCCAAGAAGTCGGGCATCTCCAGGAAGCCCGAGATCTGTCCCGTATCATAGCCGAAGCTGGCAAGACATTCAACATCACATCAGCGATGGTCCTGCGCAAAACGCGGGATGGATAGGTACGGGCGGGGGGGTGGATCAATAATTCGGGAACAAAACAACCTACATCATACCGCCCATCGACACAAGGATTCCCATGCTGAAGGATCGCCATGTCACCCGCGGCAGGGGGGAGTAGTCGAGCCCGTCGTCGCCGCGAAGGTCATGTTCGACCTTTTCGGACTCGGGATTATACTTGTCAAAGTTAACCTTCCTAAGTAGCCCCTTCATGGCGAAAACAGCGTCAATTGTAAGGAACAGAGGGGGAAATTTGGGAATGGTGATGCCATGCTGTGGATTCGCAGTTAGTTACTGGAAGAGCGTAGCTACGTGTGTAAGTTATATCCATGTCTTGATTCTTCTGCTGACGTCAATAGCGTGGCAGCGCGGCTCTTGAAGGGTCAGTGGGGCGGTAGACGGCGGGAACCATCGTCATTGATTTCCCACTGTGATCGGCGCCCTGGCCTATAATTTGCTAGCAACCCGGCCAGGACCACGGTGATGACGGCAAATGTGGGGCGCCGAGGTCCCCTGATTTGTCGGTCCCATCCGACCCACGCCATTTCGGCCAAGTTTCGGATAGGGAGGCGTCGGAGGACAAGAGAAAATGCTCACATGGCCACTGCTGGGCTGGATTTGGACCAGCTAGTGGCGAATACACTGAATCGTGTTTGCAAGCTGCACCTCAGTTATTCTCAGTTGTTCTGACATGCTCCAGTACTGTGTACGGTTTGCCTTCAAGCCCCCATAGGGCCCATACTCGAGGAACCGGGTCAGTGGTACACGGCCATTCTTTCGGCGAGCTTTGCCCGGGCGTGCCGGGACATGGAGCCAAGTAAACTTGCTTGCGCAGATAATGGATGTTGGTGGCTGCTGCTCACTTGTCATGGCGACGTACTGCACACATATGCGTTGTTTTGATTGTCCTCCCACTTTTCTACGTGCACACAGAATGATATCTGTCACGTCTTGTAGAGCATAATTACTGAGTGTAAAAACCACGGCTTGTCGTGTCGTTTTTGAGTGTGGGGGGCAGGGTAGGTAATTATTGGTGAGATCGGTAATTCTAGAAGTGGCACGAAATAATTTGGTGGTAGGGTGGTGTCCTCAGCAATGGGTCGTCCCACCAGTTGGAGTGGGGTGGAACATGAACGCGACGAAATGAGCAGGATATCGCGGCTGTAGCATCCAGACCTGGCGGTTCGTTCGTTCCCATGTTTGTGGTAAACAAGCTTTGGCTTTGGCAAGGTAGGTAGGCACGGTAGCGTCGACAGGAGTGATGGACGGTACCGCTGCGCCTGGCATACTCGGGATCCTAGTTAATCCGCCGGCAGATTGACGAAATGGAACTCAGGTCAAAGCGAGATTGTGGGTTAGCGCGGGTGGCTGCTTTTTGATCCCGCTCCCGCCCTTGGCTTTTTGGCTTTTTTTCTCATCACCCTTTACTAATGCGCGCATGGTTTATCACGGTCCTCCACTCCCCGGCTTCCATGGCGAAGGCGACAGGTGCCTGCAGTAACTTGATTCTGTGGTTTAATTAAGCAGCGAGACCAGCCGTGTGGGGTGTGCTTCGGCATATGATCGTCTGTCAAAAGGCAGCTGCCAGCGGCTATACAGCCAGTCGCCCTATGGCTTCTCCAGGATACCTACCGCAGCGGCCCACGCGAATATATTGACTTCAAATTGATTTCGTTGGAACGTCATGCTTCCATCCCGGCTCAGAGTCAATATCGAAACGGAATCTTCGGTGCTTCTTTTCGGCATCGCAGAGGGCGACACAGCAGCTTATATAACGGAGGTACTCTATATTAATATGGTTGCTTGCCGAAAGGTCTCTCCAACCAGTCCCTGCCCTGGAAACTCGTCATGTGTAGATAAGGCGCAATAACCTGCACCATTGGGGATATTAGCCGATAAATAATGGATGGGCCGGGAGCCGACAGTGGAAAACCTGGGGAAAGCTTGGCGGGAATTTTGGCTGGCATAGCTCAGAGTGTATTAAGAAGTTGATATAATAATTCTCGCACACCGCCTCACGATCTGGTGGTCCTGGTCTTCTTGGTTTCAACCACCATCTCTGTTTACCCAACGACAGTCTCTTCCCCTCGTCTCCATTTGTACTACCGCTACCATAAATACCTTGTTACCTTGGGAATCCGCCATGCACGTCGCCTCAGTTATCAGTACAGTCGGCCTGCTTGCAGCGGGGGCTGCTGCACACGGCGCTGTCACTAGCTACGTTATCGCCGGCACAGCCTACCCAGGGTGAGCCTCTCTCCTCATGCACCTTTTGCTTTGGCTACACTTCTTCGCAGCATCAGCAGCTAACAATGGGCTTGTAGTTACCAAGGCTTCTCTCCGTCCAATTCTCCCAACGTCATCCAAAGACAATGGTCTGACTACAACCCCGTAACGTCTGTCACTGACGCAAAACTCCGCTGCAACGGCGGCACTTCGGCAAGCCTAAATGCGTCAGTTAAGCCAGGCGACAGCGTCTCAGCTATCTGGGGACAATGGACACACAGCCAGGGACCAATCCTGGTCTGGATGTACAAGTGTGCTGGTGCTTTCAGTGCCTGCGATGGCTCTGGTTCTGGTTGGTTCAAGATTGACGAGGCTGGCTTCCACGGAGACGGCGTCAAGGTCTTCCTCGACACCGAAACTCCCTCTGGGTGGGACATTGCCAAGCTTGTGGGCGGCAATAAGCAGTGGACCAGCACAATCCCAGCCGGACTCGCCCCTGGCAACTACCTGATCCGCCACGAGTTGATTGCCCTCCATCAGGCAAACTCCCCGCAATTCTATGCCGAGTGCGCACAGATTGTTGTCACCGGCAGCGGCACAGCCGAGCCGAGTGCCGCACAGAAGGCGGCCATTCCTGGCTACTGCAAGCAGGGCGACGCCAATATCAAGGTGAGAATAACTCGTGGTCCCCGAAGAAGGTTGTTCTACGAAGCCGGTGCTGACTGGTTGGATCAGGTCCCGATCAATGATCATTCCATCCCTCAGACATACGTCATTCCCGGCCCTCCCGTCTTCAAGGGCAGCGCCGCCGTCAAGGCCAGGGAATTCACTGCATGAAATGGATATATAAAGCACAAACAACAGCGTAACTGACATATCTACTGTACTGTACATATTACGCCTGAAGTAGGAGGAGGACAAAGGGGTCTGACCCAAGAGCAGATGATGTATGGGGCTGTGGGCTATGTGCCGTGGAAATTAACAGAAGCAATTCTTTAAAGTGAATTCTTGAACTTTCATCAGGGCTTTAGATTCCATGAGAGCTCTTTTTTCTGTGGCTCTGGGTCCTTCCCGAGATAGTGATACTACATGATCCACCAAGCATCAGGACAGGAGTAGGTCATGGCTGAAGGATCCAACAGATATTTGTCTGATCTGTCGGTGTGCCTATTTCTGCACTACCGAAGAGATCTCTCACCTGCAGACCGTACTTTCCGGGTTAGCCAACATCTGTGTCACTGGGATTGACAAGGACCTCTTCAATATCCAACCTTGGAGGTCTTCGTTATGAGCCGTTCAGAAAACAAGACGTCTCTGGTCTGTATTGAGATCTAGTAAAACAAGCCACTCTGAATACTCACCCAAGAAATACTTGTCTCAGTCATTGTCGTGAGATAGACAATAGGAGGTGTACTCTCTTTCCTTTGGCATTTTTCTGTGCTTTTAGTTTCAGTTTAGGGGGTAGCATAATCATGGCTTCTTTTCAAAGCTCGAGCTTGTTACATGATAACGTTAATTGGTGACCATATTGTCTGACTGTTTGTACATACATGCGATGGATACCGGAGACCCTGCCTACTGTTCTTTGGTTCCCTGAGACGCTGACAATGTCATATCTAGAGCAGTTGGACTTTAATGATAATGATTAAGGTATGAAGGGGTTTGGGAAAATACTCATACTACGTAATTCTGAGACCTCATTGACACCTTGACAATACACGATAATACCAAACAAACGCATAGACAAACCGGAACTTGGTAGTTGTGTATTATAATAGTAGTAAACGAACAAAAGAGATTAACGGGTCACACCAGAGATCTTTTGGCTTGTTGACTGTCGGCTTACATTGGCACCAAGTAGAAACTCTCTTTTCCTGCTGCACATTAGCAACATCTTGGCCAAATAGACCGATGTCTTTGTTGACTACCTCCGTACTGACTAACGAATACAAAAACTTGGCTGATGGAATGAGAGGACTGGCTGGACGTTACGAATTGGGTTTTTCTGGACCCACGTAAATGAACTACCTATTTGACAGTGGCATGCTGTTAGATTGATAGGTTAAAATAGCTTCTCCCATACCTAGGTAGGTAAGATAAGATGGCCCTGAACTTTTGCCAGTAGATAAACTTCCAACACATACCTACCTAAGCACGCTAAGGTACGCTGTAAACAGACAGTGGGGCAGCTGGCCTGTGCGCAGCGCACCCGCCTCCTTCTCATGGACACATCAGTATCAATGACAGCCATCACTTTGCCGATATTTGAGTGAGCCCGTTGGCTCCTATGGGCTCTGCATGAGTTGCAGGATTCTAATTACTTCGCCAGCCAGCCAACCCACAGGCTTGGCGTCCTCGACACGACGCGAAGAGACGAGGCGATGCATTTGTCGGCTAAATTGGACAGTCGTTTTAAGATTACGTGCTGCCTCAATCATGCGTGCTCAATTTGTTACGCAGCAAATGGCAATACTCGTTCGGCAGCTAAGTTGCCTTACGGCGGTGCCTGCAAGCGACCGCGCTTGGATTGGTACCCCTCCGGATCGTGTTGCATAAGTTGTGTTTCCCCCTTTCAAGCCGGCCGTATATCTCCTGGTTCAATCAACCATACCCATATGTCATTATTTCCTGCTTTGCCACTGGGCTGCTTCTGGGCTGCTTGAACAAGTCTTCTTTTTCCAAAATTCGAACACGAGCCGTCTCGACAGCCACCAAGGAGTCCTTCGCTACAGTCAACGCGACTCTACCCTCTACCATCTCCCCCTCCCTCTCTCCCCCTGACAAGCTGTGAGAATCCCCCTGCTACCGCAGATGCTTGACGAAAATCCCTCCTACGATGCCTTCATTGTCGTTTCTGCTCTGTTGCCTTTGCGCCTTCTCCGGAACCATTGTGTCGGCGAAGCAGGCCAAAGAAGACTTGACTACGCTCCCCAGGGCTCTTGAGTTGGACCTGGTCTTTCCGAGAAATGACACCTACAAACCCGTCTTCCCCTTTCCCATCGTGGTGGCCGTCCGTGGCGCCCCAGCGATGATGGATTTTGGGCTCGATCTCTTATTGACCATGGGACCTGACATACTAGGACAACTCAACAGCGTGGGACAAATGACAGACGTGCCTATCGCGTCACTCACAAAGAAGGACACTTACTACGTCATCTCAGCAACTACGCGCCTCATCAACTCAACCTCTCCACATTGGCGGCTGGACTGGATGTTCGTCCTTAATCCCAACTGCACTGCAGCGCTGAATAGCACGGCGCCGGATAGCCCGCCAGCCTCCATCAAGTACACCGATATCCGGGGCTCGCTTCACTTCACAGTAAGCAGCGAAGGCAAGCTTCCCGACATCATCCCTTCAGACGACTCTTGCCCGCTCCCGATCGTGGCATACAACGTGACAGGTCACGAGACCTATTACCCGAGCTACAACCAGCCCGACACATGCTTAAACCTCGTCGATAAAGGTCCAGATCCGTGTGCTGTCAAGGCAGTGTCTTCCCTTGCGTCAGAGGTCGCATCAAAAATGGAGTTCCTGCTCTGTAAGGGGCAGAAGTGGCCGGAGAGCTCAGAGACATCAATCTGCCGCAGTAGCTCGGCTCGCTTGACACAACCGATATCACAGGTGATCCTGGTTCCGGGCGCTGTAGCACTGTGGGCTATCATGATGGCGCACGCTCTAGAAAGGAAAATGGGGGAGGAGGGAAGGAAAGGGGCTGGTGGGTGTCGGAGGAGAAGCACAAGACACCAGACCAATTTTCATTTCCGGCCGAGATCTTTCCAAACATGGCATTCACGTACTTTCTTGTTGGCACCTAGTTCAGAACCACCTTAGTAGATAATGATAATAATTTTAATTCGCAATATTACCTTCCGGGAATAGTGGTGAGGGAAAGCAAAGGCCCGACTTCCGAGCTCCTTCCCCGCACTCCCCCGCACACCTGTCCGGTTCCTGCAGGAGGTTCCCTGCCTGCGACAAGACGAGATTCCTGTTATCGCAGGAATCGGCATCGAATAGTACGGGAGCAACCGAAGATCAAGTTTTTCTGTAACGTATGAATTGGTATGTTACCCCAAGAGGGGGGCGGGGTTGTGACAGGAAGGAGGTTATCTTCCGTAGAAAAGCCCCGGATTCCCCCCCGCCCGGACACTCGCCAGTCCGGCACTACCGAATATCCAAACGACCTTCGCCTTGACGCGGGCTATCGAACAATCCACCCATGGCGCCTCTCTCAATGCTCGCTGCCCTTGTCGGCACCGCGGCAGTTGTGGCAGGCTACACTCCCAACAAGCCGGGTAGTAGCGGCCGCTATCCCATGAACGCGCCCTATGACCAATCTTTCCAGGACGGCTATTCTATCCTGAAGCACCTTGGTGGGTACGGACCCTATGTGAACCGTGCCGCCTATGGCATCGGCCGTGACCCGCCCGAGGGGTGCGCTGTCGACCAGGTCATGATGCTCAGGCGCCACGGCGAGCGGTACCCGCTTGTTGGGGACAGCGAGAACATGCTCAAGACGCTCGAGAAGCTGTATGGCTCCAAGGTCAGCAGCTGGAGGGACGATCTCGAGTTTCTAAACCGTTGGCAATTTTTCATTCCGGACCTGGGCTATGTGGAGCTCGAGTCCGAGGCCGGACCGTATAGTGGCTTGCTCGGATCGTATAAGCACGGCGCCGAGTACCGCGTCCGGTACGGCCATCTGTGGGACCAGAAGCCGAATTCGACCGTGCCAATGTTCACGAGCGATTACGAGCGCGTCATTCAGACGGCAAGGAAATTCGGTGTGTATCTTGCGACTCTGCGGAAGAAGCAAACGTGGACTGACGTTGCATCGCAGGTGAGGGCTTTTTTGGCTGGAACTATTCAACCTCGGCCGCGCTCAACATCATTTCCGAGAGCGGGAAAATGGGCGCAAACAGCCTGACGCCATACTGCCCAAAGGACAATGACACGAGCGTGTGCAACAATCTGTCGCGGTATATGCCCCAGTTCGACGTCGCCGCGGCGAGGTTGGGCAGGCAGAATCCTGGCCTTGAGCTGGATTCCACCGACGTGTTCAATCTAATGCGTGAGATCAAGACCGCCTCTTTCATTTGTGTGCCAAACTGAACCCGCTGTTGACCAACAATGCTCAGAAATGGCCGCCTTCGAGCTCAACGTGCGCGGCTATTCCGACTGGGTTGATGTCTTCACCATGGACGAGTGGGTCAGCTTCGGGTACACCCAGGATCTACAGTTCTACTACTGTGCCGGGTAAGTTATTTCTGCGCAAAACTGCGAGTGATGCGAGCAAAAGTTCGGAGAGCTGATGTGGGTGCAGTCCTGGCGACAAGAACATGAAGGCTGTTGGCGCCGTCTACGCTAACGCAACCCTCCACCTCCTGAATCAGGGGCCCAAGAAGGCCGGCTCCATTTTCTGGAGCTTGTAAGTTTCCCTCATCCTACCCGAAAACTTATCCGGAAACTTTGACGCTGACGGCTTATTTAGCGCCCACGACACCAACATAACCCCGATCCTCGCAGCTCTCGGTATCTCGAGTCCCGCTGAGGACCTCCCGCTCCATCACATTCCGTTCCCGAACCCGTACTCGATCGGCGACATCATGCCCATGGGCGGCCATCTCACGCTGGAGCGGATGGCGTGCAACGAGACCGCCGTCACTAAGCGCGACACATACGTGCGAATCGTGCTGAACGAGGCTGTCGTGCCCTTCACCGGGTGCCAGGACGGGCCTGGCTTCTCGTGCTCGTTGGCGAACTACACCTCCCTTGTGACTAAGATGCTCCCGGATTATACCAGCACCTGCGGTGTCGATGCAAGCTACCCCCAATACCTGTCTTTTTTCTGGGATTACAATACCACGACGACAAACAACTTTGAAACTCGCACCTATATCCCGTACCAAGGTGCGTAAGTCGAATGATAGTCATGGTTACGGTACGAAGTAGGCCAGGCCATTCATTAATATAGTAATTATACCGCATTACCCTGCTCTTCTTCTTCTTCTATAAGATAATAGAAGAGGGAACCATCAAGGGTCCCATTTTATCTATTGAATTGACAAGTCCGGTCAACTAGGGAGAGGTACCGGGGAGGAGCACACTATCTCGTAGCTGGCCCAATGTTCGTTGACCTCGCGTTCTCGTCGCTCGTCGCGCTCGCTTGCCTACTAATGCATCGTGTTTAGGTGTTGGTCTTGAAACTATAAATCCTGCAGTTATTTATATAATTAAGGTAGTAGAGGGACGGGAACCTCTCGGGGCGGACAAAATCATGCCGGCTTCCGAAAACCTAACTGCTCGAAACCTAAGCACTGCATGTCGACAAGCCCTTTCACCTCTTCTCAAAGAAACTCCACACAGTCTCAATCCCACCACTAATCAATGGCGGGAACGGAATTCCAGGGCCTCCAGTGGGTCACCAAAACCATTGGCCTCGAGCCGACATGGACGCTTGAGCCAGACCTGGAAGCTGCCAAGCAGCTGGTCGAGTCGATCAGCATGATAGAAGCGGGCACGATAAACATGTCACTTCTTGCTCAAGGCGCATTCAACAAACTATGCGATATTACCATGTCCAAAAAAGCGGAAGCCCTCATCCTGCGTGTAGCCTTACCGGTCGATCCGCGATACAAGACGCTCAGCGAAGTTGCGACCATGGACAGGATGCGCCATAATACGAATGTCCCAGTACCTAGGGTTCTCGCCTACGAGGCTTCCAGAGCGAATCCTGTCGGTTTCGAATGGATCCTGATGGCAAAATTGCCTGGGAAGCCGCTGGCTGATGCGTGGAAATCATTGTCATACCCGGCTAAGGAGGGACTCGCCAAGCGGTTTGCCGCATACTCATCTAGCCTTTTCAAGAATCAACTGAGCGGCATTGGGAATATCTACACCGCGTCGCCTCCCAAGGTGGACTGGATTGTGTCCATGCATTTTTTCTGGGGTGATCATATCCACCAAGATGTACGCCGCGGGCCCTTCTCCTCGAGCAAAGACTGGATGGAAGCACGCCTAGCACTCAGCGAACACGACTGCCGCTCAACGCTGGCTAAATATCCGGATAGGAGTGGTATTGATAGTGACGACGAGGACGACATAGACGACGCACAACGGACGCTCGAGATTATCAAGAGACTTGTGCCGCTTGTGGGCCAAATACTCCCTATTGATCACTTGGAAGATGAGCCCTCTATGTTTTTTCACGACGACCTCTCTCGGCACAACATCCTTGTCGACGACAGCGGTGCTCTTACCGGTGTGGTGGACTGGGAGTGCGTATCAGCCCTGCCACGCTGGAAGGCGTGCTATTATCCTTCGTTTTTGGAAGGTCCGCCGCGAGATACGAAACCCGACCCGACGAGGTACCAGCGAACCGCCGGTGGCGAGCCTGCGGACCTCTATTGGGAACACTTGATGGAATATGAACTCACAACCTTGCGCATGGTTTTCCTCGGTGAGATGGCGAGACTGGAGCCAGGTTGGGTGGACGTGTTTAACTCGAGCACGATGCAGAGAGACCTGGATCTCGCGGTGCAGAACTGTGATAACGAATTTATTGCCAGGCGCATCCATGACTGGATTGACGACGTTGCTGCCAGGAGAAGCAACCCACACAGTTTGCGAGATAGGATCGATGAATCTTGACGACTTTTCCTGTAGTTATTGGGGTCTGTTTCAATACGTGTGTCTCACAATATCAAACCAGTCGAGGCATACATATAATTGAAGTTGAAGGAGCCGAATCTACTACCGTTGAGCTACGAGCAGGCTCGGCAGTTTCAAGGACGGATCAATACTTGGCAAAGACTACCTCACCATCCCCCGTGAACCAGTCTTGCCCACCATCGAGCGCGGCTATATGGTTCGCCAGCACGAGGCCCTTCTGTCTCCGTGCCTCTACTTCTCGACCAACGCTATCGGGTTGCGATCCATCAGAACTCCCTTCTTCGCGGGACACACGACCGCACGCCGGCGTCGTCCCATTGGCCGCGGCCCTCGAAGCCCCCGAAGCCCTGTCGCTGTGCTCTTCTCCTGGCTCGGGCGTGAGAAGGCCACAGGCGGCCAGGAACTCGTCCGGCGGAACCGTCTTCCGGCCCAGCTTGACGACATATTTGGAAATGCATGTGGCGTATAATGTGGGCTGCGCGGGTGCGCTCCCGGGCGCATTCTTACGCCACGGCTGGTCCGTGTAGCGAGCCGGGCGGGCGTTGGAGGCCTTGACGAAGTGGGAGATTAGATAGATCCACTTGGAATCCCAGGACAAGACGCGCGTCCAGATTTCCACCTTCTCGAACGGGCGGATCTCCTTCTTGAAGGTGCAGGTGACGCCGCCGAGGGCCGGGAAGATCGGTCCCTTCTTAGAATACTTCTTGAGCCCCACGCGGAAGAGGCAGTAGAAGTGATAGCCGCGAGCCAGGTCGAGGTCGGTGAGATAGGTAGAGTTGGACTTGTGCAGGCTGTAGTCGACGTCGCCAGGGGGAGTGGAAGTGGTGTAGATGGTTGGTTGGAAAATGGTCAGAGCACCGTCCGTTGAGCGAGATGGTACACGGCGCCCGTCAAGGTAATAGTGCCTGAAGTACCCGTAGAAAACACGCATCTGCGTACGCACCGGGACGGCGCGCCCCCACCCTGGTCAACCCTTGAGGGAAGGAATGGGACTCGGAACACCAAAACTTACATGCCAAGCGAATGGGAGGGTCTTCGCTGATACAACAGCGTAGAGGACCACTGCGAGAAGGAGAGGGGCGCCGAGCCGGTGGACTAGCCCATCGAGGAGAGGGACGGAGAAAAAGTCCATCGTGCGCTGGAGAAGGCGGTGGTTGTGTAACAAGGAGGCATAGACAATTCCAGGTGCCCGGTCGAACCAAGGAAGAAAGGGAGTAGGTTTCCAGAGACCACGAACCGAGTCCGGAGGGCAAAGCTATGAAGGTGTGAAGGTGTCTTCATAAATCACGCCATACACATGCGCGCCGTCCCGCATGAGGCGTGAAGGATTCTGATCCTGTGGCTAGGGAGGGTCTGCTCAAAAGACCCATGCATATGCCAGCTTACCGCAGCATCCTGCCAGCAATCAATAGTATCGCGGCACAGCCGTCCACTTCGGGCACAGCCGCCGCCCAGTGGCGTCGCCGCATGCGCCGCATGGCGCGATGTGCATTTGAGTTCAGCCGTTTACGGAGCCGAATCCAGGGACATTCCTTCCGGGAAACTACGGATTATTTCCAATGCTACGACGAAGCCTCCACATCCAGCATGAATGCGGGCCCTCGCCTAGCTCCACTCCTTTTCCTGCCGTATGTCCGAGGCGTGGGCACGGCTACCGCGGCTTGTTGGCCCGGAGCGTCGCACTGAAGTAAGCAACCAACCGAACCACGCAAAAGGATGTAACCTCCATTCCAGTGAGTGGGGTGCGAAGGATCGAGACTAGAAGTTCCCGTTTTCCCAGCCGCCTGCTTCGTTTCTCTTTTTTTATATAATTTTTTTTTTTTTTTTTATATCCCACCCTCTGCGGCGACTCCATTAATGTCTCATATTGTTAGAAGAGGCCCTATGCGGGCGGCTGTGCATGATCGCTGAGGCACGCCATCCTGTCTGCTTACAGTGAGGTAGCTTAGATTATCCCCTTGGGACCTCTCTGACCTAGGTAGGCTGTAGGCCCCTTTCGCCGCCCCCCCTTTTTTTATTTTAATTTCCATTTGTAAAGTTACGTGGTTTATCGATCGACACGGGCTTTCACCAGGCGAGGACCGGGGCATATTCTCTCTTCTCGCCACCCGATGGAACCCCAAGCAGCAACGCAGAGAACCGCATCTGAGGCACACGCTGCCAAAAGGCTACGCCTGGCTTGCGACTCCTGTCATGGCTCAAAGGTTCGATGCTCTGGCGGGGACCCATGTGCGAGGTGCCGTGACGGGTTGGTGTTACCCCCTGGTGCCCCAACCCTGGAATCTCTCCCTCGATCACTTTCCTCGTCGTCCCACTTATCTACTGCAATCAAATACTACGGCAGGGAGAGAACTGACAATGTACGTAGCAATCTGGAGTGCCAGTATAGCTACATGAGCAGGTTAGGCAAGCCAAAAGGCAGCCGCAACAAGAAGACACTCGAGAAGCTGGCCGCCACGGCGCCCGGGGCGGCAGTCCCACATGCCCACACCGGCAGCCTAGACCCGTATCCGGCACTCAGCGACGAAATACAGCTTTCCTCGCACTCAGGCACTTTCGATGTCTCGCGAGGATCCGAGGCCTATGCTTTGCCAGGATGGATGGACGCGGACTTGATGGGATTTAGTGGCACCTTGGACGCGGTCTGGCCAGAGGAGCGGTCGCTAAATATGCACTCATCGCAGCGGGGCTTGCTGAGCCAGCCAACAGAAAAGCTTCCGTGGGGCATGTCTGGTGAGATTGAGCCCTCGCGAACGCACGAGCGCCGTATTTGTGTTTTCTCTCGAGCCGTTCTTGCTGACGAGACCACGGGGCTTCACAACAGGCCCTCAAAAGGACCAGTCCAGTGCCGTCGCCGCCAACACCACCACCACCCACGATACTATGTTGAGCGTCTCGGAGGACTCCGAGGGAGACGACCAACGCATCTGTTCCACTGCAGAATGGCGGGGATTCGTCCCGCGCAGTGCCCCTGACGGGAAGCGCCCGTGGGAGGACCCGACCGAGACAGACACGACCGACACGTTGGTCGCGACCGGACGGAGCCCCGCGTCGGCATCTAATGAGGTGGGCGAGATGGGCTGTTGCAGCTGCTTAAAGAGACTCACCGACCACTTATGCCACCTTAACACGATAGAGCGCAAGCAAGATATCATCTGCCTGGACACGACGCTATCCAAGACAGATACGACCCTGAGCTGCGCCGAGAGCGTGCTCGAGTGTCACCACTGCCGCCTCGACTCAAAGGTGGTACTGCTCATCATGACGGTGCTGCAGACCGCCCTGAACTGGCTCAGCGTAGAGTACAGGCACGGGACATACGCGCGCCGCCGCCTCCCTCCAATCCACTTCGGCAGCTGGAGGGTGCCCGAGGCGGACGGCGACCTCATCAAGAAGCTGCTGACGAGCCGAATTTTGGCCACGAGCGACTCCGTGGCCAGCACGCTGCGTCTGCGGATGGACGAGATCACCCTCAAGGCGAGCAAGCAAAATATGAGCTCTCGGTTCATGGACGCCGAGTCCTTGCAGCAGACGCTGCAGCGTTTGACGTCGTCACTGAGGGAGCTTGCCGAGCATGTGAAAAGCTGAATTCCTTAATCTCATGCACTGGGGTGGTGGGGAAAGGAGGGGGTGGGGGGGGATGATACACACGGAAGGAAGGAAAAGAAAGTCGCTTGGGGCTTCCCGGGTCATAGAAATCGGGTCATAGATTATGGATGTATAAAGAAAACCAAACACTTCTCACATCGTAGGAACCCCGGCCTTCGGACCTTGTGCGAGTGAAATGACATTTGGTAATATGCTTGGGGCCTTCCCGTGTCCCTCGTTGTTCCCTTCATTCAAGTCTCATACTGAAAAAGGGGAGGGGATGCTTGGTTCTGGCATCGTTCGCCGCGCAAGCGCCTGCACGACCGTCGGCAGGAATGACGCGAGTGCGGTAACTCCCTCGGACGAGACCACCCGCGTGCTATACTCGATCTCGACGTGCAGGCTGCCGTCCTCCAGCTCGCTGTACTCCAGCAGCAGCGGGAACAGGGCGCCTGCTGGCTTGGCAGCACCGTAGTCTGCGCTCTTCGCGTAGATTCGCACGCCCGGCCCAAGAGATAGAGACTTCTCGAGTGCGTCTGACTGCCAGTGATAGAGAACCATGACGTCTACAATATTATCGTCCACAATCATGTTCTCATCCTTTGGTGGTACTGGTGTCGTAGCCGATCGTATCTGCGCGTACGGCAGCTGGTGGTCGATGGCTAGGTTGATCTCGGCCGCGACCGCGTCGAGCAGCGCGTAGGCGCTGGCGAGGTTTCCGTCGTCGCCGAGCACCAGCCTTATGGGTAGTTGATCGACGAATAATCCCAGCATGTCGGCCGTGCCGGGTTCGTCGCGGTTCATGTATGGCAGGCCAAGCACCATGTCCGAGGAACCATACACGGCGCGCAGAGCGAGTGCCGTGGCGGCTACGGCTAGACGCTGAGAATAGAGCTGTTGCTGGCCTGACAGTCTTGGCACAGATGCTGCGTCGAGATATGGGATGCTAATAGACCGGGTCGAACCGTTATCTTTTCCTCGAGATTCGGAGCGATGAAGGTGTGGAATCGGTTGCATTCCTCCCAGATGTTGCTTCCAGAACTGGATGTGGTCCTTCTTGTGCAGCTGCGATTTGGGAGCAGCACTTTCTTGGCGAAGTTGAAGCCACTGTGCCCAGTCGATGTAGGTGGCGTCTCCTGCTGCTGGATAGCAGCTGCTTTCGGCATGGGAAGAGTCTTCGTGGCCATTCGTCGCCGGCCATTCTTCCGAGCCTGTGAGATATCGGTATTTACGACCGACCAACTGCAGCATGAGTGCGAGGGAGGCCTTGTCCGTGATTATGTGGTGCGTGACCATGACTACGTCCGTCTCCGGCCCTGCTCTTTCATCTCCCCCGTTCCGAGTCCAAATGACCACTCTGAACAACTGGTCCCGTGCCAAGTCGAAAGATTTCCCAACCCAAGCCCTCAGTCTCTCGGGATTCAGCTCGTCGTCCACGTAGTATTGCGGCGCCAAAGCCTCTGGGCTGACAAGCCGGGCGGGCTGCCCCTTGGAAATGACGTAACGAGATCGGAGTATGGGGTTTTCGCGCACAATGGCTGTGAAGGCTTCGGCGAGGGCCTCGGTGTCGACATGCCCTTGGAGGACCAACTGTACCGTCGTGTTGAAGGCCGACCTGGTGTCCGAGACGGTGTGCGCATGGTACATGTCCGCCTCTAGGTGTGACATGGGAAGCGCCGTGGACGAGTAATCGGCAGCCAGAGCTGCTCGCCGGGCCGACGACCAGTAGGAGGAAAACGAGTCGCCGGCAGCGGTCGGCTGAGCGGCATGATGCTGGTCGATGGCCCTCGACAGCGCCTCGAGGACCGTCTCGCGGATGAGCAGCGCTACGGGAACGTGATAGTCAATCGACGATGCGATCCGACGGGCTGCCCGGATGGCCAGCAGCGAGTTTCCCCCCAAGGCGAGGAAGTCGTCGTCCTTGCGAACACGCGCGTCGTCGCCGAGACCGAGAAGCTCCTTCCAAGTCTCGGCAACCAGCTTCTCGGTGGGCGTCAGCGGCCCTGTGGAAAAATCATTGACCCCGTCGCTGCTGTCAGCTTCCTCAGCTCGCGAGCAAGCGGCAAGCGACGCGAGCGCCTTCCGGTCTACTTTGAAGTTGGCCGACTTGGGCAGCTCTGCAACGGATACGATACGAGCCGGACGAGCGTAGCTCGGCAACAGGGTTGCGACACCTGCACGCAAGGCTGCCGTATCGACGACTTCGGGGGTAACGAACGCCACGATGCGCGCGCCGTCGGAATGCCCCCCCGAGATGGTCACGGCTGCGGCACTCTGCACTTTGCCTCCGCCCACGGCGACGAGGGCCCGTTCGATCTCCTCGAGCTCGATGCGGAAACCGCGCACCTTGACCTGGTTGTCGAGGCGTCCCACGTAACACAGCGTCATGTCTGGATTCCAGAAGCCCAGATCACCGGTGCGGTACATGAGTTGCTGCTCCGGTCGCGAGGAGAAAGGGTTGGGAACGAAGAGGGCCTTGGACTGGGCCTCGGCCGAATCGTTCCAGTACCCGCGTGTCATCTGATCCCCCGAGATGTATATCTCGCCTGTGACTTCCGGTGGCACAGGGCACATGCGATGGTCTAGCACGTAGACGCTCAACTGCGGAAGAGGCCGCCCGATGCTGACTGGCTCGCCGGGCAAGAGACGGGTTCCTGTGGATATGGGTCCGCACTGGTTTCCCCTCCTTCTGCATCAGCGAGACTGTACCTTCGGATAATATGTACCACACATTTACGCGGAGCATGGCTCCCCAAACCTCTGATGAAGGAAAAGCCACTCACCTCACTCGGACCGTAAAGGTTCATCAAGTGCACTCGGCCAGCCCACGCATCGGCCAGGCTCTGCGGCACAGGCTCACCCGCCAATGCTATCGTGTCCAGATTACCGTAATCATCGGGCGAACAGGCCGACAGGAGCGACGGCGTCGCCATGGTCGCGTGGACGCGCCCGAGATGCTCGAACGGGTCGGCGGCATCTTTGAGCACTAGGGTGGCGCCGTAGCATAGCGAGCCAAAAAGCTCGACGAGGACTACATCGAAGCCTAAACCGAAGAGCTGGGCAATTCGGCGCCCGGGAGCCGCGAACAGCCGCACGTGTGGGTTGTCTATGACATAGAGGATGCTCATGTTGTGCAACGGGACGCCTGTGGGGAAGTTATATCGTTAACTTGGCTGTCTCTGATCTGACAGGACTCGGGGTCTCCCTCGTACGTACCCTTTGGGACTCCCGTGCTTCCGGACGTGAAGACGAGATAGACTGTGTCTTTGGCCTGGGTCGCCGTCTCGAGTGGGCCGGTAGGAGTAGCAGTTGGCGAGACTTTTAGGAACTCATCTACCACGATGACCACAGTGCCACCACTGTCTTTTCTATGCAGCACCTGCGCACAGACCTGATTCGCAGCTAGAAAGACGGAAGCGCCGCTCTGCTCGACGACAGTTTCAATGCGCTTAGGAGGGAGACTGATGTCGATAGCACAGCACACGCAGCCGGCTTTGAATGCGGCCAGAATGCTCACGACCCAGTGGAGCGAGCCGTCGGTTAGGATGCCCACGACGACGTCTTGCGGCCGTTTTCCCTCGGTCAACGACTGCCTCAGCCATCTGGCCACCTTATTGGACGCCTGATCCAGCTCGCGGTACGTCATGCTACCGTGCCGAGCGGACTCGACAGCGCATAGATCCGGCCATTGGTCGGCCGCAGCCTCGAAAGCGTCCTTGACCGTCGTCGGACCTGTGTAGGCCCCCTTATCGACATTAGCCGTTGCGGCGGCTGGGAGCCGAATGAGAGACGACTTCTCGTCTTCGTCCATGAGCTTTGCTCGCACGCTCTGGATGTATTCGTTATGCGGATTCATCAGCTCGCGCAGCGCGTTCTTGAAGTGCGACAAGAGCCGGCGGATGCCCGACGGCGCGTAGCGCGAACTGTCAAAGAGAACTCGAGCACGCAAGCCTGCTCCGCCGCTGCTACTGTCGTTGTCGTCTCTCTCAAGCAACAGGGACAGCCCGAATTCCATCAAATCTTGGCGCTCGACGGTCCACGACTCCGGGAGAGGTGGGAGGTCGTACTCAGTCACGACGATGCTCTGCAAGGCGCCGTTGATGCTCTCGCCGGCCATCGATGCCGTGGCCTCGGTAGCGGACCACTGGTACTCGAGCATCTGCAGGAGCTGACTGTTGATGTCGGATACGGTGGTCGCTATCGTCGGTCGCCGCTCCTCGTCGAAGGTGACGGGGAACGGCACCGTGTTGAGCAGCGGGCCCACCACGCGTTCGACCCCCGGCACCGCCATGAGGTTGCGGCCCGAGAAGACGGCGCCAAAGGCCACGCGTTCCGAGGAAGTGTAGTTGGAGAGCACCAGAGCCCATGCCGCGTAGACCAGACTCGATGGCGTGACTCGCAGGACGCGCGCTCCGTCTTCTAGCCGTGCTCCATCAAGTCCCAAAGCGATCTCCAAGCTGCTGGTCCACTCGTCGGACGGTCCGGTGGTGCTGTCTGCTAGTGGCTTAGGGAGACTAAGTCTCGGGAGTGCCGCGTGACCCTGCAGGATGTCGTTCCAGAAGGCTACGCCCTCGGGATTGATCTGTTGTTGCTTCTGGGCCAGTGCAACGCTCGCGAATTGAGGAGGACGGCGGCTCGGTAGCGGCACCTTGCCGTCCAAGACGGAGCGCACCTCGTCCAAGACGATGCTCAGCGACCAGCCATCGGCTTGGGCGTGATGCGCCGAAGTCAGCAGTGTCGAACCCAGTCCGGGCACGGTGATCAGACGGAACGCGTTCACCGGGACGAAGCTCTCGCTCTGTTCGTCCACAGATAACATCCTGCTGCGAATTTCGAGCGAGTGCCCGAGGACGACGGCGTCCAATTGGTCCGTTGTGGTTTCCTCGTCGCTCCAGTCTAGTTCCAGCTTCGGCAGCACCTGCTGCAGCTCATCCCTGAGCGAGAAGGCGGTGCGGAAGATCGCGTGCCGTTGCAGCACGCGCAGCCATGCCTCTCTCAGGCTGACCCGGTCGAGGTTGGCCCCCGGGTGCGCCAGGTGGATACGCAGGAGCATGTAGTTGGCCCCAGGCGTCCTCAAGCTGGCTTCGAGCATCTTGACCTGGAGAGCGGTCATGGGTGCTGTGGATGCCTCCTGGTCCTGGTCCTGGTCCTCCTCCCCATCACCGAAGGTCTCTTCTCTCTCGGCAGTAGCAGGGTCGACTACTTGCATGGCATCGCACACGGCGCTTAGGTTGGGGAGGTCGAAGAGTGCCTTGATGCTGAGCATAAGCCCTCTCCTTCGCAGATACGACAGCACTTTCAGCGCCGCGAGGGAATTCCCTCCCAGTTCCCAGAAGGGACGGTCGCTGGCCACCTCGGAGGCAGGCAGCAAAGTTGCGGCCGTGATGGCTGCCTTTAGTATCGCCATCTTTGATTTGTCGTCACCGGGCGGCGACACCTCGGCGTCGTCGTTGTTGTCTTTGTCCAAGGCCGCCTCCGCCTCTAGCAGTTGCTGCAAGGCGCGGTTATCGACCTTGCCGTTCACCGTCAGTGGGAGAGCTTCCATGGCGTAGATCTGATCCGGCACTAGGAAGGTGTCATGCTTTGTCGATAATATCTGGCGGAAGGCTAGCGTGTCGAGGCTATCCGGCGTGACAAACGCCACCAGCCGGTTGCGATGCATGAAAGCAGTAGCCGTCAGCACGCCCGCGCCCATCCCCAGAAGCATGGGGATGACCTCGGACTCGAGATTTACGAGGAAGCCGCGGTTCTTGACCAAGCTGTCCGCTCGCCCGGCGAACTCGAGCCCGTGTTCCGTCCGTCGCGCGAAATCTCCTGTCCGGTACATCCTCTCACCCCGCCAGTACACAAACGCCTTGGCCGTCCGCATCTCGTCCTGGTAGTACCCCAACGCCAGGCCGGGCCCCGTTATGCAGATCTCGCCCTGGTCAGACTCGGCCTCCCCGTCGAGCAGTAGAACACGACTGTTAGACATTGAGCGGCCGAGGGTGATGGACTTGTCAGGATAGACTCTGCCTATTGAGGAGCAAATAGTTGTCTCGGTGGGTCCGTACGCGTTGTATATGTTGCGGCCTGTTTATGGTCATTATCTCTTCTCTGGCATGAGAAAACGCGAATGGAAAAGGGGAGAGGGAAACAGTCATACCTGGAGCCCACCACTTGCGAATCAGCCACGGCGGCGGTGCTTCGCCACCTAGCACGATGGTTCTGAGCTTTGGGCAGGTCTGAGGATCTTGTATGGCCGCCAGGACTGACGGAGTGGCGGTTAGGATGGTGACGCGGGTCACACAGCCCAGGAAGTCGGCACTACTCGGTATCATGACCTGGGCCCCGTTGCAGAGCGTCGAGAAGACCAGGCCGGTACAAGCGTCAAAGCCGGGCGAGAATATCAGCAGCGTTATATCTTCCGGTGTGGCATTCGCGTTGAAGGGCGCCTCCTCGTCGCCTTGCTGCACGTAGTTCAGCAATGCGCGGTGCGGGATCATGACGCCTTTGGGAGTCGACGTCGTTCCCGATGTAAAGATGATGTATGCTAGGTCTTCCGGCCGTATCTGGGATTGAGCGAGCTCCCGCCCGGGCTCCGGCCCGGGCTCCTGCCCAGCTGCTGCAGGCCAGAACGCCGCCTCCACCTCGTGGCAGGACACCAAGTCGCAGTCTGGTAGGGTTCCGGAGCGGCCGCCCAGATCCACAACAACCCGCGCCGAAACTCTTCTCAAGGTCGACTCGATACGGTCCTCACTCCAGGCCTCAATGTCGATGGGCACATAACAGGCGCCCGCCTTGAGGATTCCCAGAAAGCTTGCTATCATCTCGGGACTTCGTGTCGCCAGCACTGGGACCAGATCCCCCGACCGTACCCCCTTCTGCTGCAGGAGCCAGGCGATGCGACACGCTGCATCGTCCAGATCCCGATACGATACCCTCCTACCCTCTTCGCACAGGATAGCAGTGTGGCTGGGGTTCCTGCCCGCCCACTTCTCAATAAGGTCGCAGACCGACCTGGGTTTTTCCACCGTCGTGAGATGCCCAGCGTCGACCATGATCTCGTCCACCTGGCATCCCCGCAGTCCATCCAATACAGTCGGGCGCATCGTCTCCATTGAGGGGGCGGATCAGGAAACCAGAAGTGATGACAAACTACACAAGCACACCTGATGCTTCCAGATGGCGGTATTATTAGATAGCCGCCGCAGGAATAGAACAAGAGCAAAAAACACAGAATAAACTTGGCAGTGCAGCAGCAACTCACGATAGCTGCGTGGGCTATCAGAATATATTGGCGTGATATCCCTAAATTATGTAGTTCTACCGGTGATCCAACCTCAACCTTGCACCTAGCTTAGCCAATCCTCGCCGTGTACCGTGTAAGAAGCAAAGGCCTGGAGAATGGTAGCTGGCGCCCCCAATTTCATACGCCGGAAAGCGCCGAGTCCTGCCGGGTTAGAGGCTCTCTGCATTTCATTAATAAGGGGGACGGACTCACCCTCGGAAGGTTAGATTTTCCATCTACGTACCTGACAGCTAGGCTAGTGCACTGTAACCTACTTCATGCACGTTCCGACGACCTTGCCAACCGGTTAACCGCCTTTGTATCTTTGCGGCTCGGCGACTATTTCGGCGACTATATCTCGGCGAGTATATCTCAGCGACTAAAATGTCGGCGCCAATTGTGCCCTCCCCTGACAACACTGAGCTCCCGAGAAGCTGATGATGTGCATTACCCATGTAGGTGCACTGCGTTTTCTGCCTTCCGTCCTCGAGTAGTCTAGTGCGTGCGCTCTATGACCTTCGTTCAGCCACACATTCCTATCTTTGTCTACCTACCTTGTCTTCCAAGCTCTCTCCCAGTCACATCGAAGCCGTGGACTTTGGCCCTTCGCTCGCGGACATGGCGGATAGCCAAGACTTCAAGACCGAGCCCGGCAATAGCGCTCTCACCAACTCTAGATCGCTGCCGCAGGCAAAGACAGAATCGGATCCCAATGCCTCGCGCGACGACATGGACTCGCCAGATGCCGAATGGAAAGCTTCCAAGAGTACCAAGCTGGCGTTTGCCTCGATCTGCGTCTTGGCCCTGATGGCTGCCCTGGACGGCACGTCCATTGGCGTCGCGTTACCAGTAGGTACCGGTCGCAAGTTCCAGAAAGCAGCGCCGCGATGGCTGACCGTGGATGCCAATCACAGGCCATCGCCAATGCATTGAAGGGAACCGCGATCGAGACATTCTGGAGCGGAACTTCATTCCTCTTGTGCTCGACGGTCTTGCAGCCCACGTTTGTGTCGTTTTCGGACATTTTTGGCCGCCGCAATCTGTTCATGCTGTCCATCGCCTTCTTCTTCGCTGGGGCCCTAGTGTGCTGTCTCTCTCAGAACTTCACCACGATGCTGGTCGGCCGGTCGATCCAGGGCGCCGGCGCTGGCGGCATCATGTCCCTGACCGAGGTGGTCATCACGGACTTGGTGCCCCTTCGGTATCGCGGTGACTACTACGGGGGCATGAACGCCATGTGGGCGGTGGGATCTGTCCTCGGACCCATCGTGGGAGGCGGGTTCTCCGGCAACAAGCATGCCACTTGGGTATGTATACAATTTTTGTTTATTTTATTTTATTTTATCCTTTCACTGACAACACCTTTACTATTGGCCCTCTAGCGGTGGATCTTCTACCTCAACTTCCCCTTTATAGGCGTCGGCACGGTACTCGTGCTGGTGTTCATGCGCCTGCGTTTCGTGCCCAAGCCGCTCCTCCAGCAGCTGCGTTCCTTTGACTGGATAGGCAGCATCCTCTTCATCGCCAGCACCACCTCCTTCCTACTCGGCCTCACGTGGGGCGGTGTCCTGTATCCGTGGGACTCGTATCAGACCTTGGTACCTCTGGTCCTCGGCGCCGTCGGCTGTGTCGCATTCTCCCTGTACGAGGCCTACCTCGCCTCCAACCCCAGCATTCCCCTCGTGCTCTTCCACAACCACACGACCGTCATCTCCTTCTTCGGCACCGTCATCACCGGTCTAGTCCTCTGGTGCATCCTCTACTACATGCCGCTGTACTTTGAGGCCGTCAAGGGATATAGCCCCGTCATCTCCGGGGTGGCGCTGTTTCCCCAGACCTTCACCGTGGCGCCCGCCGGCGCCCTGGCCGGGGGACTCATTACCAAGACGGGCAAGTACCGCTGGTCCATCTGGTTCGGGTGGGCGATGGGCACGCTGGGCCTGGGACTCTTCTGTGTGCTCGACGTCGACACCAGCATCCCCGCCTGGATCTTCCTCAACCTGGTCTCGGGCCTGGGGCTGGGCTTCTTGTTCCCCGCCATCGCGACCGCCATCCAGGCGTCTGTGGCCAGCGAGCACGTCGCCATCGCCATCGCCATGTTCAGCTTCTTCCGGTCCGCGGGCCAGGCCCTGGGTGTGGCCGTGGGCGGCGTCATCTTCCAGAACCGCATGTACGCCAACCTGCTCGCGTACCCGCACCTGGCGGCCCGCGCCTCGTCGTACGGCGCCGACGCCGTCGGCCTGATCGAGGTCATCCGGGACATGCCCGACGGCGCCGACAGGCGGGACCTGAAGCAGGCGTATGCCGATAGTCTGCGCATCGTGTGGGCCGTGTGCTGCGCGCTTGCCGGCGTGGCGCTGTTGATCAGTATCCTCACGCGCCACCATAGCCTCGACCAGGCCTTGGTCACAGACCAGGGACTCGTCGAATCGAAGAAGGGCGGGAGCGGCAGTGGCGGGAGCGGCAGTGGCAGGGACGTGAGCCCCGACGAATCGCCGTCGGCATGACATGACAGGGTTTGCATGGCAAATACCACGGTGTTAAAGAATAGAGAGAATCTGTAATCTAAGTCGTCCATCGTATAATAATGATGAAAGTATCACCGCCAGCATCCTAGAGCATGTCTTGGGAGTCCCGCAATTTGCATTCTTGGTATTGCCTCGAGGGTTGGTTAGGGCAGCTTCACTCTTCGAGTTGCACATTCCTATGCAGCATGCCAGAGTCGAATGCCCGCTACCCGACCAAGTATGTTTACCACGAGCCTTACACATCCTAGACTGCTACTGTGACTTGTATAGTGTAGATGCGAATACCCACTCTTGTCTTTTCTCCCCCGTCTCCCCCCCCCCCCCCCCCCCTTTTCTCATGCTAATCAACCCAACTTGGTCAGCTGCACCCTGACATCTGCCATAGGGACCCACGACTCCTTGTGGATCTTATAATTCCCATCAGCCTTCCGTCCATCCGTGACGAGGATCTCGTACTGGTCGAATAGGTGGGCGACGGCCGCCTTAATCATGTGTGCGCCGAGGTATTGTCCCAGACACTTGCGGTGGCCGAAACCGAATACGGTAAGGTTGTAGCGGAGCTTGGAAACGGGGGACGTCAGTCGTGGATAATTTTGGAAAATGGGGTGATAATTTACATACGTCTGACTGCTTGATGTTTTTGAATCGAGACGGGTCGAAAGATGCACTGTCGGGGCCCCAAAACTTGTTGCGCACATTGATCGCCAGCACATCCACCAGGACCATGGTCTGAGTGCCGTTTTTATTTTTTGTCAGCATTTGCTGCAACTGCGAGACCATGTTAGGACCATGGCTAAGGTCGCCACTTACGTTTGGCTTCACCAGAACACCGTGGAAGTTCTTGACCGATGGTGCGCTCGCGCCGATGTTGAAGACTGCTAGTGGGCGCAAACGCAGCGATTCATAGAAGCATCGGTGCAAATGCGTATCGCTCCTGGTCAGATATTCGTGGAAATTGTGCTTGTTGGCCGCAATCTCCTCGCGCAGCTCCCGCTGGGCGTCGTCGTGATCGGCGACCAACGTGATGCACCAGGTAAGCACGTGCGTGGTTACGTCGAGGTTGGCCATGAGCATCTCGTCCATGGTATGTAGGAGCTGGCAAGCACACAAACGTTAGCCACCACACCACCTGGTGGGTTTCTCTTCTCTCGGGTCCTTACTTCGTCCAACGTGATATTGCCAGCCTCATACTCGTCCCAATACGATAACAAGGGTACGCTGACCCCCGTTGCACGTCTCCTTTCCACCATGCGTTCGTGGCAATTGCGCCAACCTACTAGGTACTCATTGAGCTTCCGGTAAGCCGTACGATCCACCCACCTCCCCGCCGACAGCCGATAGGGGCCTCCAATCACGAAGTAGGGCAGCAGCGCCATGTGCTTCTGCGCCAGATCCCATAGTTCCCGCTCTTCCTCGTCGGTCATGTCGCCATAGACAACACCGGCCGCGAGGTAGAAGGGGAATTTCATAAAGGCAGACACGGCGTGGAGGGTGAAGGGTTCCTTGTTGTCGCCCTTCTTCTCCCTTTCCGCTCCAGGCTTGCTGTCGGAGGCGGCCCCGTCTGCGGCGGCGGCCAGGGAAGGTAGGCTCTCTACGAATGCCTTGGCAGCGCTCTCGGTGACGCCGATCCGAGCGATGCTCGCGGCGTGCCGGAAGGGCGGGTCAAAGATCTGTCGTCTGTGCCTCCACTCGTCGCCCTCGAGGAGGCCTACGCAGCGCCCGAGGACTTGGCCAACGAACCAGCCGAGGTTCTGATACAGCGGTTTGCCATGCTTGTCCGAGTCTGAGTGAAAGATTTTCAGGTCTTCTGGGGTAGTGATGACGCTATACGGAGCAAGCACCTCATTAGAAGAAAGAGAGAGAGAGAGACGGAGCCGGCGAATCAACCAGACTGCGACAATAGGTAACGTACATTTCGGGATGTGACCCGGCCCAGACCCGATACACGGGGCCGTACTTGCGCCACTCCTCCGATTTTGCCTGCCCGTTCAGCAGTTTATCAATGACCTGGCCGTTGGGAATCGTCCACTTGGGACCCGAGATGGGCTTCCCTTGTCGCAAGACGCCGGGGTTGATGGCTGCGAGCACATTCTGCGTGATAGTCTGCCAAGCTTTGTCACTAAATACCGTTCACCTGGGCCGGTGTATACCTAACTGATCATTCGCATACCTCCAAGATCCACACTCCGCAGTATCGAAGGACCCAGTACGCGATCAAGGAGAGGACTGCAAGCGCCGCCCACTGGGCCAGCAAGCTGGGGTCGTCTGGGATGAGATGTTCTATCTTCATGCTCCACGTAGAATTGGGATCTAAGAGGGCCACAGGCGAGAAGGTTGAAACGCAAGTCACTAATTAGGTGGAACGCAAGTTGTGTAATGAGACTGTCTAATGTAGACGACCAACAAGGTTTCTCGGCGTCTGACTCATCGCGTTATCTCGACACCACAGGCTTGGTTGCGTTCTGTTTTATTATGCCACCTGCAGACTCCTAAGTAATTACTAATAACTAGCCTGGTAGTGCACCATGTAGACAGTCTATTTTTATGATTTATGGCGCACATATGTAGTCAGCCTCGATCGCATTCGGTGCTTTAGTTGATGGCGCGCTGAGGTGCATGGTAGGAAGCCGTACTCTGAATACCCTATGCTGATTGGGCCGTCGGCGCTTAACCTTGCAGTGCTCCAACGAGGGTGAGCTTTCCACATCTGGGTACCTTGCCCACATGGGTCTGTCTCCATCAATTCTCGTTGCGAGAACATGCCATCACAGTTTCCCCCCTTGCCGAACCCGGCACTGGACCTTGCAGTATTAGCGTCGTAAATCACACTCATAGCGGCGGTTCGCCCTGGTGTTCTACTTTTCCGGCTCAAATCTAATTAATCCATCCTGGTGCTTCTCAGAGCGCGCTTCTCGGCAGACAACGGACCGGACAGAGCAGCCATGGGGCTCCTTTCTTTCTTCATGCCCAACCCGGGCAAGATAGCAAGGTTCAGGCCCGATTCCTATCTGTACACCAAAACCATCAATGGCCACGAGATCGCCTTCACCGACTTCGGCTACGTCCACGACGGCCCGGCCATCGTGACTTTCTCCGGGTGGAACCAAGACCATCGCGGCTGGAGCGACCTGACACCATACCTGATGGTGCAGTACCGCGTCATCAGCGTGTGCTTCCGCGGCCACGGCCCCAACCGCGACCCGGTCGAGGACTTCGGCTTCGCCGACCATGCCCGCGACGTCCTCGCCCTCCTGGACGCCCTGGGCGTCGACCGCTTCGTCTGCATCGCCGCGTCGCACGGCTCGTGGGCCGCCATGGAGCTTGCGCAGATGGTGGGCCGGCAGCGCATGCCGGCGCTCCTGATCCTGGACCTCAGCATGACCGAGGCGTCGCCGCAGTTCCTGGCCGCCCTCAAGGGCATGCAGTCGCCCGAGACCTGGCGGTCCACCGTGCTGGCCCTGTTCCGGAGCTGGGGCAGCGGCGTGCCCAAGATCAACATCGCGGCCCAGGGTCTGCTCAACATGGGCGGCTTCGGCTACGAGACCTGGTCCCGGTCGGGCAGGACCATAGAGGAGGCCTACCGGACTTGGGGCACCCCTATGGAGCGCATGAAGCGGCTGTCGGATCCCCCGCTGATCCACCACGTCTACAGCCAGCCCGACAGTGCCGAGTATGAGGCGCTGCATCGGAGCTTCAAGCAGCAGCACCCCGAGTGGTTCTCATACTCCCGTGCCAAGGGAAAGACTCACGTGCCGCATATTGAGAAGCCCGGCATTGTGAGCAAGGAGACCAAGGCACTGATTGCTAGGGCTCTGAAACGGCCAGGGCCAGAGAACGACAAGACGTCGCCAAAGTCGGGTTGAAGATTTATTCTCTCCGTCGTGTCGAGCAGATTTAGGGCATCACTTCATGTACCATTATGTTGGCCTACATCGCAAGAGTTCACTCCGACCCTGAAGAAGGGCTTTGGTTGCGCGCACTGGTGTTGCTTCTTGGGGGGTTCATGCTGCGATGCGTCACCCAATTTACACAGTGGTGGTCGTTGTTTTAATTTTCGTGGTTTTGTTCTGTAAGAAGCATGTCACCAGCTATACGCAATGACCCCACCAGAGCCAGTTAGTGAATCCCCGTGGATGGATTTTTGACGCGGAGTTTACTGTAGCTGGTCATCTCTTGGGCTTGTGGCGATTTACGAACCCCCGTGCCCCCAATGCCCCCACTCCAGTTGGCACATACCCCCTGTCAATCTTTTTAAGTGCCGAAGCGGTTTCATTGGTTCTCGAGCGACCCACAAAACCCATTTTGGACACCCGCAGCTGCTCTTATACTCGCCGGTAGGTTGAGGTTTCGATGATCCACCACTTCGGCGTATATCTCACAGACGATGGCGAAGCTGACTGAACTCGCGCTCACCAGAAGCTACCAGGGCGGGCACCGTGAGCTGCGCCATCGGTAATGGGGTCCGATTCGTCAAGACAAGCCGAACCTGTAGCTTTACAAATGTTCATACAGCAGAGCCAGCGTCTAATTAGAGGGGAGATGCGGTTAAGGGTTCTGGCGATGACCTGCCGATTTTGATCGATCCCCCTAATCATTCATCGTTTTTCGAGACACCATGCCTTTCCCTCCCCGAGCTCGCAAGGACGTTGGTTAGTTAAACCTCCCCAGCCGTTTGAAAGCCTTAGCTTTTCACCCGCTGACGAGAAGTTACCGAGTGAAGACTGGAGTGGGCCTGCTGTGGCGGCAACTCGCGTCAATGGGCACATTCAGTCTCGCTGGAGTCGAAAGACGGGAGAATGGTCTGAGCCTGAGTTCGTTGAGGATCCGTTCTTGCGCGTGCATGGACTGGCAACCGTGTTTCATTATGGTACGAGGCTCATTCTGAAAAATTTAAAAAAAGTGTACCCGTGGATGTAAGTTGAATCGTGACGCGCAGGACAAGAAATCTACGAGGGGATGAAAGGTGATTTACACGTCTCCCTATTCTGTTATTTTTTCCAATCCCCCCTTCCAGCACCGAACCCCCCGTCGTTGACACCAGCAAAGCGTTTAGAGCTCCCGACGGCGAGATTCAGATCGTCAGACCCAAATCCCACGCGGCCCGGTTGAACCGCTCGGCAGCCCTGGTATCCGTCCAGGCCGTTCCGGAAGACCATTTCCTGCGCTGCGTGCAGCTCGCGGTCGGACTCAATGCCGACCTCGTACCGCCCCCCGGCGCCAACGCCATGCTGTACATCCGGCCTTTCGTGTTCGGTTCGGGCCCCTGGTTCCAGCTGAGTCCGACCGACGAATACCTGTTCTGCGTCTTCGTGGCCCCCACCGTGGCGCTGCACGGCGTCAGACCAATCGACGCCCTGATCCTCGACGAGTTCGACCGCGCGGCGCCGAGAGGCGTCGGATCGGGAAAGGTCGGGGGCAACTACGCGCCCGTGATGCGGTGGAGCGAGAAGGCCAGGAGCGAAGGGTTCCCCATCACGCTGCACCTGGACAGCCAGACACGCACCGAGATCGAGGAGTTCTCCACTTCGGCTTTTGTTGGCATCCGCAGAACTGGCGACGGTGACAGTGTCGAGACCACCGTCGTGGTCCCCGACAGCGAGAACATCGTCGAGAGCGTTACGAGTGACAGTATCCAGCAGCTTGCGAGGTCGCTGGGGTGGTCCGTTGAGCGACGAGCAGTACGTGCCTCCCCAAGAGTCTGATTTCCAAGGCAAGATGCCCATTGCTGACATTTTCCCTCCCTTTTCCCCCCTCGTCTAGATCAAGTATGTCGAGCTCCCTCGCTTCTCTGAGGTTCTGGCCTGCGGGACGGGAGTCTCGGTGGTCCCTATAAAGTCGATAACCAGGAAGAGCACCTCGGACAAGTTCGTCTACCAGAATGATAGTCCGGAACCAGGGCCCTGCGCAAAACTGCTGGCGGGCTTGCTGGACGACATTTACAAAGGCAAGGCCGAGGACCAATTTGGCTGGCTTGCAAAGGTCAAGGAACCCGATGTAAAGGTCAATGGTAATGCACAGCTCAAATGGGGGAAACAGGCCAATGGCAATGGAGAGGTAAACTAAGCCGAAAGGTCATTAAAGACGAGAGCAAGAGCCACATTGTCGTGTGCCGATCGAGGGAAAGGGTGAAATGAAATATAAAATGACTTCCGAACCACTCAGAACACCTTCGTGGCTTGTGTTCGCAGACATGATGTGCATGCTTCTGAGCTTGGCCCAGGGGTGGGAAGCCGCCTTAGTCGAAGCCGCAAGGCGACATGTTTCCAAATGTTTTCTACAGCCAGAATCGCGACTCATTTGGCTCAACGAGACTAAGGTGGCAGACAGAACGCATGTTTTGGAGACGAATTCTTATATATATATAAAATCGGGCTCAGATCATGCTCTGACATCTGCACGGGGAGGACACTACATCGTTCGGGGCGGTGCCAGGGAAGAGCAAACTTTTTCTTGTCTCCTATATATATATGCCAATGCTCGTCCCTCACGTTGCCTTCGCCTCATCAAGTGTTCCTTGATCGCCACAAAACTTTGACCCGTTGCAACTAAACGCGGGGTCGAAATTGCAGTATAGGACCTTCTCTGTGCGATGTTATATGCTCCCTGAGCTCGTACTCTGTCGTTGGTGGTGCCGTGTCCTTGGTCTCCCAGGACTCGTCTTGGTCCGCCCTCCGCCAATCGAACTCCCAGAGCAGAACGGCCAGAGTGAGCATCATCTGCGCAATCGCGAGCGGCTTCCCCACACAGCTCCGAGGACCCATGCTGAAGGGAACGTAGGGCTTCTTCTTCTCCGAGCCTCTCTTCAGCTTACTCTCCTGATCTTCTTCCGCCGACGACCGGAGCCATCGCTCGGGCGTGTAGCTAAACGCGTCCTCCCAGTACCGTGTGTTGTGGTGAATCGTATAGACGGCGACCCCGACCTCGCAGCCTTCGGGGAAGAACTCGCCGTCGATCGTGGCGCCACCGCGGTCAACTTCGCGCCACGGGGCACTGCCTCCGGGCGGCGAGAGGCGCAGGGCTTCGTCGATGCAGGCGCGTAGGAACACGCACGAGTTGAGCTGAGGGTCCAGCCGGATCTCTTCCGCAGAGGCAAACGTCATCCGTACTTCCTCGCGAGCCCGGCGGTAGCACCGGGGCGACCCCGTCAGATAGTGCGTTACCGCGGCTAGGGTCGTTGCAGTGGTGTCGGATCCTGTGTGGTGGGTGCCGTATGCGCGTTAGACTCTTGCGCTTTTGACGCCGGGGTTTTTGCTATTTGTCCGAACCGCATGCTGGGGGAGGTAGGAGGGGGACAGGGAGGGGGACAGGTGCTTACCAGCCACAACGAACGTCGCCGCCTCGGTGCTCAGTTCTGCATCGTTGAGTCCCTTGCCCGTATCGGGGTCTCGGCACTGCTGCAGGAACGAGAATATGTCTTTGGTGCCGGTATTGCTCGCCTCGAGTCGCTGGCGCAGCAGCTTGTAGAGAAATTTGCCGAACGTCCAAGCCGCGATGGCCGACTTCATGAAGATTCTTCGGTCCATGTGAAAAGCCGTTAGCTCGAGAGCCTGTGAGATGACGCCCAGCCGGATGTTTGCCTCTTCGATAGCGCCGACCACATAGCGGTACTTCGGTTCGTCTGTCAGGTGGTAGTCGGTGTCAAAGGACACGGCCGTCATCGTGTCGAAGGTAAGGTAATTGACTGCTCTGCCGACGTCAGTGTCGGTCCTAGGCCTGACATGGCATCACGGGGAGAGATGGGGTCCGACATACACCGGAGTGACATGTCCAGGGGATCGGTCCATTCCCCGCCAGACTGGCCATGACTGCGCAGGACTTGACAAAACCGGTTGATCCTGGAGCGAACCGCTGGTTCAAAGAGTCGCAGGCAAGCTTCGGAGAAGGCCTGGCTGATGACACGTCTTCTACGAGCGTGTAGGGCCTTGTCCGATAGCGTCAGCGTGTTAGGCGCGTTCGCCGCCAGAACCTTGTAGCCCTCGAACTTCTTCACGTTGTTACCGTGGCCGTGAATAGCTGCGCAGTAATTATCAGTGGTCGCGAGCAAATGGCACGCCACCGGGAACGGAACCCTACCGTTAAGCGCCTCTGCGGTGTTCAGAATAACCCGGTTGGGAGCATAGCGGACGCGATCGCCTGCCGAGTTTTAGTCCAAACTTGCCCTGCGTGGACTCATCGCGTCCAGGGGGGAGTACCAGGGGTACTAACCGTATTTCAGGTGACTGCGGTACATGTCCTTGTGAATGTCGCCTTTCCATGAATGATACGCGGCATACAGATTCGTGAACTTGGCAAGCAGAGGCCCGGGATACTTGGCCAAAGGGTGGAAAAAAGCGCGATAGACAACGGCATGGAGCAACTGAGATACTTGTGAGTTACAGCTTGAATACCACTGCCATCAAGGCGAGGAGTTGCGTACGAAAAGCAGGCCGCTGGCCAGTAAGGCCAGGACAATAGCCCCAACTGCGCGGGCGACTGTGGGCAAGGCGGCCATGTCGGAGCGCCAGAGTTGCAGCATGATTCTGGGCAGTATCAGTTCGTTCTCTTGCTCTGGGAGTACTTCAGACTGAGACTAAAGTCATGTACGGAATGGATTACGGGTAGCGGAGGCGTCCTGAGTGGCCCCTCGGTGGACGCGACAGCCCTCAACCACAAGTAAGCTGATGCCACACCGTAGACGTCGGTGAATACAGGAAGCAATCGATGAATCATGCAGTCCCCAGAGAGCACCATGACAGCTGGCAATGAGCGATGACAGGAATGGACCCTTTGGCAATCCATCGTGGGGCTGAGTCCGGTGGATCGCATCGCGTGGGAATATGCGCCGAGAGATCCGCCCACCCGCTTCGGCCACTATCCGCGGCACCCATGTTCGCTCCCTGGGTTGGCTACCAAAACGCCCTTGCCAGTGGTAGTGGTGAGGTTTTCCACCGCGCAAGTGCTGACAATCCTACTCGGTCGCATCTAATAATAATCTTTTGGGGGCGGGGGGGGGAGGAGGCGGGACCATGGGCCGGAAGCGAACAGGCTGACATGGCTAGCTTGCTACGGCGTCTAGCTCCGCGAATACGTCTCGGCCCATGGCGCGATGATGAAGGATGTTTGGTTTGTTGGCTGCCTGCGGTCAGCCAAACGCCTCATGGCAGTAATCGCCGGATGTGTCAATAAGCCCGCCTGTAAGGATGGAGGGCGCAACGGCCCCCCATGGTTAGTCGTAGTTAGAAGCCAAAATAGGAGAGCATTTTAGAGCGTCTAGGATACCCAGACTGGTAGAAAAAAGAACTGACTCGGCATATCATCGCGTACCCTTGTTTACCCTTGTCTCTATCACTTTAAGCCCGTTCGTTTCGACATTTGCTTTCCACAGAACTCAGAACTGTACCAAAACGTTCAACACTTTGGGTCAAGCAGAGCTCGAGGGCTTGGGCATATCTTTCTGTTCATTTTTGGGGAAGAGCCGGGGGTATCCCTTGCTGCTTGCTCTCATCCAGACATATTGCCTATCAACTACGCGCAGAGACCATGGGCTCCGTGTCATACGACCCGCCGAGGCCTTCCGTGGGGCCTTCGGTCCTCGACGCCAGCCTGCTCGAGGACCATGGCCCCGCCCCGTTCGAGCCCGTCGCCATCATCGGCATGGCAATGCGCCTCCCAGGGCGGGTGCGTAACGCCGAGGATTTCTGGAACCTGCTGGTCCAGAAGAAGAGCGGGCTCTGCGATGTGCCAAAGGACCGGTTCAACATTGACGGATTCCACCACCCATCCGGCAAGCCCGGGACCATCCCCCAGAAGCAAGCGTACTACCTCGACGACGTCGAGCTCCAGGAGTTCGACCCCAGCGTCTTCCCCATCGGCAAAAAGGAGCTGGAGCGTCTCGACCCGGCCCAGCGGCAGCTGCTGCAGGTTGCGTACGAGTGCATGGAGGACGCCGGCGTGTCCTCGTGGCGGGGCAGCAACATTGGCTGCTACGTCGGCACGTATGGTGAAGACTGGCTCGACATCAATGCCAAGGAGACGCAGCACCGAGGTGGCTATCGCGGCACCGCTTGGGGTGACTTCGTGCTCGGCAACCGAGTGTCGTACGAGTTTGACCTTCACGGCCCGAGGTGAGTCAGTCGGCGGGACAGAACAGAATGGCGCTTCCTTGCTCGCGAAGTGATTTTCTAATCCAGAGGTGCAGCATGACGGTCAAGACGGCCTGTTCCTCGTCGCTCGTTTGCCTAGACTTGGCGTGCGAGGCGATTCGGAACGGCGAGTGCGACGGCGCCCTGGTGGGCGGCACCAGTCTGATGTTCTCTCCTACCGCATGGATGACGCTCCACGACCAGGGCCTGCTCTCTCCCACGGGCCAGTGCCGGACGTTTGACGCTGCGGCCAACGGCTACACGCGCGGCGAGGCCATCAACATGATCTACATCAAGAGACTCAGCCACGCTCTCCGAGACAACGACAACATCCGTGCCGTCATTCGCGGAACGGCCGTCAACTGCGACGGCCGGACCCAAGGAATGACCACGCCAAGCTCCACCGCACAGGCGGCCCTGATACGCCGTACTTACGAAGTCGCTGGCATCAGGAACCTGTCCGAAACAGCTGTTGTGGAGTGCCATGGTACCGGCACTTTGGTCGGTGACCCCATCGAGGCGGAAGCCGTCGCCAACTGTTTTGGGGACAGTGGCGTGATTATAACAGGAGTATGGTCCCATCACGGATGCAATGCGACGTGGTTTCCTTTTCTTTCTTTCTTTCTTTCTTTCTTCTTTTTATTCTCTTTTCTTTTGCTGGGTTTCCTGCTGACTTGTGGACTGGATTAGGTCAAGCCAAACGTAGGACACGCGGAAGGCGCCGCGGGCGTGACGAGCGTGATCAAGTGTGTCTTGGCCCTGGAGCACAACAAAGTGCCGCCGAATATCAACTTCGAGACGCCAAACCCGAAGAGTGAGTGAGGGGGGGGCCCCCCCCCCGGCCCCGCCCCCCCGGGGGGCGGGCGCCC